CATGGGAGCCACGGGACGTCCTGCTGCAGGACGTTCCGGAAATGGTGAGGGAGTACGAAGCTCACCACGCACTGCCGACGCGAAGGTAGTGCGAGCGTGTGGTCACCTACAGCGCCCGAGGTCCCACGATCGTCGCGTTCCTCACGTGCCAAGAACTTGGCACGGAGATCCTTGAGACTCGCAGGTACACGAATCGTCGTATACCCGTTAAGGTCGCGGTCGCTCAAGCGCGCCGCACCCGGAAGACACAACGTGCACTGTTGGCCTTCGGGCACAGCGCATGAAATACCAGCGTCCACAGAAGATCTGTGGAGCTGCTCCAACCTCCCGCGCGTCGAGAATGTCTCGAAGCGTTCACGGGCGTGCTTAACCCGCTCACGGTAAGCAGCCGGCTTCTTGTTGAAGTTCTCAACAAAAGCATTCCAACTTTGACAAAGTGCCTGCCACTCAGGCACTTTGCTGCGAGAAGAGGTCTTCTTGCTGGAGAAGTATCGGAGCTCGTGAAAGAGTCCGATTTAGTAATCGCGCCTTTGATTCGTTAACGGATCAAAGTGCTGCTCCTCCGCCACAGCATCATCGTGGATCCCGCTGCATACGTACAGCGGAATTTCATTTGGAGGCATGGTGTTGCCCACACGGTCTGCGATCTCTGACGCAGACGGCATCCACGGATCGCGCGCTGCTCAGGCAGCGCGCGGAGAACTTGAAGACGCCACCTCACGCGGGGAGCTTAAAGCCCCAGCAGCAGAGAGCGGAGTGTCGCTCTCGCCGCGCGAACGCTTCGAGCTTGAAGCGTCCGAATCGTCCGAATCGTCTCCTTCACGAGGGCGTCTCGACCCGGCATGCGGGTCGAGACTATCGCTGTCGATAGACTCCTTGCACTTGCTAGAAGAGGCTTCGCCCTCTTCCATCTCCACGTCGCCGTCCTCGTCGTCAACGGCGTCGTTGACTACAGAGGAACCTTCGAGGACAATCTCCGGCTGGGTTGTCCCCGACGCGGCCTTTGCAGCGAGCGCGTCGCGCTTTGCCTGCTGGCACTCATGGTACTGAGCAACAGAGAGGCTACCCTCTGTTGCGGCGGCTGTCTTCTTCTGCGGCGAGCTCATTGCGGAATGAGCTCGAGTTTTCTTTCTCCCAACGTGAAGAATTGACGAATGGTCAATTTCCTGATTGACGTGCTGTGACTCGGCGCGTCTAACCTTGAGGGGGGATGGTGTAACAGGGTTACACGCACAAGTGGCTACAGTCACTTGTAACTCTAACAGACACGACGTCTGTTAGAGGTTCGAAGGACTTTCTCGACCTTGGTGTAGACACACCAAAGGCTACATACATTTACGACCACCACGATGGGTGGTCCATAGAGACTTAGGATTCCTATTGGCTGAGAGCAGCATCTCTTAGCCAATGAGCGACATGCATAGCATTGGAATTCTGCCAACCAGCCGTTGGCAGATTCCTATCTTAGAATATTACATTTAGAGGAAGTCAGAAACATAAAACAAAAATAGCAGTTCCCATTTTAACCCAAAACATTATTTGGATCGTTTATTTAGATTATCTATACTCGGAGGCCCGAGTATAATTAACTCTAAGTTAAACTAAGCTACGCTTCCTCACATACACGCGCACACGTGTAAGCTAAAGTAGTGAGCCAAAGTAGGCCCACTACACTCTCAGCAAGTGGTTGCGAGGAGCACAAGCAAACCCGTGCGGGGTGCCCGTGAAGCATGTCCGTGTAGGGGGACCCAGCAACCAGCAGGGCAGCGAACGAACCCGTCGTTGCGGCTTGGAGCTAGTTGTGTAGTGTGGGGTGCGGGCCCCCAAGACCACCTGCGTCACTGCCAGGAGCTATCTGTAGGCTACAGGCTGTAGCTTCACAGAGTATTGGACATGGCGAGCTTTGCGTAGCACGTATCCATGCAGGCAAGTTGAAGTGCACTCTCTTTTAGCAATTCTACCCTTCCCAGCTCTAACTCACTCGTAGTAATGGATGCAAGCGCTGACTTGGCGCTCTAAATCAGAGTGAAGCCGAGGACTTGGTGGCGTTTTTTTTGCGCTCGGTGCGATCTAAAGTGTAGCAATTTATCTAAACCCGCGATTCGCTTCCCGAGGCCTGTTTGATTAGCGTTTATCGTCGAGGCTAAATCGTGTCCCCCCACTTTAATGGCATCGACTCCTTCTCAGAAGGGGTCACTCCAGGTATTACGCAGTTAAGCGTGTCTATGGATCAAGAGAGGGTTGTTCAACCGAGGTTTTTTGCGGAGTTTTTGGCCCCGGGGAAATGATTCTAGATGTAAACCCTAACCGTTCATGTCTCCGATTAAGAGAGGAAAGAGAGGAAAGAGGAGTGATATTGCGCGTTCTAGTCGAACTTTCCGAAGTCGATTGATTGAATCGACCGAGCCAAATCGCCAGCAAACCGCCCGAGATTTTGATTTGACTTGAGTTTACTATGTACGCAATAAAGTACGAAATAAGAAGTCGCTCAGGCCATCTCGATCGATTCCAAAAGACTTGAAATTTGTATTCAGCGATTTCAACCCATATGGTAAACCGACCCGAATCGGCAATATTGGCCAGAATTCACAATAGAGTAAAGAGGAGTGATATTGCGCGTTCTAGTCGAACTTTCCGAAGTCGATTGATTGAATCGACCGAGCCAAATCGCCAGCAAACCGCCCGAGATTTTGATTTGACTTGAGTTTACTATGTACGCAATAAAGTACGAAATAAGAAGTCGCTCAGGCCATCTCGATCGATTCCAAAAGACTTGAAATTTGTATTCAGCGATTTCAACCCATATGGTAAACCGACCCGAATCGGCAATATTGGCCAGAATTCACAATAGAGTAAAGAGGAGTGATATTGCGCGTTCTAGTCGAACTTTCCGAAGTCGATTGATTGAATCGACCGAGCCAAATCGCCAGCAAACCGCCCGAGATTTTGATTTGACTTGAGTTTACTATGTACGCAATAAAGTACGAAATAAGAAGTCGCTCAGGCCATCTCGGTCGATTTCAAAAGACTTGAAATTTGTATTCAGCGATTTCAACCCATATGGTAAACCGACCCGAATCGGCAATATTGGCCAGAATTCACAATAGAGTAAAGAGGAGTGATATTGCGCGTTCTAGTCGAACTTTCCGAAGTCGATTGATTGAATCGACCGAGCCAAATCGCCAGCAAACCGCCCGAGATTTTGATTTGACTTGAGTTTACTATGTACGCAATAAAGTACGAAATAAGAAGTCGCTCAGGCCATCTCGGTCGATTTCAAAAGACTTGAAATTTGTATTCAGCGATTTCAACCCATATGGTAAACCGACCCGAATCGGCAATATTGGCCAGAATTCACAATAGAGTAAAGAGGAGTGATATTGCGCGTTCTAGTCGAACTTTCCGAAGTCGATTGATTGAATCGACCGAGCCAAATCGCCAGCAAACCGCCCGAGATTTTGATTTGACTTGAGTTTACTATGTACGCAATAAAGTACGAAATAAGAAGTCGCTCAGGCCATCTCGATCGATTTCAAAAGACTTGAAATTTGTATTCAGCGATTTCAACCCATATGGTAAACCGACCCGAATCGGCAATATTGGCCAGAATTCACAATAGAGTAAAGAGGAGTGATATTGCGCGTTCTAGTCGAACTTTCCGAAGTCGATTGATTGAATCGACCGAGCCAAATCGCCAGCAAACCGCCCGAGATTTTGATTTGACTTGAGTTTACTATGTACGCAATAAAGTACGAAATAAGAAGTCGCTCAGGCCATCTCGATCGATTCCAAAAGACTTGAAATTTGTATTCAGCGATTTCAACCCATATGGTAAACCGACCCGAATCGGCAATATTGGCCAGAATTCACAATAGAGTAAAGAGGAGTGATATTGCGCGTTCTAGTCGAACTTTCCGAAGTCGATTGATTGAATCGACCGAGCCAAATCGCCAGCAAACCGCCCGAGATTTTGATTTGACTTGAGTTTACTATGTACGCAATAAAGTACGAAATAAGAAGTCGCTCAGGCCATCTCGATCGATTTCAAAAGACTTGAAATTTGTATTCAGCGATTTCAACCCATATGGTAAACCGACCCGAATCGGCAATATTGGCCAGAATTCACAATAGAGTAAAGAGGAGTGATATTGCGCGTTCTAGTCGAACTTTCCGAAGTCGATTGATTGAATCGACCGAGCCAAATCGCCAGCAAACCGCCCGAGATTTTGATTTGACTTGAGTTTACTATGTACGCAATAAAGTACGAAATAAGAAGTCGCTCAGGCCATCTCGATCGATTCCAAAAGACTTGAAATTTGTATTCAGCGATTTCAACCCATATGGTAAACCGACCCGAATCGGCAATATTGGCCAGAATTCACAATAGAGTAAAGAGGAGTGATATTGCGCGTTCTAGTCGAACTTTCCGAAGTCGATTGATTGAATCGACCGAGCCAAATCGCCAGCAAACCGCCCGAGATTTTGATTTGACTTGAGTTTACTATGTACGCAATAAAGTACGAAATAAGAAGTCGCTCAGGCCATCTCGATCGATTCCAAAAGACTTGAAATTTGTATTCAGCGATTTCAACCCATATGGTAAACCGACCCGAATCGGCAATATTGGCCAGAATTCACAATAGAGTAAAGAGGAGTGATATTGCGCGTTCTAGTCGAACTTTCCGAAGTCGATTGATTGAATCGACCGAGCCAAATCGCCAGCAAACCGCCCGAGATTTTGATTTGACTTGAGTTTACTATGTACGCAATAAAGTACGAAATAAGAAGTCGCTCAGGCCATCTCGATCGATTCCAAAAGACTTGAAATTTGTATTCAGCGATTTCAACCCATATGGTAAACCGACCCGAATCGGCAATATTGGCCAGAATTCACAATAGAGTAAAGAGGAGTGATATTGCGCGTTCTAGTCGAACTTTCCGAAGTCGATTGATTGAATCGACCGAGCCAAATCGCCAGCAAACCGCCCGAGATTTTGATTTGACTTGAGTTTACTATGTACGCAATAAAGTACGAAATAAGAAGTCGCTCAGGCCATCTCGATCGATTTCAAAAGACTTGAAATTTGTATTCAGCGATTTCAACCCATATGGTAAACCGACCCGAATCGGCAATATTGGCCAGAATTCACAATAGAGTAAAGAGGAGTGATATTGCGCGTTCTAGTCGAACTTTCCGAAGTCGATTGATTGAATCGACCGAGCCAAATCGCCAGCAAACCGCCCGAGATTTTGATTTGACTTGAGTTTACTATGTACGCAATAAAGTACGAAATAAGAAGTCGCTCAGGCCATCTCGGTCGATTTCAAAAGACTTGAAATTTGTATTCAGCGATTTCAACCCATATGGTAAACCGACCCGAATCGGCAATATTGGCCAGAATTCACAATAGAGTAAAGAGGAGTGATATTGCGCGTTCTAGTCGAACTTTCCGAAGTCGATTGATTGAATCGACCGAGCCAAATCGCCAGCAAACCGCCCGAGATTTTGATTTGACTTGAGTTTACTATGTACGCAATAAAGTACGAAATAAGAAGTCGCTCAGGCCATCTCGGTCGATTTCAAAAGACTTGAAATTTGTATTCAGCGATTTCAACCCATATGGTAAACCGACCCGAATCGGCAATATTGGCCAGAATTCACAATAGATGATTATAATTGGGGACTTCGTCCCCAAAAACCGTTTCTGCATACGTGTAGCGTCAATTGAATTGAGCAATTGCAGCTAAACGCATTCTCGAATTCTCTATTATTAGTGATCAAATGCTCGAAGCGCTGCGCGTGTTCCTCGCCCTCGTGTGGTGGCGCATCTGCCACTTCCTGGCGCACAACCTCCATGTGCGCGGCCTCAAGCCTGCCAGCCAGTTCTTCCACAAGGTGGTGATCATCGGAGACGACTTCGCAGCGGGTGTCGGCGACTACATCACCGTGGGCAGCGCTGGCGGAGGCATCGCCCCGTACCTTAAAAAGATCGTTTCGCATGATGACAAGGCGAGTAGAGCACCAGCATCAGTGTGCAGTGGTGTTGCAATGCTACCATGCGTCTATACCAGAGCGCAGCGCACATAAACTAACAAGATACGTTGCGTCCCGTAGGTCCGCCACAATTGGGCCATCATCAATGCTGGAGTGCCTGGATCCACGACGGCCGACTGGCTCCTGTCATCGCCCAAGAAGGTAAGTGTTGCGATACTGGAGCAGTACCGCATATTTACAGCTCGCAGCTTGCAGCGATCGGACCTGACTTGACAACCGCAACACGTCATACACGAGTTAGTACTTCAACAACGTGTTTACCTCGAGAGCCATGGCCGACGCATCGATCGTGATCATCATCCTCGGATCCGATGAGATCAGGTGAGGAAATAACGAGCACTCCATTTGCAAGTGCGGCCGACCTTGACATTGTTGTTTCCTGTCATAGAAACCCGGATGCTGCTGGGCACGAGATGAAGCGCAACCTTGTGGAAATCTGTGATACGCTCCGGAAGAAGGGCAAGCAGGTGTGCTTGGCCACTGTGGCGAGCCCCGACCCGACTGCCGCCGAGACAGACAGCGCCAGCTCGACGCTCAACACCGCACTGGAGCACTTCTGCACGAGGTACGAGGAGTTCGCATTGCCACACTCGGCACGGATAGATGCGAGCGACTAACTGACACAATGGGTGTGCAATTGTGACTAGCACGTCGACGGAAGACGCTCCGGTCATTCTCGGTCCCCGTCTCGACACGTATGCCTTCCGTCGCGAGAGTGCGCTTTGGATCGACAAGTACCGCTTCAATTCGCAGGTACGAGATGAACTTTGTAGCCACCTCGGCTTCGCTTTGAAGTTAGATGTAGCTAACCACCGGGTCTTGTTTGATCGCTCGCCACTCTGTACTTCGTCCATGTAGTCATACCGACAGCTAGCTCGCAACACCGCGGACTTTTTGATCCCCATGATGACGGCTGTGGAGTGGACTACTTGGAAAGAGCAGCTCGGCCGCGTCACCTACGACAAGGCCTTGTACGACTAAAGCTCCACACGCACGACTGCATTTTGCTCCAGCAAGTACAGCCACTATGCCAGCATTTCGCGAACAGCGTCGTCAGCTTCCTTGCCTCCTCTTCGCGAGCCTTCGCGGGTTGGCTGGCTGACTGGCTGCTCTCGCGCTTGCGTCCGTCCATCATCCAGATAAGATAACATTAAAACCACAGGAAACACGCGAGCTTTCTTTTTCTTTGGATTTGGGAATTGTCGTTTCTTCGCCGCCTTCGCTTCTCTCTCGCGAAGCTGGTGTGAGCTGCTCGTCGCCCCACCGCGGCCTGCACAAAGTGTTCACGTTTTCATCGCCAACGACTACGCTTCGTCATTTCATCAAGACTCCATGTTGGTGTCTTGAGCTGGCTCCGCCTCCGTCTTGGTAGCGGCGGCGTTTTCTTGCGTCGGCTTGGCAGCCCAGTACTCCTCCATCTGACGGTCGAGCTGCACTGCCTTCGGATCGGGGCCCTTGCCAGCTTCGTGCCAGTACTCGTCCATCTCCATGTCGAGGTCTTCTCCGCTAGGAGGCTTGGACTTGCCGTCTCCGCGCCCTCCGCGCACTCCGCGACCTCCGCGGCCTCCACGGCCGCCACGCCCCGCGCCCCTGCCTCCGTTCTGCTGCGGGGCCGCGTTCTTGTTCGTGGGCGGCTTGTTCTGGTTGCCCTTGGGCTTGGTGTCCTGCTGCACGAGGCCCTTCCTGTGCTTGCCGACGACCTGCTGGCGCTTGTTGCGGTTGTTCTGGGCGACCTGCTGCAGCTTTTGCTGCTGTTGTTGCTGGATCTGCTTTTTGGTGGGGGCGGGCGTCTTGCCGTTCTTCTTCTTGCCTCCAGCCACGCGCAGCACCGGCTGAGCGGCCTTGCCCTTCTTGGGCTGCACCTTGACCACCGTCACCTGGTGCTGCGGCTTCTTCTGCTGCGTCGGACGCGGCGCCGTCTCCTCGGCCAAGTGCGTGAAGCGGCTGGACAGCGGCATGGACGACACGCCGATCACGGCGCGCGGCGCCTTCTTGCTCTGCGGCGGTAGTTGCTGCTGCTGGTGGTGGTTGATCTTGCGCTGGCCGCGGATGGACGCGCGCGCAGCTCCGGGTCGTCGGTACATGTCCGTCTTCTGCTCTTGCTTGGCTTGACTTTGGCTTCTAGCTTTCGATACTGCGCCAAAAAACCCTGATGGGAGATTTCGTACTTAACGGGATTCCGCGTTTTTGCCAAAACCGCCCGACGCCCCATACAGGAGTGTCGGCGATGGAGGAGGCGCTGGCGACCCAAGTACAGCTCTACCTGGACGCCTACGTGTACGAGAACGCGCGGTTTCTAGCAGAGCGGCTTGTTGCGCATGTAAGCCTCGATTCCCAGTGCTTTTGGCGCAGAGGAATCCGCGCTACAGCTGGTTACAGGATCGTATCATTGCCTTTTTGACACATTTCTGCCGTTTTCGACAGCACCCGAGCGAGGAGAACACGCTGCTGCTGGCCACGTGCTACTACCGCAATGGGCAGGCGGCTCGAGCTTCGGCAGTCCTGAGCGGCTGCACCAGGCTTGAGAACCGCTACCTGCTGGCCTGCTGCTGCTTCGAGCAGGGAAAGCTGGTCGAGGCGGAGAACGCGCTGCTCGGGGGCGAGAACTGCCACATCGATGATGTTGACGCAATGGAGAACGTGCCGGCTGGAGCGGCTGGGTTGTATTTGTTAGGGCGCGTCTGCAGACGCGGGAACAGGAGGCAGCAGGCCGTTGCCTGCTTTGTTAAGAGGTGGGGACTTCCTGTCGGTAGCGCGTGAGTTGATAACTTGCATTGACCAATGCTGTTGAATGTATGGCTTGGCCAGCTTGGAGACAGACCCGTTCATGTGGTCGGCGTACGAGCAATTGTGCGAGCTGGGAGCAAACCTCGAAGCGTCGAGGTTTTTCGGCGCAGAGAACTATTTCAACAGCGTCGGGTCGACAGTTGAAGCGAGTGGTGAACCCGATTCGAGACCGGAAATGAGCGGGAAAAGCCATAGAGGCGAGCTGCGCTTTGGTGAGGAGGAGGAGTATTATCGCGACGACAACAATGCGGAAGATCGATCCACAGACCGGAAATTTGCGACCCCAGAACCCCCACCGCATATTGGACTCGCTACGCCCAAGAGCGTAATAAACCCGGTATCCAGCGCGTCTCGACCGTTGTCGTTTAAAACGCCAAACGTGAGCGGTAACGATGGCACCAACGTCCACACAGCAACCGTTGTGAAGAAGCCACGGGTAACCGAGGATATTGGAGCCCCTGCACGACAGAGGAAAACCCACCGGAGGCCTCTCGCTGACAGCGACGAAAAGTTTCGAGCTCATCCAAGGTTATCATTCTCCGCTGCTGGGTTCGATGATTCACCGCTGGTAAGGACATTTGCTACTGACGATTGGAACGTATACTGAGCCACTAACTTGAAACCCTCTCCTCCTTTTGCTTTGTTTTGCGTAGAATCCATCGAAATTATCGTTGGGCTCTCCGACGTCTCCCTTGCCTACCCGACTTTTTTATCAGGACAAGACACCGGTTGTTGGTTCCTCCCGTAACAGAGTGCCATCACACCAGGCGCGTGGCCGGCACGAGCTTTTGCGTCTGCTTAGCTCGTTTGGCTCTATTTATCAGAAGTTAAGTGTGTACATGTGCCGAGAAGCCCTGGAAATGCTGGAGCGGCTTCCTCCTTCTCAGCACGCGTCCGGTTGGGCACAGCAGCAGATAGGCCGTGCATATTTCGAGATGGCTGACTACGTTCGGGCGCATGAGGTGTTTTGCGCCTTGCACAGAGCGGAGCTTCATCGGATGGAAGGTCTCGATCTGTACTCGACGACTCTGTGGCATCTCAAAAAGGAGGTGGAGTTGTCGTACTTGGCCCAACAAGCCACAGACTTTGACAAATTATCGTGTGAAGCCTGGTGCGTGGCGGGTAACTGTTTCAGCCTCCAGAAAGAGCACGATACAGCGCTGGCCTTCTTTCAGCGGGTGCGTTCCCTATGAGCAGTATTGGTGGTGTGGTAACTCATTGACGACACTGACGCGTTTTGTTGTTCGGTCGACCAGGCGATTCAATTGGACCCATCGTTTACTTACGCCTACACGTTGTCAGGTCACGAGTACGTGGCGAATGAGGATTTCGAGAAAGCGGTGAATTGCTATCGGCACGCAATTCGCGCTGATTCACGGCATTACAACGCCTGGTACGGCCTCGGCACGATCTACTACCGACAAGAGAAGTTCGAGTTTGCTGAGTACCATTTCAGACGCGCGCTGGAGATCAATCCTCGAAGCTCGCTGTTGCACTGCTTCCTCGGTATGGTTCTGCATGCTACTCACCGATACGACGAAGCGCTGGATACACTGGCCATCGCTGCCGAGCTGCAACCGCTGAACCCTCAAGCCCGGTTCCAGCGCGCCAACGTCTTGATCACCCAGCAGCGGTTTGAGGAGGCGCTGGAAGAGCTCCATGCCGTGAAGAACTTTGCGCCTCGCGAGTCCTCCGTGCACTTCATGATGGGCAAAGTAGCCAAAAAGCTGGGCCGCATCGAGGAAGCGATGAAGTGTTTCACGTTGGCGCTGCACTTCCACCCCAAGGACAACAATCAGATCAAGGTAGCCATCGACAAGATCAACGAGCCCGATCACGACGACGACGACCGCATGTAGCACCCCACCAATAAGTAATAGCTTCGAACAGCAAGCCCCCAGATAGATAACAAACAACATATCAACGAGCACGCTGCTTCCCTCACTACATCGCGGCCACATAAACATGGTAGCCGATCGACCATTGGCCGTTTGTCCCCATTTTGGCGACACGAGCGAAGATGGCGCCGCTCACCGCGACAGCCGACGCGCGGCAGCTGCTGCATCAGCTCACGCAATTCCAAGATGCGAGCGACGCGCTGACCCGCCTCTTCGAAGGGTTCTCGGCGCAAGATTCCAGCCGCTGCGCCGTGTTGCTGCAGCTTCTGCACTGGCAGAGCACGCCGGCTTCCTGCAGTCTCGAGGAGGTGCTGGACGACTTGAAATCCAGCGATGACGACGACACCCGCTTGGCGGTGCGCGGCGACATGGAGCTCACGGTGCTGGGCAAACCCGCGCTGATGTTTGCCACCTCCATCTATGACGAGGAGTTGGCGCTGCTGATCTGGGAGGGCTTCATCCAGTTCCACGCGCGCTACCCGGAGTTTGATCTGACGCGCCAAGTGCTGGACAATTCGGCCGACTCGCTGGGGTTTTCGGCTTTGCACTATGCCACGGAGGCACGGATGGACGATTTCTTGAGAGCAGTGTGCAAGGATCTGAGGGAAGAGAAGACGGCGCACCTTGTTGGTTGCGTGGTGACGCAAGACGTGACCTTGCCGGTGAACACTGCCCAGAACATGGGCAAAAACATTGCCAGCGGAGGCTGCTCGCTGCTTCATCTTGCAGCGAAGAAGGGTGAGCTGGAGATCGTGAAGTTGCTCCTTAAACCACCGATGCTGTTGGACCCCAAGACGCTGCGTGATTGGGACGGAAACTCACCTGCTCGTGTCGCCGCTATCCACGGTCACAACGAGGTCGCGGCGTTTTTGGAGGTACGAAAGGCTACACGAGTGCTGCTGTCATTGACGTGCGATCTAATGGACATGGCTTATGCTGCTCATGTTGGTTAAAACAGGATATCACTGGTGAGGTGCCGCTAAGTACTTCAGACGTGGATGAGCTGCGAGCCACGCGCGAAGAGATGGCCAGAGAGCGATACTTATCACATTTGGAGCCCCAAGAATCCATGCTAGAGCCGTTGGTGTTTTCAAATATCTGGACGCTTGAAGAGACCACTCTTGTTCGAGACGAGGTGAATCGCTTGGCTGCTGAACAGGGTTGGTGCAAGGAGCGACATGCGTCCTACCAGACCACCGACATGCCCTGCCACCACGTTGCCGGGCTTAACTCGTGGGTGCGAGCAACCTTGGCCGATAGGCTGTTCCCGCAAATCGCGAAACGCTACAAACTGCCGAAGTCCAAGCGACTGCTCTTCCGAGACCTCTTTTTCGTCAAGTACGAGGCGCGGAAGGGTGAACGCTCTGAACTCGCACTTCACCGTGATGGATCCGTGTTGTCATTTAATCTGCTGCTTAACTCGGCTGATGACTTTACCGGAGGTGGCACCTACTTCGATGCCACGAAGCATACCGTGCATATTACGCAGGGGGATGCTGCAGTACACAGCGGCAAGGTTCTTCATGCTGGTGCACCCGTGGTCTCAGGCATACGTCAAATTCTTGTGGGTTTTCTTGACGTTGCTGACTGCGTGTACTAAACCCTTGTGGGGTCACAGGCGGTGGAATTGGATGCCTTCGATGGGGGTGTCTCCTTCAAGTACGTACAGCCGCGGGCACCAATGCTTTTCGTCGTAAACTTCGTCGTCGAGTGACATTTGAATGGAGAGGGTAGCTTTGGCCTACGATCAGCACGCATTAGCAACTCTGAGCCTCGCTCAATAGAGCCACAAGAAATAGAGTCACATTTTCCTTACCCGTTCGAGTTCAAAGAAGAGCAAGCGATCTCCCCAGATCTTGTCGTACGTATTTCCCATCATCTACAGGAAGAGAAGTGGAGTTAGAGGAGCTACACATGGGTAACGGTAAAATGCAAGACGTACAGCAATTAAAAGATTCAGGAGCATGATCGTGCCGATGACCACGAAAGAGAGGAAGAGCAGTATAGCCAGCAGTCCACCCTCATATATGCTGTCCCAATCCCATGACCCTAAACTGATATTGAAGGTCGTAGTGAGGGCGGAAAAGTAGCTTTTGCATCCTTCAAGCTAGAAAACAGACACAAGAACGCTTAGAATCAAATGTTTCGACCGGCAAGATGGCATTCGCGATAGTTACCTGAAGAATAAAGAAAGCAAAAGCGAATCCTCCCAAGAACACACTGAATACAATGACGAACACCAGAATGTCGGAGAACATCTACAAAGCACAATGACGGCCGATGTTACCTTTGAAGTTTCAAACCAAACGTTCACTTCGTTTCAAACCTTTGCGATCATGCGAACAAATGGTCCAAGTGCTCTCGTGCCTCGCGCAAACTGAATCCACTTTACGAAGATTTGTGGCCCAACGATCGCCATCAACGTGATGCGAAAACTGTACCTTCGACGAACGTTAAAGCTGTACAGCGACTCCTGATAGACGATAAGTCTAAAGTCCTCCTGATCAAAGTCTTTTAGAACACGTAGTGCATCGTTATTACGAAGTAGTTAGCTTTGGTGAATAAAAACATCGTTTGCATACCTGGCAAGATCAGTTCGAGGACTTCAGCAACCAGCAGCAACCATACACAAGAAATCTGGACTAGATCGAACCAATTCCAGCCATCTCGAAGGTACACTCGAAGGCTCCCACACTCGCGATATGCCTGATACTGTAAAGATTCAATGAGTGAATAACTGCGCCAACGTACGCTGGGACATAGCTGCAAACCTACCTCTTGAATTGTATAGTTCGCGTTGATCACCGAGTATACGAGTCGCGCTGCATCACGAATGTATTCCATGTACCCTACATCCTCAGTGAATATGTTGTTCCGGTAGCCGCCTAGGGGCATACCTACAAATGTATCCCCAACACGCAAGTATCTAAAGACAGTTGTCAGTTCTCCGTAATACCTTCTTTTGCAGCTTCCGATCGAGAATACGTACGTGGCAACAAATACTGCGACAAAGTACACAGCATATACTTTGAATTCCGAGCGAAATGTTTGCCGAGTGAATGAATTCCATCTTGTAGGAAAAACGAGGTAAATCAGTATTTCGTTGAACAGGGTATATTTCACCGAGTGCACATACATGTACAGTACGTACTTGTGATCCAATAGTTGTCGGAACCACGGGTGGAAAATGAGATCCTTGCATTCTGTCTATTGCACAACGTTAGATTGATAAACCAGCAAATATAGGTTTGATCTATTCCATGCGTACCTGCACGATCATCCAAAGTGTGGGGCTATGACGCCCGCGAAACTCTGCATGGTCATACACGTACTCGTACAGAATTCCCTTGGGCTCACAAACAATCTTCTCCATATGTCCAGCCTCATTTTCAGTCACTGTGAACACGTGCTGCACACTCAGCACGCTTCTCACGCGTCGCAGGAACTTCCAAACTTTCTTCAAAATCTTTCGCAAGCGGTCTAGCGCTTGCATGACTGGCCCTCGTTTTCGCTTGCGTCTAGGCGAACGACTGCCTTTTACTTGGCCTTTCATTTGAACAATCAGTGCATCTCTTTTTTCTTCAAATGTCTTGAGCTGATTGCTGACTATCCAGCGTTGGTTGCGCTCGCGAACGCGCTTGAGCATGCTGCAGCGGAATAGTGGATTTCGGAACGAATCCATGGCCAAAACGGCCGCTTCGGGGACATTCTGGATTAGGAGGTGAAATAACTTGCTTCTCTCGTGCAGTTCTCGCGCTTTGTTCATTTCCGAAGGAGCAACATGTTCCGAGGCAACAAGTATTCCTAGCGTATTTGGCGGTAAAATCGAATACCCGGGAGCCGAACGAAAGAACACGATATCTCGACGATCCCGAGTGCACAGGAACGGAGAAGCGAGCAAACCGTCAATTGTCGAGCATGTGCTATCATTTGCGGCACCGACGGCATCGTGTCGGACATTGGACCTTCCTGGTGCACTTTCGGGTGACACAGCTGCAGCACCCCCAGCCAGAGTTTTGTATTGCGGTAGATGGCTGTTTCCATTAGGTGGACGCTTGTGCTGTACCATGGCTCCAGATCGAAAGTTCAATAGCTTGGCTTTCGCTTTGCCATCGGGGGATTCCACGAATGTCCCTCGCAGGGCAGTACCAGTGAGTGTCGTGAGCGACACATAGCGTGAAATTCGTACGTCCGCGTGATGCTCCACAAAGTGAATACAAACTCCGTGACGCTGGCTAGCGATGGCAAAGTGCAGTCTGTGCACAGTAGTTAGTTCAACAGAGCGCATGAGTACATTATCGCACGTCATAAAAGTGTTAGAACTACGTACGGGGTTTCTCCGGATTTGTTTTGAGCGTTGATATTGGCACCGTTTGCCAACAGAATTTTGCATAGTGTGAGATGGCCACCCTCCGCCGCATAATGCAGAGGGGTATTACCGGCAGCGTCTTTCGAGAGGACCAGCGGGTGTCCGCAAATTTGAAGCAGGTCCTGTAGCGTAATAGCATCTTCGTTCAACTTATCAAGCGAATCGGAAAACCGAGCGAAAGATACCCCAACATCCGCCACGAGCGCTCTCATCTCAGCATCCGATTCGCTCACCAAGCGCTTCGCTCTGCGCATTTCGAGAATCAACTCCAGCAGATGACTGAGCTGCATAAAGCTGTACTTTTGGTACGGGGAATTCATCGGATGCTCATTCCAATGCATGATCAGTTCCTTGACCAGGTCTGTGTACCCCCGTTGAGTTGCCACGTGCATGACGGTGTATCTATTCAAATCACATAACAATAAAAAATATGTCAACAAAACATCAAAGCAGAAGCTGCAAGCGGCATCATACTGTGCTAGTCCGTGTGGCTGCAACAGATCCAATCCATCGTTGGCTTCGTTTCGCAAGATCCGAAGAATTTTGGGGAGATTCGGCTCCGCGAGTCGAAGAACACCGCTTTCTGTTGTTATCGGTCCAGGAAGGAGCGGTCTGCACCGGCAGCACTCGTCAAACAGCAATCTGCTCTGCAGAGCCAGGTGCTGTTTATCTCGTTTTTCCAGAAGGAGGTGCATCCTGTAGTACCTCCGCATTGCCTTGTTGATCTTGGCCGCCGCCCAGCCCTCTGGTCGTTCATCCTGACCGAGTCGAAACTGACCAGCAAGGAATTTCCTCAGGTAGTGCCCGCCTTGCATCATTCGGGTCGGACTCTCCTTGATCTCCTTCTTCCTCGACTGGGTGTTGGGGTGGGGGCGGGCGTGCTGCGCCCGAATGGGCTCCTGTCTTAGATGCAGACGCGGAGGTCGCTTGCGCACGTCCTCTAGGATCACCTGCTTGTGCTGTTTCTTCTTGTAGGCGCGGCTCTCCTGCTCAGCATGGGGCACACACAACCAGTCAGGGCTCAATGAGCTGCAAGATGTTCTCTTGTAGCACATTGAAGGGAGCACCTTGATATGTGCCCTGTACTCCTCCATAACCTTGTCCCGTGGAGTTGGAGCGCCCGGGGGCAGCGCGTGCACAGCATAGCGCCTCGCACTGTCCTCCATCGTATCGGGCTTTGGCGTCCCCTCGTGTTGAAGTAGTAGTGGATACATTTACTCTGTAACTGTACCGATATGGGTACATATGCTCGCTAACCGTTTTATTCACTATTAGATTGCCCGCTGGAATGGAGCAAGCCGAGCCACTTGAGCGTGCATCTGTGGGCGCCATGGACGGCGCCTTCTTCTCGTTCCCGTACGAGCCGTACTCTATCCAGCTGGACCTTATGCGCCAGATTTGGGAGACGCTGGAGCGAGGCCACTGCGGCATCTTCGAGAGCCCCACGGGCACGGGCAAGTCCATCAGCCTCATCTGCGGGGCTCTGACGTGGCTCACCAAGCACACGGACGAGTACGGACTTCTGCAGGCCTCGCAAAACGTTGCAAATAGCGATGCAAAGGCCGAAGACCAAGAGCGGCCCAAGAAGAAGAGCGCAGAGCCGAGCTGGCTAAGCGACTTCGAGCAGAAGACGGCGGATCAGGAGGTCAAGTTCCGCCAGCAGATGGCGAAGGAGGCTCTGGCCGGCATCGAGAAGCTCCGACTGGAGCCTGAAGCAACCACCAAGAAACGGAAGATGGCGATAGCGTACAATTACACAGATCGCAAGCGAGGGCGTCAGAGCAACAGTACCAGCAGCAGTAGAGAGAGGAAGCAGGACGGAGACGACGCAGACGAACACTTGGTGGATGCGTATGACAGCGATCGAGTGCGTCGCGGGAGCACTGACAGTGACGAGGAGAGCGCAGTGACTAGAGGTCGATTTGGAGAAGAGAAGCCGGATTTTGGCGTAGTGAAGATCATTTACTGCAGTCGGACGCACTCGCAGATTTCCCAATTCGTCCGCGAAATCCGGAAGACTGCGTTTGCCGAACGGATCCGTGTGGTGTCGCTAGGTTCTCGTAAGAACTTGTGTACGAACCCGAATGTCACAAAGTTGACCTCCGACTTGAGAATGACCGACAAGTGCTTGGACATGATGCAAAGCGGCAAGACCAAGAATGGCAAGAAAGTGGGCAAGTGCCCATTTTACGAGAAAGAGCTGCTGGGCCACTACAAAGACTACGCTCTCGTATGAGGTGTCTTCATTTGACCTGTTTTTTTTGTATTGATTTCTAACGATTAGCACATTGGTGTACTTTGTATTTGTAGGCTCATGTGCAAGACATCGAGGATCTACACACGCTAGGTGAAGACATGTCGATCTGCTCGTACTACGGCACTCGTGAGAGCATCCCACTAGCTCAAATTGTGACGGTTCCGTACTCCCTGCTGCTGAGCAAAGATGCTCGGGAAACGCTTGGGCTCGGACTGGAAAACAACATCGTCATTTTTGATGAGGCGCACAACATTATTGACGCGATCAACAACACCTACAAGGTTGAGATTACCAGTAAGCAGCTAGTTGTCGCGCGGAGGAGTTTGTGGTCATACTTCACGAGATATGAGAAGCGATTCAAAGGCAAGAACGCGTTCTATATCAAGCAACTTTTGTCGATTATGGAGAGTTTGACGAAGTTTCTTCGCCAGTTGAGCAAGTCCGCAGGGAAAGCTGCTTCGGTAGGCGACGACGAAGACGGTGCCACGGGGGCGCAAATGATGACCATCAACGACTTTTTGTTCAGTGCTCGGATTGATCACTTCAACATGTTCAAGATTTTGGAGTACCTTAGTGAGAGTGGACTGGCGAAGAAATTGGTGGGCTTTGTCGACTCTACGGGTACGAGCGGTTCTTCTGCTGCCCCGCCACCACAAAATGCCACCGATGACTCTGACGAAGGTTTCGAAAGCCGCCATATATCACCCTTGCGAACGGTTGAGGCGTTGCTGAAGGCCTTGACCGCTGCTGGGGGTGATGGCCGAATCCTCACTCAACCAAATAACGTACGTCACGCTTACGTAGTCGAGTTTAGAAATCCTCGATTATAATTTGTTGTTGTTGGCTGTGTGATCAGGCAAGCAAGGGCGTTGAAGGCCTGGTCAGATTTATTTTGCTGAATCCTGTGATTCACTTCCAAGAAATTGTGAAGAAATCACGGAGTGTCATTCTTGCAGGCGGAACAATGCAGCCGGTGAGGAACTCGCAGACTGTTTTGGCACTGCGTTTTATATTATTGTTTTACTAAAACGTGTTGGCTGTTTTGTTAGGTATCCCAAGTAATCGACCAACTTTTCTCGTCTGTCCCGAGAGAAAGTGTAGACCTGTTCTCGTGTGGACACGTAATTCCTCCTGAAAATTTGCTGGGTTTCAGTCTCGCCTCGGGTCCGTCTCAGAAGCATCTCGAATTCACATATTCTAGACGAGGGGATATGGAGGCGCTCGACGAACTTGGTCGCATCCTTTTCAATCTTTCGCGCATCGTGCCAGGTGGTGTTGTGGTATTTTTCCCTTCTTATCGCTTTGAAGACAATGCGGTCCGTCGATGGCAAACTACGAAACAGTACGAGCAAATTCAAGCGAAGAAGGCCATATTCCGAGAGCCTAAAAAATCCGATGAGCTCGCCGAGGTCCTAATGCAGTATTCTGCAGCATGTTCGCAAGACAATCGCGATGGCAGTGGCGCTATGTACGTGCAATGGCAAATGGCTAGGAAGGAGTTGCTTTTTTTTATTGACGCTTGGTGTTTTGTGTTAATTGCAGGTTGCTCAGTGTGGTTGGCGGTAAGATGTCGGAAGGAATCAACTTCAGCGACGAGTTGGCTCGGTGTGTTGTGATGGTGGGCATGCCTTATCCAAATGCCCGAGACGCAGAGCTAGTCGAAAAAATGGCATTTCTGGACAAGAGAAGCCCCGGATCTGGTCGGCAGTTTTACGCGAGTCTTTGTATGAAAGCTGTCAACCAGTCGATCGGTACGTTTAGCGTTGAAATCGTCGGATTGTTTAACTACTAATGTGTTTCCACGGAACAGGAAGGTCAATTCGCCACCAAAAGGACTACTCGACCATCCTGCTAGTTGACCATCGATACTCAAGCTCAGCTGTTCGCAGTCGCCTCCCTGAGTGGATTCAGAAGCGCGTCCACCCTCCGACATCATTTGGGCAAGTATACTCGCAACTGGTGCAGTTCTATCGAGCAAAAGAAAACCAAGGTAGCGCTCAAGAGTAGACAAACCAATAGATCACGAAGTTCACCGTTTATCTTGCAAAGTTACTTTGCTAGCTGTTTCTTGTATTCAGCGTGAACAACCTGCTTTGCAATTCCGAGCACCCGACCAGCCAGTGCTTCGTCGTCGTAAGACCATTCCATGTGGACTTCCCACTCGGCGGACACTGACACTCCTACCGTTCGAAGCTTCAGCCAGCGATCAATCTTCTCGATCGTAAGGTGGCGGATCCACTTGGTCAGACTGACCTCCAAGGCTTTCTGAAGTTGGTCCACATCGGCTTGAGGCTGTTGCTCACTCTCTTCTTCTTCGTCGGCTGATTCAACTGCCGCTGACAGAAGAAAAGATAACGCAGAGGCCGGGCGCGAGCTTTTCTTCTTCACACGAGGCGACGGCTCAAATGGCTTCTTCCAGGAGTAGGAGAAGAACAACGAGTGTTTCTTCTTCTTCAAACGCCGCGCGCCATTACCGCTTGACACCAACATCAGCTTGCGTTTGGGTTCTGCAATCAGCATACCCTGCACATCGGAGGGGTTGTTGAACATGGCCTTGTGGATACGAAGCGGGATATCATGAGCTGGTTCGATGGGTGTTCGTCCAGAAGGATTGATCCCCTTTACTAACACATCCGAGCCGACAGTCGGGTCTATCTTCAACTGGTTCTGCATATGCGATTTGACAAATGCTAGGTCGTCTGGAACCAAGTAGTCGAGAATGACCTGGCGCGGCGCTACACGTGACACGAGCTGAACGATGCTCTTGGTGTCCACTTCATCGCCACAAGGCTGGTAGTGAACTCCGCACTCCACGTTAACCCCCAAGCGCTTACTGACACGTTTGCGTTCGGGATCCGCATACAGCAAATAATTAACGGTGCCCGGTGTGCAATACTCGGATAGCACGATGAGGTTCTTGGGGTCGCTCGCAACTGCCTTGATCGCACGCAACGAACCCCCTTGAGAAATATTAGCTGGTCCTGTGAACAGCACGAACGGACCTGGTTGTTGCAGCCGCTTCCAATCGAATACCTGCAAGTCGGTCGGGCTGGGTGGCCTTTCACGGAGAAGGCTCTGAACTGCAGGCGTGCACGTGCGCGAAAGCACAGGTAGGAAGCGACTGGGGTACTCCATATCCGCATCCGACAAAAAGATCGGGCACCCAGCAGACTTCCCCGTCACATCCTTAATTTGTTGCCAATGCTCCAACAGGATCGTGATCAGCTCATGGAAGTAGCCCAACCGGTAGACAGGGATCACCACTTTGCCGTTCGAGCTGATGCATTCCAGGATAACCTTCACGAGCTCCCTTTCCATAGCGTTCTGCGTCTCCGACACCGTCACTGCAAAAGAACTGCTCGTAATAAGCACATTAGGCTCCAGTCTCGGAATCTGCGCCGGTAGCAGCACTCGTCCACCTGTGAGGTTGAAGTCATTGGCGAACATCACCGTCGACACTCCAATCTCCAGATAGAAGGCACAGCCTCCCGCTACATGACCCGAATGATACGCCGTGATTTTGAGGTTCTCGTTCACAGTCACGCAGGCCTTCAATGCAACCGCCTTGACTCTCCTGAACGCCGGGGGGATGTCCTGAACGTCGTACGGGGCTGGCAGTCCACTACCTCCGTCTTTCACCTTCCCGTGACACCCAGTCCTACAGCACAATAAAACCACAGTCAGATCTTGCTTATTCATCAACCATCTTTTGTTACCTTACCAGTACTCAGCCAGTAGATGCGGCGCGATGGCTCGAGTACCATGTGTCATAATGATCGCTGGAGGCTGTTTCTGGCTCGGCTCTTGCGCCGCCGCAGTCGCCGGGGCCGTCCACGACACGCTACACTTCTCCGCAATGTACGGCAACATGTAGCAGGCGCCAGGGCGGTAGTCCGGCACCAAGATGGCGTCTACAGTGCCCCCATCGCGCCTCAGTAGGTCTTTCAGTTCGCGGCGGTACTGCGTCGCTGCGGCCTCAAACTCCTCCGCGTTTGCGTCGTCCTGTGAGTAGAAGGACGTGTCTTTGATCTCCCCGCAGCCGAGCAGTACGGTTGTGCCCGTGGCCTCGTCGCGCAGGCAGAAGGCGGCGCCGTTCCCGAGCCGCTCCACGGAAAAGCTCATCGTGGACTGCTGCTTGTGGGGGAGTGTGGTGTGGTATGTGGTACACATAATGCGCACTTAAAGTGAATGTGAATGTGTCCTTGTGGACAACATACACAATGAAATGTCCACAAACGACTTCAACATGGACAGACTGGGACTCCGGTAAGTGTCTATTACAGTTGCTGCAGCTAGAACGCGCCGGACTGAACAAGTCCAACGAAGAAGGCCGGCAGCTCTTCCGGTGCCAGGAACGTCTTCTCCATGGTAGCTCGCTTCTGAACCTCAACGAGGCCCTCCTTCGTGAAGCGTTTGCCGACGACGACACGGTACGGGTATCCGATGAGCTCGGATTCGGCCAGCTTCGAGCCCGGGCTTTCGCGCCAGCGGTCGTCAAGCAGCACGTCGTCTCGCACCAGGCCCGCCACTTCACCCGACGCGAGTTGGCCGGCAATTAGCCACGCGGCCTGGGACACAGGGTCGTCCTGCTTCTTGCCACCGATGGACATGACGAGGACCTTGTACGGAGCGATCTCCGTGGGCCACGCGATACCGTGGTCGTCGTGCGAGGCCTCGACGGCCGCAGCGACCAGCCGGCTAACACCCAGACCGAAGCACCCCATCTCTAACGGGTGCTTGTTGTTCTTCGCGTCCGTGTACGTGGCACCAAAGGGCTTCGAGTACTTCTGGCCGAGGTAGAAGACATGGCCCACCTCAATGCCCCGCTTGTCCTCAAGCACTGCCCCATCGCCGCTGCAACGCGAGCAATGATCACCAGCTTGTGCCAAGCGGAAGTGTCCCCAAGCAAGGTGAGTCTGCTCCAGCTGCTTGGACAGGATCTCCGCAGCGGAACAAAGTGCTGCCACAACTGGAGTGCCATGCTTCAGTGAATCGTCCAGAAGCAAGTGCAGCTCTGCATTCTGGTCACGACTAGCAAGCACCTCGGCGATCTTAGTATTGTTCGTAATCACGTCACCCTCGTCACCGCCGATGAATGGCTTGGCTGCCAGTTCATTTACTTCACGGTCGTGGCGAGCGAAGCACAGCGCCATTCGGGGCGGCGAGTTGTCCTCCTGCTTATCATTCTCTGCAGCCTCGAAATCCAAGCCCTCGTGCTCATGGACCAACTTGAGCGAAAACCCTTGCGTTCCCGCAGCCTCCTGAAGCGCCATCACAGTCTTCCACACATGCTTATCTCCAGTACGAGCTTGTTCCTCAAGCTGCGCAATAATAGCACCCAGCTCAGCCGAAACCTCGTCAGTTTGCTCCGTCGAAGCATCAGACGGCAACACACCCTCAGCCTTCTCCACATTTGCCGCATAGTCACACTTAGCTGACGAGCACGACAGAATCGCGTCCTCGCCCACGTCCGCGAGCACGTGGAACTCGTGCGACAAATTGCCGCCAATGTTTCCAGAATCGGCCTCCACGCGCTTCACCGGCAACTTGAGTCTCGACACCAAGATGGCATTGTACGCAGCAGAGACGTCCTGATACGTCTGCAATGCCCCGTCGTACGTAGCATCAAATGAGTACATGTCCTTCATCACGAACTCTCTCGCTCGTAGTAGACCGAACCGCGGACGGATTTCGTCGCGGAACTTGCGGCCGATCTGGTACAACCGCAGCGAACTATCCGCCGCCCCCGCAGTATTGTAATGGGCAGTCACGAGGCTGGTGATGCTCTCTTCGTGCGTCGGTCCCAGCACCAGCAGGTCTTCGCGCCGGTCCTCGAGCGTCATGAGCTCAGGTCCGCGACTCTGCCAGCGGCCCGACTGCTTCCACAGCGCGTTGGGCGTCAGCACCGTCAGGTCCACGCGGTTGCCGCCGATCTTAAGCATCTCGTCGTCGATCAGAGCCTCCAGCTTGGCCACCACGCGACGTCCGAGCGGCAGCAGCGCGAAGAGGCCGTGGCCGCCCTTGCGCACGAACCCGGCGCGGACCAGCAGCTGGTGGCTGGGCACCGCGGCGTCCGACGGCGCCTGCTTCTCCGTGGGGGCCCACAAAACGGACCGCAAGGCGCATGGGGCGGAGCGGATCGACTGCGACGACGACAGACGCCGCCCGACGGACGCCAAGGAGCTGCGGCGCGCGCGGACCGCCCACATCTTTTGACCAGCAGCAATGTGAGGTGCAAAAAAGGCAAGTTTCAACGGGGTGTGGTGCACACCAAATATACGCGCCAAGTTGCACTTGGTCCGACACCCGCGTGGTGCGGGTCTTCCACCGCAGTTTGTGGCGAAGAGTTTGGCGTGAGAAATGTTTGAGAAGACCGGTGTCATATGCTTTTTGGATTTGTTGAAGTTTTGCTCGCTGGTCTACGGCGGTTGCAGTCTATTGTTTCGGAAGGTGTGTTTGGTATAAGCGTACTAGCACTTCCACCAACTGGAAGTCCGTTAAAGGTGACGAAAACTCAACGAGAAAATGCGCGAATTTCAAGGAGAAGCTGCGAAAGGCAGAGAGAAGGACTCACCATTGAGAGCTTAATAGAGTATTGCGATGGAGCATCCGTAGTGAAGCGCTGGCCGTCAACTCGACTTTCTCCTAAGAAGATGCGTGCGGTAGTCTCGCTCACCAAGGAGTACGCAACACACTTTGCTGCAATCCAAGAAGTATCGAACACGTTTCGCTGACTCACTACAGAAGAGCTATACTGGCGCCAGCACCAGGAAGCCGGAACCAGCACGAAAACTTTCCTCCTCCCTCTTCTACGTGGCATACATAGTGCAGCGGCGTGGTTTGACTTCTGTCATCGCCAGTTCGTGTCCTGGTCTCCATCGTCGCGACGGCGTTAGCAACGCGGCCGCGTGGCGTTCTCGTCGGTCACGCCAATGCCGGTTTCAGGGGCGTTTTGCCATCACCGCCCAACGGGCTCACTATCGCTGTGTCATCCCAACCGCAAGTGAGCTGCTGGGCACGCATGTCGAAGTTGGAGGAGCCCAACGTTGGAAAAAAAGTGTAGGTGCGCGGCGGCTGGATATTCAATCGCCGGTCCGTAATATCTTGTGCGTTGCTCACTTGCCTTCTCTATTCCCTCGCCGTCTCCGTCCCGGAAAGAATGCTAATATTAATATTTCGCATAGCGAGCTCAACAAAGCTGCACCCGTCGAACAGCTGACGCGCTAAAAAATAGCCCACGACAAGAAGAAGAGCAGAAGGTTGACAAGTCGGGCAGCAGCACAGTATCATCCTTTCCGCTCGCTGGCCCCATGGCTTCAGGCTGGCGGCAGAAACCGCGCCTCGATCCGTGGGACCCGCCGTCGCCCCCGCCGCTGCTGGAGGAGGCCGCGCCCAAGCCCAAGCCCAAAACCAGCAGGTTCTCGCGCCGCAGCACCCGCGCCAAGAGCCACGCGCGCCAGCAGGCGCAGCACGTGGAGCTGGAGGTGGAGGAGCACGCCGAGCAGCGCGATCGCGACAAGCGCCGCAGCCTGCTGGCCTCCATGTTCGGAGAGCGCGCGCAGTCGCGCGCCTCGCGCTCGTCCTCAGACGCCAGCGCGCTGCAGTCGCAGACGCAGACGCTCGTGCAGCGCGAGAAGGCCTTCCGCCTGGTGCGCCACGGCTCCGACCCGCTGCTGAACGACGCGTTCTACGCCACGCAGGTGCAGGTGGGCAACTTCGTCAAGATGGGGTGGCTCACCAAGCAGGGCCACATGTGGAAGAGCTGGAAGACGCGCTTTTTCGTGCTCTTCTCGGACGGCACCTTCGCCTACTACAAGAACAAGGGCCGCAAGAAGATCAAGGGCTGCATGCAGCTCAACGATGGCGTCGTGTCCGTGCAGCACGTGGACATCCGCCTGGCCGACAAGGCCTACGTGTTCCAGATCGAGAAGGGCTTCTACAAGCTGCTGTGCTACTGCTGCAGCCAGTTCGAGGCGGAGCTGTGGGTCGCTGCACTGAGGTCGGTGCGCAGAGTGGCACCGCCGTGCTATGAGATGGACCTGACGGCCACTGAGGAGAAGGCCGGGTCCAATGCGGTCACCAGGCACTTGAACAAGATCTTCATCACGGACAAGCAGATCGCCAAGAGGCTGGCGGAGTTCAAGGCCAACACACATGACCACTCGTACGCGGCCATTCACAATTTCATAGTGGAGCTGGACGACGCGATCATTGATCGTCACCATTTGGAGTTTTATCAGGACGCGGAGATCGAGCTCTTGCCGGGCAACGAGCTGGTGCGGCTGATTCGGCGGCATGTGGAAGACCGCGTGTTCATTCCGCTGTATGCAGAGGCGTATGCGAGCTTGGAAACGGACAAGGTGAAAACGAGGCGCAGCAACCTCGAGCAGCATCTCAAGGTACTGAAGCAGAAAACGCAGGCCGATTTCGGCATCTCGAAGGACCTTTCAGTTTGCAATTGGAAGCAGGCTATCAGCGTTGTTAACATGCTGGATTGCGTGTCACTACCTACGCACAAGTTTGAAGTCATCCTATCAGCTGGAAAAGCGATCATGGAGCTGATCGCTCAATACAATGGCGAACTTTTCGAAGTGTCAGACGAGATGTTAACGGCGATCTTCCGGTACGTGGTAACGATGTCTTCGCTGAGCGATCTACCAACTCTTCGAGCGCTGCTGAAGTACGGCTATCAGCATCATCCAGCATCGCAAAACAAAGCGAATGTGGTTACGGCCTTTCTCAACGCCATCAAGTGGGTGGAGTGTTTCGAGGCCGGCGACGAGAGTTACCAGTTCGATTCGTTGGCGCTGGCTGGATCTCGAGTTTCTGTATCCATCTCAACCAATGATGTCGGCATTCAATTCACTACGGATGGTAACGGGCGAGGAGCAATCGTGTACAATATCCGAAAGCAGTCTCAGGCAGCGCTGAGCGCTGCGATTGTGCCTGGTCTGTCATTGATCGCGATCAACCACGAGCCCGTCATTGGTATGCCTTTCGACAAGATTATTCAACGAGTGCGCACCGCAGCGCTCCCAAAGCAACTCACTTTCATGACGGAGTTTTATTACTACCAACTACTCTCGCTAGACTCGGAGATGTATCAGTACCTGATGTGTATTGCAGCTCGACGTGGTGACTTGGACTCTGCTGCCTGGATGCGATCCTCAACGATTGAACTCAATACGCTATGCTCGTGGGAGAAGTCTCGTGGAAAACAGGTTTTTGGGTTCACACCTGTGTCTGGAAAAGGATCGCCACTTCATGCAGCAGTACATAACGGACAGCTTAGCATGGTGAACTACCTTATTTCAAGAGGAGCAGACGTTAATCTGTGCAACCAGAAGGGACGGCGCCCACTGCACGTTGTGAAGCAGTCAATCGACATGGCCATGATTATTCAAAGCTTGATCGATGCCGGGGCTGATATCGACGCGATGGAGAAACACGGGCTTACCCCGTTAATGTTCATGTGCTCCAGAGCATCTCTCGAAGGATCAGCAACACTCCTAGCACTCGGTGCAGATGTTCACTGTGTTGCGTGGACAAACGGATTTTCAGCACTGGAGTTTGCGGTGAAAAGTGAGCATACCGAATTGGTCGAGCTGTGTCTCTCCAAGGGGGCGAATCCGAATGCCCCAACGTTGGATGGGAACACCAGTCTACATTTGGCCGCCACTCAGGCCAACACTGATATCATTCTTCGACTTTTGCAAGGTGGAGCAAACCCCAACGTTCAAAATCGGTACGGACAAACGCCGGCAGCACTATTGCTTGCGTCTTCACCCGGCGGAAGTAGCGACGTACGCATCCTATGCCTCGAAATTTTGACGTGTGCTGGCTGCCGCCTTGACAAAAGAGATCTATTTGGCCGCCAGGCTTCTCATCTCGCCAGTATTTCAAGAGACTCTCACGTTGTCGATCTACTTCGCAAGTTGGGCTCGCTGAATCGGGAAGCCAATGGTGTTGAAATTGACATCTTCGGTTGTTCTTCAGTCGACTATAGTCACCGTATTGAGGTGGACAAGTCTGCAAGCTATCTGGGGTCTCAAATGCCCAACAGTTCGTGGAAAATGGTGGACAAGGACGACCATGTGTCTCGATCTGCACGCCCGGGCTCGGTTGATGATCTGATCCGCGAGTTAGTGGCAGGGACGGAAGTGGACTTGGTGGATGTGGTGTCTTTCGTGCTATTTCTCGATAGCTTTTCGAGCTTGAACGAAGTAGTGGATCGCCTGAGCGCACACGTCCGAAACGGTGTTAAAAGTACGTTCATGCTTTTGGATCGAATGATATCGTTAACGGTATCGGTGTGAAGGTCTAAACTAATGGTTGCTGTTTGTTTTGTTTAGGCCACGGACTTATCCGTCTCTTTATTGTGGTTCTGCTCTTCAGGCAATCGGAAACCAAGGAAGCTGACGATCTGCGTGATCGTTTCTACAGCCTCATTAGTCTTAACATTGACGCGAAGGACAAACTGGTCCCTCTGGTCGAAGAGTACATGTCACTTTACAAGGAGTATTTCTCCTTGCGAGGAGCTGGAAATTACGCGGTGAACTACCAAGCGATTCCAGGAATGATGAGCAAGGTTTACGGAATGGAGTCAGGCTTCGAGCCCGTATCCTCTGGACCCTTTTCGGCTCATTTGCATCGGTAAGTTACTCGCGAAGTATATATGACCCACTGACTCTGACATATTTACATGTCTGTCGGATGGCAGGTTCGTCGACGCAGAACGGTGGGCGGAGCAGTGCACCCTCTTAACGCACGCAGTGTTCTGCAAGATTCCGGGTAAGTCCTTTATTACGCTGATGCGTGTGAATAAAAAAACTAATGGCGCATTTTTTTGTAGTCCGAGACTTCATTCCAACTGGATCGAAGAAAAAGCACTCGGTTGAGTTTACGAGCATTAAACGCTGGTTCCAGCACGTACGTTCCCTTAGTAACCCTACTCAGGCTGCTGAAGTGATAACTAATCTACTGTGTTACCATGTAGATCTCTGCATTTGTGATCAATGCTGTGCTGGTTCAGAATACCCCGGAAGAACGTGCCGAAGTGATTTCGTTTTATCTCAAGGTACTCACAATGCCAAAGGCGATGAAAGTTTCTGGCACAAGGTTTAATTTTTGCCTTATTGTGAAATGTGCTCAGGTCGCCGATTACTGTATTTCATTGCACAACCACGACACTCTCGCTTCCATTTTATACGCATTGCAATCTACAGCAGTCCAGCGACTTCGCAAGACAATCGATTGTGTGAGTTAACGGTTTGTGTTGGTCTGCTTTGACATTGAAGCTGTTGCTGACCCGTGTGAGGTGTTATATTGTAAATTTCAGCTAAGTCTGGACGCGAAGAAAATGATGAACGAGATGCAGCTACTTTCAGACAAGGGTTGCCGAGAGATGAATAGACTGATGCGCAAAACCGCTAATCCGAGCATGCCATACATCGGACTGTACCTCCAGGTAGGTGTTATCTGCGTGAACTATTCGATTGCGAGGCGAGTGACTGACTTGTCCATTATATTATTTTAGGGCTTTGTCGGACTCAACGAGTTGCCTGCTTTTGACAAAGAGGGCCTGGTGAACGCGAATCGTCTACGAAGGATGGGCGAGCTGGCCATGGAAATCCTGCACCGCCAGTCTGTTGCCTACACGCTTCAGCACGACGAAGATGTTAACGTGAGTTGCAGTATATCACGGCTGCTCTCAACTTTATAGCTAACTTGTACCTGTATGCCATGTAGAAACTGCTGCACGTTTCCCTGCCGTACTCTTCTGAAGAGAGTCGGTATGCTCGGTCATTGGAGTTAGAGCCGCGTGAAGCTGACGCGATCCCATTGAGCGATCGTGGTTCGTATACTTTGATCGATGACGATGTTGACCTCGAAAATGAAGTTCGTGAGTCAATCGGCGGTGACGGGACTTTCGGCTTCCGTCAGTGGATCCGGAAGCAGCAGGTAGTGCATCGAAACCGTTCGCGGTCGTCGGTGATAGCTCTGTACGAGTGGGTGTAGTTGTACCTGGTAGCAGTTAGTTTATCTATTCTCGCCCAACCCGTTAATATATTAGCGTATTTAGTTTTCTGCGATGTACTTCTCGAAGTCCTTCATCGAAAGCATGGCGTCCAGATCGAGGGATGGCTCTTGCTTTTCAGGTTCAGGCTTCACGTCGTCCCGGAAAAGGTCTTCGGAAGGAGATTTCGTATCTCGGTCGGTCAAAGGTTTGTCTTCCATAGCCAGCTCTTCCATTTGCTGCATGATTCGGTCTCCCTTCTCTCCCAGCATGTAGTCATCCCTACAGAGTCCCACGATCATGTTCACTTCGTTAAGCATTCCTTTTGAGCCCAAATGAGGTCGCTACGTTTCGCGTGCTAGTATTATACTGTAAGTATTACTCACAGAAGCCGATTCAGCTGGATGTCGTCGCTTGGTGAGGGAACGCTATCGTCCAATTCACGTTGCGGGTCCTGGTATCGTTTAGCCCAGCAAATAAACACCGCTAGCTTCTATCACGTGTCTCCAATGGTATTTTACTGCAGTTATACCTTACCTCTTTTTCCACAGGCTCGGAGAATAGATCCCGCACCTCGCGACGTTTGTGCGATGCCTCGGCCTTGCTGTCCTTGGCGCTACTGGTTCGCTTCCAATGGTGGAGCTTGGTCACAATATCACTGCTCGCGCATAGGTTGACGATGAGGTTGCCTGCAAAGATGCAAGTGTAAAGCTTCTTGGAAGACTTACTCGTCATCTTCATCGTCCGAGAAGAAACCCCCTCCCGTTCGAGCAGTCACTTGGTTGTCGCTGCGACTCGCATGCTTCGTGGTTCGGTTAGCTGGGGCGACGTAGCCGTCCGTGTGGGCCGCATCGAAAAACGAAAAGGCTACAATTCAATCGTGGTAGCTGTGAGTAGTCGATCATCCAAGTGAACTATCGGCGGCATTGCTGTTCACGGAGAAGTCCTCACTGAAGCGATTCTTGTTGTGCGTCATCCCCTTGGCAGGAAGATCTTGGTGATGCACCAAAACGCGAAAAGATCTGTGTGTGGTGCACAGAACCGAAGGCGAGATGGCTACATACAGTACATCTGATCTGAAGGTAGGTAGAATTACTGTGGAAAACTATCGAGCGAATCGATCTTGATCTAAAGGCCCAGGCAGCATGTCTGCTTAGTTAGTACGTGTACAATACATTACAGACCGCGCACATCCAGCACGCCGCCCTTGAACCGTCCCTTGGTAGCCTGCACGCCGAAGTCGACCTTCTTCCGCTTCTGCTGGTCTCTCGACTTGCCACTGCTGGCCTTCCTCTTTCCCGTCACCACGTCTGCCTCCTTCATCTGTTGTTTCATATAGCACGGGATAAACGGCATCGTGTAATGTCATCCAAGAGTTGTCCTCAGAGCAATACACTACATGACGTACCAGTTCCTCACGACGCTGCTTCCTGGCGGCGCCCTTGGTCTTCATGCCGATCAGAATCTTGTACGGCACACTACGGTTCTTGGCAGCTTTGCCACCAAGCGCCTCAATCTTCTTGGCCTCGTGCGCCTTCTTCTCCTTGCCCTTCAGGTTGGACGTAGCTGCCGACATCACAATTCATGGTAAGTCGCTAGGTCTTGGACACTCTACGACACGAAAATCGGGCAAAGCTCGACAGCAGTCACGCACCAAAGTCCAGCACTGAGTCGAAGGTTTCGTCGAACTCTTTGCGAATTTCCTGACGCAGCGTCATCTCCGGTTCATCGTCCTTGGCTTTGTTCTGGTAACATGCAGCGACTGTGTCAATCGCATGAAGCACTGAGAGAGACAGAGAGAGAGAGACACGCGATCAAGACACGGACCTTGGCGGCGCGAGGCTTGCGCTCCTTCCACGTCTCCGTGGGGCACTCAAACACCTGCACTTTCTTCTTCTTGCCGCTCGCCACGGGGAACTGGAACGCCATGGTTCGACTCTGGTGATGCACGACCAATATGGGCGAAATAGCGCCAATCAAAAGTAAAATGGAGTGGTGCACATTATTTGAAAATATGTGACGCGCGCAGTCCACTTCAACAACAACGCACACATGGGAAAAAAAAATAACAACGACAGTGGATTGCTACGGGGCTCGTCGGCGCTCATTTCACACAAGAACCTGAACTTGGAACAGACCGCTACTAGCTGGTGGGCACGAGTCGCCGTTACGCTTGGCGTCATGTTCGAACAGCTCGTCCTCCGCGTCGCTTACGTCATTGTCGTCGTCATCTCCGTACAGGCTGCTGCCGAGATCCGACCCAAAGCTGTCTCGCATGCTGCCGCTTGCGAAGGATTCCAGCTTGTCGTCGCTCTTCAACTCTGGCTCAAAGTCGTAGAACCCCCTGCTCTTGATGACGCGGCTGCTTCGTAGAGGATTCGCACGGGTGTCAGCTCGCCTGTCCGCGGAGGTTGGAGAAGCGGTGACTCGCGGTGCCGGCCCGTTGTTATCTTGGTTCTGTGACTTGGGGCTTAATGGGACGAAGACGCTTTCGCCAACTAAAGACTGGTTGAGAACGCTTTCGTCGTGGGCTGGAACAGCAGGGATCGGGCGGTAGCGTGACAGGCGTTGGAAGCGCGGCGACTCCATAGTGGTAACTACCATTCGTTTGTTGGGGGTGGGCGTTGAAAAGTCTGCCATGGACATCGGACTTGGTGGCTTTCTTCGCCGTCCTTGAAGTGCAGGTTGAGGGTGGTCTTCATGGATGTTTAAATCCCCGAGCGTCTGGCGAATCTGGTTGAGTCGAGAGTACGGCTGCGTTTCAGGAGCATCTTCGGTACGATCCGGAAGGTTCGAACTCTTAGCCATGTTGTTCATATCAAACCCCACAGACTCATCCGGTGAAAGTCGATGCTGAAGACGGATCGCCTGTTGATACTGTTCTTGCTGAGCTTGCTGCTGAGCAAGCTGTTGCGCTTGTTGCGCCTGCTGCGTCTGGAGATCCGCGTGGTGCTGCTCATTCAAAGCCCGCTGTGCATCCACAAGGCTTGCCATCTTTTCGTTTTCCAATTGCAAAAGTGCACGCTGCACACGTAGTTCTTCTTTTTCGCGCCGCACCTCGTCTCGTTCTCGCCGCAACTCTTCGCGTTCACGGCGAATTTCCGCCAGCAGCGATCGGTACTCATCAATGATGCGGCTTTGCTGCTCCAGTTGCTGGCGGGATTCCTGTGCGTCGCTCTCTTGGGAATATAACGGTCGTCCCGCTGCGCTACGATCAAACGTGTCGCGACTATCATCCCTCGCAACACGAAAATTTCCTTGCGGCATCTGAAGCTGTGACGGGGCAGGTGGGGGAAGCAACGCTTCAGCGGCTCCAGGATTTCCGTACTGTCGATCTCTCTGATAATAGTTGTCGTCGTCATCACGGTTGTCGCTGCCAAATGCAAAGTTGTGGCGGCCACTCGCAGCCTGTTGAAAGTTGTTTCTCTGTCGGTTCCCCGCCTCCTCCGGTGGAGACGGTAGCGCACGATACGGAGAGTTCGTCTCCGCCCTGTTTTCATTAAACTCAGCATTCACCGCCGGAGAAAACTGCCCCAGCCGTCTCTGCGCTCGAAGCTGCTGCTCGCGAAGGTAGCGCATCTCCTCGCGCGCAGCATCTTCCTCGCTGCGCCTCCGCTCCGCCTCCTGCTGTTCCTTCAGTCGCGCCTTTTCCTGAACTTGCTCGTCCAGCATCCTCTTCCACTGCATCTGCTGCGCGCGCTCTCGCAGTCTCTGGCTGGTTTCACTCTCGTCTGTCACGCGGAAGCGCGGGTGGGACGAGGACACGCCGTTCGCTTCGCCCGTAGCTGCGCCGCGGTCCTGCCGCTGCTCCTCGTGGAGATCCACGCTCTGCGTGAACTTCCAGGGGGACTGGGAGGCTGCTGGCATGTCCAGGTGCCCGCCCTCGACCAGCCACTTGGACGGCGAGCGCTCGCTCGGTGCCAGCTTGCGCTCGAGCTCCTCGCGCTCCATTTGCTCCTGGTGTTGACGCGCCCGGCGCAATGCGATCTGGTGGTCTAGCTCGCGAGCGTAGGCCTCTCGTCGACGCTGGATCTCGCGCGGGTCGTCGTCATTGAGCCCGGCCTCGGAAGCCCACATCGAGGCTTATCGTAGCTGCTCGATAGTCGAACGGCGTTTGTTTGAAGACCAGCCTGGACGGTTTTTGGGAGGGAAGCAATGTGATTGGGCGAGAAAAATCTCGAAGCGAGTTTTGAAACGGAAATTCACGTTGAAGAGGCTTATTGCTAATATTTAATGAGGAAAATTGGACGGCACCACCACGACGGACCATGCAGCATGCAGAGTAGGCGAGTCGAATTCTGCCGTAGACTAGAAGTTCAACGAGTTGCCAAAGAGGCACGAGTCGGCATACTCGCGACGCAAGTCCGCCATCGCCCTCTCCACCTGCAGGTCGGAGCGGCGACACTCGGACTGCAGAAGCTGGAACCGCAGCGACACGTCGCTCTGGAAGCGCCGCAGCCTCTTACGCTCCTTCTTGGCTCCATCTTTCCGTGACCGGTGGTGGCGACTGCCGCTGCTGCTGCGACGTCGATGCTCTCGACTGCTGCTGTGGTCGCTGTCCCTGCTGTTTCCACTCGAGCTGCTCCTCCCGTCGCTGTCATAGTCCACTTCTTCCGCTTGAGGCCCGCGTAGCATACCCTGGATACGAACACGCTCCTTTCGGCGTCGCTTGCACTGCTTCAACGTGTCTAGCAGCTCGGCGTGCTCCCGTTGCAGACTGCTGAGTCGTTCCTGGCCTCGTCGGAACGTCTCCTCCTCGCTGTTTAGCCACTGCTTCTTGCGCTCCACCTCGGCGTAAAGCTCCGTCAAGGTCTCGTGCACGTCTGTATCGTTGGTCTCGCTCGATCCTCCGCGTTGCTTCAAGCGCAGCGCCTGTGCTGAGCTGCTGGTCGCTCGCCTCCCCCTCCCAGCCCCAGACAGTTTCTCTTCGGTGCGCACGCGGAACACGACGGACTTCTCCATGGTGCGCATGACGCTCCGGCGGGGACTTCTCTCGGCGGACTGCACCGAAGACCAGCGCGGGGAGCCCCCGTGGTCGTGCGAGCGAGCGCTGGACGACGAGGATGCGGCGTCCTCGCTCATGGCCGTGAGTGAGGCTTGCTGGATCGGAGCTGAAGTTTGATGGGGGCTAATGAGTACCTTGAAAACGCATGTATGTCTAGGTACCGCGCAAGTCAGATTGTATGTTTGCTATTATGTCAGATATAATAATTTTGCAAACCTGACTTAGATACCAGTATCGGTTTAGGAGGACTGCAACTTGCTGTTCAAAACGTGTTGATTGTCTAGTGGTAATGGTAACGAGGCCGTTCCTGTCTAAGACCTTCTGCTGTGTGCAGTTCTCTTTGCTGGTCTCTGCATGCAACTCTCTCATAGTTCGGTGTGCGGAACGGGCTTGCTGGCGGGCAGGGGCGAGATCATGGGCGAGAAAATGGGGCGGGAGCTGTGCGTCAGAGCCATCGAATGCGCGCCACCGGCGGAAACCTGCCGAACCGGAATGGGGCCGAGGTCCAGGCGCGTGGGCACTGAAAGCGGCTTCATGTCCGTCATACCCAAGCGTCCGTGGCTGCAGTCATGATAATAAAGGCACAACAACAACAGGTCAGCTTTCACGCATGTACGACGCAGCTCAACGGCGTGCAGAGGTACGCACTCAGGTCGTCCGGCGACGTAAGCGATGCCGTCGCTCGTGACAAACAGGGTGTGAGAGCCACCGCACGCAGCCTGAATCACGGTCTGTCCCTTCAGCGCCTTCACCTGTGGAGTACAGAAGTACGTGGTGTCAGCAGACCTTATCGTATCGTTTGTCCAACCATAAATCATTTCGTACCAAGTGAGGTCGCGTGCGACTCTTTGTGTCGCCAAGACCCAGTCGGCCATACTCGCCTCGTCCAAATGCGTAGCAGTCTCCTGACTTGGCAACCACCATCGTGTGCCAGCCTCCGCAAGACACACGTCTATATGGACACAACACAATCCGAACATCATTAGCAACAGCAAAACGTCCGAAGAATTTACAGCAACCTGCGTAACTTACAACGCCGGGATATCGTCGAAGAACTCGACGCGCTTCGGGGTCTGCTGGTCCGATGTCTGGCCGACGCCGAGCATGCCGTAGTCCTCTTTGCCCCAAATGTAGACATGGCCCTGTTCGGTCACAGCAGCCGAGTGGAATGCACCGCAGGCAACCTGCACGACCTTCTCGCCATTAAATCCCTCCACCAGATGCGGACGACTCACTCCCAGGAGACCATTGTCGTCCGTGTCCTTCAGCCACGCCGAGCCAATACCCAGCTGACCGCTGTCGCCACGGCCCCAAACGTACACACGCCCCAAGTTGGTCAGTGCTGCCGTGTGCGTGCCACCGCAGCTAACCTTCACAACGGATTCATCTGCAACGCCCTCGAGCAGCGGGCACTTGACGGGGAACGATTCGTGCGCCGCCTCGAATTCCTTCGGCAGTCCCAACTGGCCCCAGTGGGTCTCGCCCCACATGTACAGCGTTCCGTCATTGGTCACGGCGGCAGAATGGCAGCCTCCACACGAGACGTAGTCCACCTTCAGTCCTTCCTGCTCGAAGAAGGCGATCTTCTGCGGCACATTGATGCTCTTGAGGTCTCCGTGGCCCAGTTGCCCCATCTACTTGGCACACAAAACACAGCCAGCAAACGGGTGAGCGCGCGCCGGTCCTGTTACAGAGTACAAGACCACAAGAAACTGCTAAGAACGCACCGATCCCCACCCCCACGAGTACACGGCACCGGAGGCCGTGAGCGCCATCGTGTGGCGAGAGCCGCACGACACCGCTACGATCTCCTCGCCCAGCAAGCCGCCGAGCTGCTTGGGGAAGTTGGAGGCCGACACGTCGTCGATGGCCAGCGTCGGCCGGCGCTTGGCACCCGTGCCCAGCTGCCCGTCGTCGTTGCAGCCGAAGGCCACCACTGCGCACTCTGTGGCGCCCGTCGAGATGCTCATGCTCCTTTCGTCCTGCTTCGAGGTGGTCGGGCGCAAATGTGAATGTGAACGACGCTGACCAGCTGACGGTCAGCCTGACCGTCAGCACCACATGGTGCTTGGATTTAACAGTTAAGGTTGATACTGTATTTCATGTTAAGTTAAATAGAAACTTCAACTTGTTCTGGTCAAGCGCGGTCGTCTACGGAGACCTTGGAGGACGGTCTGGGAGCAGCGAGAGGGGCGTACATCTGAGCTTTGAGGATGTGGAACTTGGGACCTCGAAGTCGACCGTGTTTACCTTCCAGCTGCCGCTTAATCTCCGCGAAGCGGACAGCGTTCTGGTTTCGATTGCTGCTCCAGGACCTGAAGTCGACACTGTCCCGTGCCTCTCGCGTCGTATCATTGCTGCTGCTGCTTTTGAGCGAGTGCTGCACGTGTGAGTTCGTCTCCGGCCCGAGGTCACCGTCATCGTCTTCCTCGTTAATGGATTCAGCCCCGAACTGCTTCGACGGCTTGGCCTGCTGCACGATCATGCGCGTGGTGCGCTTGATCTGGAACTGGTGCTTGTACTTGGCCATCAACCGTTCTCGGAAAGCCAGCGCCTTCGCTTGCTGGTCGCGGGCCGCCATTTCGCGACGGTAAGCCTCGCGCTGAGTGGGGTACTTGATAGTTACTTGCAACGCTCTGCAACGGCGGCGACTTGCATCTCCGCGGACCAAACGCTGGATCTTCACGGCAGGAGACTGACGAATTCCCTTGAGCCATCCTTTCTGTCGCTTAAACTCACGAAAGACCATGCGCGTGGTCAGCCCGCGCCACCGCGCCTGGATGCGGCTGACCAAAGCGTACTCGCGACGTAATACGCGCCTCGTGATCTCCAGCACGTTGTTCTCCACCTTGATCAACGTGGGTTTGCCTCCCGATCTGCGCACGTACTCTCTGTAATTCCAGTAGAAGACCCCGAGCTCGGCAGTATTTGTGTACCAGAAGACCGGCGGCTCGTTTGGTCGAGCAGCCAAAGCGTAGCTGAGAATCTGTGGGGCCATAAAGCGGATAATCCGCAGACACCGCTCGATCACAGTTCGTCTTCGAGCTTGCATGCCTCGCACTCGAGTTTGGATTCTGGTGGCGGCCCGATTGATCTCTCGTAGATACCGCTCGCGCTCTACCAGTCGACGGCGGAACTCTAGACGCCCAAGGAATCCACGCGCGATACGCTGCAATAGAGCTGTGGCTGGGACGCGTCGACGCTCGAACTCCTTGATAGCATTGCGCTCCTCTTCAATCTGCTCCTGGAAACTCACGACCCCTGCGCGTAGATATCGCGTGCTTCCGCACCCTGGACACTTCGGCACTTGCTCATACAAAAGCGTAGTGTCTTCTCTCTCGCCGGCATCGTTGAGTGGCTGCATGGAGGCAGCCAGTTGGTCTGCCTTGCGTCGAACTCGCTGCACGTCGATGAATGTCACGCAGTTGCAGCGCTGACAGGTGAGGTACGGCGTCATGGCACTAAGCAGGTCATCGACAACAGACAATGAACGAGTCTCTGGCCTTTGGTTGGCATCATTCTCGCCGTCACCGGAAGGCTCTTGTGTAGACAGAGATGAAGGCATGCCGACTACATCGTTCAGAGCGATTGGTAGCTGATGGTTGCCCCGTGGTGAGCTAGCTGTGTCCGGCAATGGTGTTGTCGGCATGGTCTTCAGGATATCCAGACCAGGAGCGTGTCATGGGCGTTGGGTCACCTATTTTTCAGTTTCGCTGAAGGGGTTGTAGCCCAAAAATGACGAAGGAGCTGAGCACTGAGTAGTGATGTGAAAACTACGAGTAAAAGGACTATTGAGATTCTTGTTGTATGTATCAAACGCACTAGTGCAGACGTTCTTGTGGGGCATTCCTATTCGTCCTCGGCGATGTCTTCCTCCATCTCGTCCTCAACCTCTTCGTCGTCAGGACGCACCATTTTGTCCTCGCGTGAACCTGGACGGATGTGAGTCTCGCGCGAGCCTGGGCGGCTTGAGTGATCCTCACGTGAACTCGGGCGGCTTGATTTGGCTTCACGTGAGCTAGGGCGACTGGATGGGGCGGCCTGCTTGTAGTCGCTCGGTGATGGTCGGCGGCGTCTGTCGTCCCCGAGAGAAATACCTAGTTTTGCTTGCACGGCCTCCACCACGCGCGGGTCCACATACGACTTGAGCGTGAGCCCCCTACGCTTCATCTCTTCCATAGTCTCGAAGCTCTTGTTCAGCTCGCCTTCCTCGTAGTACGCTTCCGTCAGCATAGCATACGCGTCACCCACGCGGATGGCCTCCTCGATACCAGGCTCCTCAAGCAACTTTGTGACGATCTCCATCATCTCCTTCGGGTTGTTCATTGCTTGCTGACGAGCGATGACAAATTGTTCAATGAGCAGAATACGCTTTTCGTAGCGCTTCAGCAAGGCGTCTTTGCCGTCAGCGCGAGATTTGGACACGACTTGCACGGCTTCTTGCAGGGCAGAAATTGCCTTCTCGTAGTCACGATACTCCTCGATCTCAACCTGTGCGCAGCCAGCGTAGAAGGCTGCAAGCTGCTCGAATGCACGCGCCTTGGTGTAAAAGCCGACGATATTCTTCATGATCTCGGTGTCCTTCCGCCAATCCAGATTCTGCAGGTAGTTGGCTGCGAGAACGAAGATTTGGGCATTGCGCGACACATTGGCGAAGAACACCACCTTTTCAGTGTCGCCGGACTTGAGCAGACACTTCATGGCCTTGAGTTTGTTTCCGGCTTGTGTGTATTTCTTCGTGGCCAAGTGGTACGAGCCTTGCTGTTTGCAGCATTTCGCCAGCTTGAGAAGCAGCTCAGTGCGTCTCTTCTTGTCCGCAGGCGAGGCTGTGTCGTCGCCCTTCGGCGGGGTCATCTTTTCCGCCATTTCTTCCGTGACCTTCACGTCGTGTTGCATACACACATCCAGTGCCTCAGCGACACGGTTTCCGATCAAGCATAAGTGCACCGCCTTAGCATAGTGGCCATTGGCAATGAAAAAGTCGGCGCACTTCTTCAGGATAGCTGGCGAAGTACTACCGGAGCCACTGAGTTCGTCCGTGAGGTGGTGTAACTCCTCGAAAAGTTGCGCCTGAAAGCACAAGTCCAATGCCTTGGCCACATTGCCTCCTTTGTGATAGAGCTGCACAGCCTTCTCCATTTCGCGTTGCTCCTCAAAGTACGCAGCACAGTCGAGCATATCGCTTGGTTTACTCATCAGCGCGAAGCCCATGAGATCTGCATCCATGCGATGCTCCTTAGCTAGACGAATTGCATGGTTGTAGCACCCTCCACTGGCGAAGAAGTGGATAGCGTTGGAGATCTCGTCGTGCGCTTCAAATTGTCGTGCCAAATGATACGCCGCGGCCCGATTCCCGCTTGTCTGTGCCACTTTGGCAGCAGCCTGGAAGTCCTTCTTGAAGCACAGCACACGCACGATCGACAAATAGTCCTTGGCGCGCTGGTAACTCTCCACCGCTCCGTCGAACTGCCCCTGACTCTCCTGAAACTGTGCCCACCAAATGAGCAAGTCGCGGTTATTCGACGTAGTCACGTACTTCTGCAGCAAGTCGATCTTCCCCAGCTTGAACAGCATGCGAGGAATATCTTTTTGGTGAGTACCGGCGTCCTCGTAAGCCTCCATTGCCTCCTTGAGATCGCCCATTTCCTCATAGTGTCGTGCCAGCGCGTGATACGTCGTTTTCAGGTGGATTCGGTCGCGTTTGGATGCCACATCTACAGCTTTCTTCCAGTAACCACTCGCTTGATACAGTTTGTTAAGGAGATCATAGCGGCCGCACTCGCGATACAGCCGAGCTGCATCGTCGCGTAATCCCAGTTGGATAGCGACCATGGCAATTGCCACTTCTAGTTCAGGTTCCTTCTTGGCCTCTTGTACTGCAGCTGCACCTCGAGCATGACCCATGTTTCCGAGACACACCTCAGCCACATCCAGTCGCTTCGTCTTCACGCACATGCGAGCCATGTTCTCCCAAACAGAGGGGTTCTCGATGAGCTTGACTGAACGGTACGCTTCATCCATGTTCCCGACCGTCATGAAGTAGCAGAAGTCGATGAGAGCTTGCTTCGCTTCGTTGTTAACCTTATCTAGCCCGGTGAAGTCACGCATGATCTGCGTGCGCAGGTAACTCGCAGTATCGTAAATCGTTGGAGTTTTCGAGACGGGATTGTTGGCCTTCGTCCGGCCAACGTGCACTACTGTGGTGGCGTCATCTGAAGAGCCGTTGTCAACCTTTGCCACGAAGTACACGCGGGGTACCTGAATGCCCAGCAGCGCTGTGTATTTCAGATCCAGGTCGAAACTATCCTGCATGAGGAGTCCGTGCTCATTTGACGCGAAGATTATCGTGACTTCCTTGTCCGATACCAAGTTCCCCCGCGAGCCACTAGCCCCACCGGCTCCTAAGCCGTCGTCGGGGCTGGGGTCACGCCGATTTCCAGCAGCTCCACCACTTGCTCCTGGTGTCGAGATTTCGTTGCCCGACTTGGCAGTCTCACAGATCAGCAACCGAGGTTCTTGAGGATCGAAGAAAACCGAGTTTGGGTAGCGAGAGGCGCCAAAGTCGAACTGCTGGTAGATATTGAGATCTGTCTGGAACAAGAAGAGTTTGCTCAATGGTTCACGCATTCGCAACGCGCCTTCGACACGATCCGCCAGAATGCAGATTCGAGTGCCGTCCGAGTTGACACAGATGGATCTCATCACAGCAGACTTAGTCTCGTCACCATAAGCTTCGGGGAGGTTACCCATACTCCCCAACGCCTTTGGGTCACGGCGGGATACATCAAAAACACGCAAAAGACCGCGATCCGTGCCCACCGCAAGGAATTTGTTCTGAAGAGACAGCATCGCCGGCCGTCCCTCAGCCTCCGTGAACGAGATCGAGTTCTTCACCACTCCGGCGAGATTGCATATCTCAACATGATTCCCATTCGCCCGGTAGACGGATTCTCCGCGAAGTACCATCGCACTTGAAAAGCATTTGAACTGGTTTGTGAGCTTCGCGTCGCCATCTTTCATCTCGTATACTTCTGCTTTCGAGCCGTTCCAGACGACAAGTGTAGACCCGTCATGCGAAATCCCTTTGGCACGCAGCGACGCCTCTAGAGTTGCTTGTGTGATCGTCACACCGGACTGCGCTCCATCTTGAAACTTCTCAATAGAAAGCGTCTTAGGTCGCACTTGGATTACTGCTGTATCACCGCAGAGAGCGCGCTGCATGTTACCTTCATGAAGGATGACCACACCCTCGACAGTGTTGGCATACAACGCTGGGTGTGCATTGCTCCACCCAATGCGCGTGACCGCGCGTCCAACTTCTGCAGTGAATAGTAGATCCCATCGATACGATACTGTAGGTGTTTCTCCGTTACCTTGGGTATTGTCAACGAAGGTCGTGGCACGCCAGAAGAAAACCGCTCCTTGAGCCGTACCAGCCACAAGTACACGCCTCCGTGGAGAAAAACTTAAGTTGTTGACGTTGTAGTTCAGCCCGCTTGACTTTGGTAAGCTCAACACACTGTTTTCTTCCGTACAGATGTTCCAAAACCGTACAATCGCTTCGCCAGACGCAATCGCAAGTAGTCCAGGGCCCGCCCACTTGGTTTCTAGCAGCGAGCCTTCTCCCGCTAGACTCAGTTTGACCTTGGTGGTGAGCTTCACGGTGCCATCAGTAGTACCAACTTGGTACACGAAGAGCTGCACCGCTCGTGTGATAACAATCAGACGGCTTTGCTCCTCATAAAACATCATCGAATCAATAGCGTGGTTCAGGACTTGGACGTCCGTAATGTGCCCCAAATCGTCTGCACGATGGACAGAGCCCACCTCACCACCAAAAAAGAACTGTGGACACGCGTGCTGAGAGAAGTGATCACTATACAAAGCAATCAAACAATATTGTGAGCAACAAAGATGGCCAAGGGTACAAGGAGAAGGTAGTTAGCTACCTCTTTGCATTGTTGTCCCTCGACGCAGGTAGGGTGGCGAAGACACAGTGGGTAAAGCTTCCCTGACGTGCGTACTGCGTGCTGAGCGTGAGCTGGCAGCGACTGTCCACTTTCCAAACGGCAAACACGCCGTTTTCATCTGCGGACATTAGACGGTTGCCTGCTGGCGCCCACTTCAGCAGGCACACACGGCTCGTATGCGGCGAGTTCACCTCGCGCGCCGTTTGTTCCTTGAACACCCACAACGATACCATGCCTGGCACAAGAACAGCACTGTCAGCCTAGTGTCTGCCGAACACTTACTGGAGTTACCACTAAGGCATACCATCGCTCCAGCCAACAGCGAGTGCACCACCACGAGGCTGCCAGGCCATCGTGACGATGTCGGCACTGCGCGAGTAGTTCTCCAGCCCCTGCTGCTTCTCGCCCTGCATCCGCAACAGTGTAACCACCAAGTAACAAGATCATCAGTCTACCAGCGGCAACCGCAACACAATGCAGAGAGCTTCTAGCGTCGCCACCTCATCCGTGAAAAAGTGGATCTCCCGGTTCTCCAGCGCTACCGCAAGCACGGGGTCCAGCTCCCCCCACACCGAGCAGACCTGCCGCAGGTTCGCCGGCACCGCGACATTGTAGTCATAGAACAAGGCCATCGTTGCCCTGCTCGCCGCCGCTAGATCTTACGCAGTGCGCACTACTGTAGCCATTGAAGCGACGCGTCGCTTCAAGATACACCATTCTTTAGCACAGGTAAATGGTATATACTAGGATTCCAGTGTGTTGTACACCATTTGTTCCATTGAGTGGTTCGCAGTTTTGACTGGTTGCGGCCACTGCCACTGCATCAATAGGCCCGCGGCAGCGTCAACGGACACTCGAGAGACATGGCGGCGCCAGCGAAGACCTCGGAGGCCAAGGGCAAGAGCTACAGCGGCGGCAAGGGCGGCTTCAACGCCAAGAAGCGCCCCGCCGGCCATGGCGAGGACGGCAAGAAGTCGTTCATGGACCAGAAGCTGGCCAAGAAGCAGCGCAAGATGCAGCGCCCGCACTACGAGATGGTGACGCGCGCCAAGCAGATCTGGAACGTCATCCGCGAGCGCGACGTGGACAAGCAGAAGCGCGCCGCGCTCGTGGAGGAGCTCTTCTCGCTCGTGAAGGACAAGATCTACGACGTGGCGGCCAAGCACGACGCCTCGCGCGTCATCCAGTCGCTTATGCAGCACGGCAAGCCCGAGCACCGCTCGCAGATCGTGCTCGAGATGAAGGAGCACCTGGTCGAGCTGGCCAAGATGCAGTACGGATGCTTCCTCGTGCAGAAGATGATCCGCTACGGCAGCGTGGACGACCGCGCGGCCATCGTCAAGTGCCTCACGGGCCACGTCGTCCAGGTGGGCACGCACAACATCGCGGCCAACGTGCTCGAGTACGCGCAGGAGTACCTCAAGCCGTCGCAGCTCACGGCGCTCAAGCTCGAGTTCTACGGCCGCGAGTTCGCCTACTTCCAGTCGGAGAGCAAGCGCAACCTCGCGGACATCATCGCGGCGCACCCGGACAAGAAGGAAGAGGTGCTTAAGCACCTCAGCAGCATCCTGAACCGCATGGTGGACAAGCAGCTCCTTGGCCTGGCGTTCGTGCAGTCGCTGCTTTGGGAGTACATGTGCAACGCGGAGCACAACGACGTGATGCAGATGGTAGCCAACGTGCGCGACGCGTCGCTGGCGCTGCTGGCCACGCGCAATGGTGCTCGTGTTGTGAACAAGTGCATCTCGCTCGGCGCCGCTAAGGACCGTAAACGCATTATCAAGGCACTCAAGGACAAGGTGCTGGACGCGTGCAACCACCCGAGTGGTTACCTTGTGATCATGCGTATCCTGGATGTGGTGGATGACTCCGTTCTGGTGCAGAAGTCCATTCTGGCTGAGTTGAATGACCACCTCTTCTCGATTGCGATGCACCCGAGCGGACGCAAGGTTCTTCTGCAGCTGTTCAGCCCCCTTAACACCAAGTACCTTTCGCCGGACGACCTTGCGCTGTTGGAGCCTCCCATGCTGCCGTCACCCGAGGACCCGACCGTCATGGTGGTGAACTACAAGAAGGACCCGGACGCTCGTCGCGAGGAGCTGTTGAAGGGCCTGCTGCCCAAGCTGGAGGAGATGTGCGTCGAGAACGCTGCTGCCCTGCTGCGTTCGAAGGAGGGACGTGACGTCATAGTCGAGGTTGCGAAGAGAAGCGAGAGCACAGACCTGGCTGACAGCGTTGCTGTTGCTGTGCTGGCCGAGCCCACTGAGGAAGAAGAGGAGCCTCTGCACAGCGATGCCAACGGCCACTTCGCTCTTCGTCGCCTGATCAAGGAGACGTCAATGGCGGAACCTCTGCTCACTGCTGTCGAAGAGAAGCTGCCGGAGTGGGCGTCCACCAACCGTGGCTCGTTCGTGGTGCTCTCGTTCGTGGAGACTGAGAAGGGCCCCAAGAACGCTTCCAAGATTGTCAAGAAGGCGCTCAAGCCTGTGATGGGAGACCTGAAGAAGCACGCCGACAAGCAGAAGGGCACTAAATTACTTCTTGAGAAGCTCCAATAGAGAGGAGATAGCTCAACTTTATAGATCCAAAGGTTTTTGTTGTTATGCATTACCTCCCGTTACATTCATTCGTCGCTATCGTCGTCGCTGTCGTCATCTTCAGAGCTGTCTGTGCTATCGGCGTCTTCCTCCTCGTCCTGGTCGTGGGCCGCAAGTATTGGATTTCCTTCTCGCCAATTTTTGACCAGTTCCAGTATCTTCGGTTGCGAATGAAGAACGGCGAGGTATGAAAGAGTCTCACCAAACTGCACGAGGGGCACTTTCAGTTATCTTCTCCATGTCAACGAAACAAAGAGTTTCGAACAAATAAAGGTTTGACATACCCTGTTCGGCTTGTCTACCAGTTCCGAGTCGCACTGCTGGAGCATATTCATAAGCAGATTGACGCTGCCGTGGGCAGCTGCATAGTGCAATGCGGTCATTCCTTGTGCCTACGACACACAACAGTTTTAGCTACTTGAGTACAACAGTCGAAAGAAAGTGTTCAGACTTTTATACGCACGTCTTGCAATGCGAGGTTCGAACCAGCATTCAAGAACACCATGCCTATCTGGTGGAGAGGTGTTCCTCCTTCAGCGCACAACATCAGCGGGGTCTGGCCGAATACCTATTGGCTCAATGGATGAATACTGGTTAGCGTAGCAAGGCTGGTGGTGTGCATACTTTGAAATCAGCACTCACGTTTCGTGCGTCAACACAAGCACCCAGCTCAATCAACGTTTCTGCTGCGACTTTGCTTTCGCCAACGACAGTCAGCATCAATGGAGTCGTCCCCCACCGGTCTTGTACGTTCAAGTTGGCCCCATACTTGGCTAGGAGACGCACAATGTCGAGATTGCCAACACGGCTGGCCCAGTGCAGCGGAGTCCAGCCATCTCTCTAGCTCGCACAACGACAACAACAACAACAACAACGTTCTATTAGTTTACAATTCAAACACAGGATCTTTGTCGAGCTTCTTAAGGTACGTACATCTTTCTTACTGATCGATGCCCCCTTTTTGAGGAGAACGTGGCAAATGCTCGTGCGGTGCAGTGTGCACGCCCAATGCAGCGCATTTCTGCCATCCGAGCCGTTCGCATCGATATCAATTTTGTTGGCGATGCCGGACAGAATTTCATCGACGTTGTCTTCAAAAAAGATAACAAGCGAGTCAAGCTTATGAAAAAAATACAAACACAATAGTGACATCCCGTGCCTGTTTTCGCTGCGAGGGTAAATCCGTCTGCGATCTTGCCATCTCGTTTTGCTTCCTGCACAAGCACACTCTTAGCATAACTGCGTTGTTTGGTGCAACAACTACAAAACTTTACATAGTAGGAGTGCGAAAGGCGCCATAGCACGTAAGTTACCGCAGCAAATGGAATAGCAGCGATTGCCAACGTATACGTCGACCCCGTCTTGATGCAAGTGAATGTGTTGATTTCCATCTCCTCTCGACATTGCTCATCGTACCCCGTCACCATTCGCTGCCACAGAGTCACAGCGGGGATCAGCGCCACGGTTTCAACCAGCGAGCAGACCACAGGCGTGACCAGTGTGGCCTCCTTCCCCTCCCCATTCCACGTTGGGATCTTGATATCGAACGCCACCATGACGCTCAGTATGAAGCTGACGATAGCGGCTATCAGCGCCAGCACAGTGAAGCCTCTCGTGGCTGTGGCATCTTGCAGGCACCACGGGTCGCTCGAGGCAACAACTGAGAGCGAGCTGATCGCTCGAGCGTCAGACTCTACAGCACCTACGGCAACGAGTAACCACGAGATTCCCTCACCAGAAGCGGCTGTATAGCGTGACTGGCTGATCCGCCGATGTGACGTCGGTGCTGTCGAGCGCGGCGCCCGCGTTGATGAGCTTGTAGCGCACGCCCGTACCCTGGTGGCAAGCATCGTGAGACGAAAGGTATCCATAACCAGCTGCTGGAGAGATTCAAAGGCCTGTAGCGCCGCACCGTGAGGAACCAGAGCCCAATGTCGACGGAGTTGACGGCGTCGCGCGCCCACTTTTGGCCGCTGCACGCCACCAGCAGCAGCACCAGCGACACGAAGCTGCACGCGTTGCCTGCCAGTGTATGCACTCAATACGTGCGGTGTTGTTAGTGGACAGCATGAGGGGCTCCTAGTGCAGGCAACGCAGACGCACCGAGCAGGAAGCGCACGCGAATCTTCATGATGCGGAACTGCGCCGTTTGAGGGTGCAGCTTGAAGTTGGCAAAGTTTGAGGGCATGACCCTTTTCCTGGTCGTCTCATTTTTTCGCCTGTTTTCGCGCGGATTTTGCTGTCCCGAACCCGTCTTGCGCTGGGATCGGGGAGATTCACCGCTGCATTTTCACATGCAATTTGTTTGGCAAATGAATCTTGGTGCCGCCCAACACGGCGCTCCGAACGCCGCGTTTGTTCCCAACGGAATCTGGGGCGGGAAGGAGGGAAGAGCCGTAACGACGGAATCCCCGACTCAAAACCGGCAGTACACATGTGCATGTAAAACTGCGCCAAAAACGAACGACTGGAAAAGACCCGAACCATGAGAGCGGAAGGCTGCAGCCCCCCTACAACTGAAAAAGCGCTGCTCTTCGGTCTATCCACTCAGTGGCAGACTGCAGAGTCCACAGTGGTGTGTGGCTCCTGCAGATGCGGGAGAGTGCCCATTTCCGGCTGCCCAGTTGAGCTCTGCCCAGTTCAACCAGGCCCAATTTCTCACGCAAGGTACCCTATCCGCAGCAAGATTCGCTTGAGGGTGGTCGGCATACAAATGTACCATACACCGCGTTAATCGAATCTAGATTCAAAAAAAGAAAAACTATAGCGATTCACTATGGGCGTCCGGCCAGCAGGCAGAAACACGCAGCGATCGATGCCCGCCAGTCTCATTCACGAATTCGCTCCGTCGAGCTCAAGTCTCCATCAGTATGAACGTCCAGGACCTCCTTACTCCCGAGTCGGCGCCCGAGTGCCCGCCGTCGCCGGCGACGTCGGTGGCCAGCTGCTCCAGCACCAGCAGCGAATCCTCGGTCGAGGAGACCCCGAAGCGCGGCTGGGTGGCACCGTTCCTGCTGCATCTGCATCAGATGCTGCGCCGCGAGAACCCCAAGATCATCCGCTGGGCCGAGGACGGCCTGGCCTTCCAGATCCTGGACAAGGAGGCCATGACCGCGCATATCCTGCCCAAGTACTTTAAGAACAAAAACTTCTCTAGCTTCCAGCGCCAGCTCAACTACTTCGGCTTCCGCAAGTGGAGCAAGGCCCGCGCGCAGTTCCCCACCTACAGCCGCGAGCACTTCACGCGCGACAACTACAGCGAGATGTCGCTCGTCAAGCGCCAGAGCAAGAAGTCGCGCAAGCGCAACTCCTCTGCCGGGGGGGAGCAGCCCGCCAAGCGCGCGGCCGTGTCGCCGGCCAATTTCGCCGCCTCTGAGAAGTGCAAGCCCATTCTCCCGCGCCCGGGCGCTGCCCCGCAGCCTGTCGTGGCCTCTTCGCCCCAGTTCCAGCAGCACCGCGTCATGTCCCCGCTGATGCAGCCGTCGGTCTTCAGCCTCCCCGTCCTCTCCCCCGCCCGGAAGGTGAGCAGCGGCTACAAGCTGCCCTCCATCCGCGAGCTGTCCCTGTCCAGCGCCTTGCCGTACTCGGCCCTCGGTCCTATCCGGCCGCGCCTCATGGCCTAAGTGTGCATCGTCCTAGTATTTTATGGTAGTCAACCTAAATATTTATACAGATATCTTCTCAAAATTGGAGCCCGAAAATTCGGAACACACTGACTAAAAAACGCGTACTTTTCGGAACCCGACCGTTGATAGATCCCGCCGAGAGGGCATCGGTTCACTTCAAGTTTCGCTTCCTCCGATCACCAGCAGCAGCATGACGAGTGCCATCAGCGCGGTCACAGCAGTCCCTGCGCACTTTCCGCGCCGAAGCCTGATGCCGCTACTGCTGCTCTTCGCAGGCGCGCTGCTGCCCGTCGCCAGCGCCTGCACCATGGTCGCCGTCGGCCGCAACGCGACCGTCGACGGCTCGACGCTCGTTGCGCACACGGACGACGCGGGATTTGGTGCCGCTGACCTGCGCATGGTGCGCGTGCCAGCGCAGGACCACGAGGAAGGTGCTATGCGGCACGTGTACAACGTGCAGCCAGGTTACCCGCGGCTTGTGACGACCCAGCGAGGACCCGAGTACCGGCCTAAGGACGAGCACGAGCAGCTCATGACGCCGTTGGGTGAGATCCCGCAGGTGCCACACACGTACGGCTATTTCGACCAGGACTATGGCTTCATGAACGAGGTGCAGCTCAGCATCGGAGAGAGCACGAGCGGCGCCAGGACGGTGGGCTGGCCGACGGACGCTGGCCCACACGGATACAATATCTTCGGCATTGGCGAGCTCACAAAAGTCGCGCTTGAGCGCTGCGACTCGGCTCGCTGTGCAATTCAAACCATGGGCGACTTGGCTGTCAAGTACGGATTCTACAGTGAAGACAGCGGCGATCCGGCTAACCCAGAGTATGTGAGCGCGGCCGAGACGCTGGGAATCGCTGACCGCTACGGAGAAGTGTGGGTCTTTCACGTGCTGACTGGTCCACAGAATGCTAGTGCGGTGTGGGCCGCGCAGCGTGTGCTTGATACTCACGTTGTGGTGGTAGCCAACGGCTTTGTGATTCGTGAGATGGATCTGGACGACCCGGATCGCTTCCTGGCCTCGGGCAATGTGTTGACATTCGCTGAAGAGATGGGGTGGTGGAAGCCGAAGCAAGGACCGTTTGACTTCACCGCCGCCTACGCATCCCCGACTCCGGATCCAGTGCGCGCGTTGTACATGGGCCGTCGCATGTGGCGCGTGTTCGATCTGGTGGCGCCGTCGTTGCAGCTGGACCCCCGTCTTGGACACTATCCAGAGTTTCCGACGTATCCGTTTTCAGTCGAACCAGATCGGAATCTCGACGTCTTGGACGTGACACGCTTGCTGCGCGACTACTTTCAGGGCACGCCATACGACTTGTCCAAGGGTCTCGCAGCAGGGCCGTTTGGTATGCCGATGCGTTGGGGAGGCGATGAAAAAGGCGTCGTAGGTGGCTGGGAACGACCGATCTCCATGTACCGCACCGTCTTCAGTTTCGTGCTGCAGGCACGAGCTCACCTTCCCGATGCAGTAGGCGGCGTGGCTTGGTATGGACAGAGCTCACCGCATGCCTCGGTATACGTGCCTTTCTCCTGCGCACAGGAAGAAGTGCCGTTGGCGTACGTCCTCGGCAAGGAAAGCGAGTTTACACACGGTTCGGCATGGTGGGCCTTCAGTTTCGTCAACAATTGGAGTATGATACGCTTTGACGCTATCAGCAGGGACATCCGCGCGCGCATTGCTGAGTTGCAGAAGGCTTGCTTCGCAGAGCGCAAGATGATGGAGCATCACGTCATTCACACGGACACAATGACTGCATCTGAAGTGCGCGCTTATCTTCAGGGGCAGTCGAACCGATTGGCGTCGCGTGTTGTTGACGAGTGGTGGACTTTTGCTTGGAAACTTGTGGGTAAATTCACGGACGGGTATATCACGACAGGAGAGGCTCCGGAGGAAATGGAGATGCCTGGTTACCCGGAGTGGTGGCTCAAGCTTAGTGAATTCTCCAAATGGCCAGGTGAAACGCTGGTGCCGCCGCACGTTCCAGAGTTGCAGAAGCAGTTTGAGCTGTTTGAAAGCCGCCAGAATGTGAGTGCTGGCCTCGTGGTGCAGCAGTCTGCTGGTAGCGACAGCACAACGACATTGAGCAGTGTTTCAATCGTTCAAGTGGGTCTCGGTGCACTTGTCGGGGCTATTGTTGGTGCTTCAGCTACCTGGCTTGTTGCAGAACGTCAACGTCGGTCAGGATATCGGTCCATTGCGTAAGTGCCTGTGCGTTGGTACGAATGGCGGTTGCATGTTTTATCTTTTAAGGCCCATACGATGCCTAGAAGGAGGTGCAGACAGAGTATGAGCTGCGCTCGGGCATCGTCGTGGTCTACGTTAACAGAAGATACGCACCTGGTGTTCTCCTGCCTTGCCTCTTACCATCACTTTTGCGGCCTCTTCGCTGCTGGGATCTAGGAACTTTTGCGTTCACGGCTGCGTTCTTCACGTGAGGCGACTCGGCTCGGGCGGCGAGCCGATCGAGATGGTTTGCTTTCGTCGCCGGTGTGCGTTCTCCACGAACTGCCTCCACGCTTTTCATTTTCCTCGTGGCGATCATGCTTCTTCCTACCGCGAATGGATTGGTAACCACCTTCGCTGCTGAACCTTGCCAATTCTCCCCCCGGTCCTTTCGGCTTAGACCCTCCCGTGTGCTTGGCAGCTTTAGGTGCGGCAATGAGGCCTGGGGTACCCATTAATCCCATCGCTCTCAACGTCTTCTTCGTAAGCATCGGCACCTCCTCCAGACCAATCAGCTGACTGTAGAGTGCTCCTGTTTCCACAAGTTTCGTCTTGGACATGTTCATCCTCTTGAGGTTCGAGTTGTAAAAGCCCAGGAAAGCACCATACGCCTTCTCTGCCGATTGCGCCAGCTCACTGCGGGGGTGGAGGTTTGCCAAGGCACGCGTGGTGCGGTTGTTGTGCTTGTCAAGCTGGGGGCGTTTCTCCAGTTCCGTGAGCGGTAAGTCAGCTAGATCTTGCAGCATCGCCTTCTCGAAGTCGGCCAGCACAAGAATGCCGCGTCCTTCCATACCAGCGCGGGCCGTACGTCCAAGACGGTGGATGTACTGATCGCGGTCGGTGAGACCCACCTGGAGCACAAGCGATACGTCCGGATAGTCGACACCACGCGCCGACACGTCGGACGAAAACATGATCATCTTCTTACCCTTGCGGAAGGCATCTGCGGCTTTCGTGCGCGCAGATTGGCTCTTGCGCGAATGCATCTCCAGCACGTTAGGAAAGCCCGCAGCCTGGAAGAGTTGGGCCATGAACTGGGCTGATCTCGCAGTCGGCAGGAAAACGATCACCTTGTATTCGGATTGCTTCATGTGCTCTTCGAGCACACCTTCGACAGCAGGAATGACGTCTTGCAAGTCGCACACAAGGTACTCCTGCACAGCCTGGGTGTTGGTCTGCTGGTCGTCGCCCTCGATCGTGTCCACAAAGGCGTAGTCGTCGCGCAGTGCCACGTCCTTGAGCTCTTCCGTGGCGGTGGGCAGCGTCGCACTGAAGAGCAGCGTCTGTCGCTCCTTCGGCAAGTGGCTGATGATCCGCATGATATCGGGGCGGAAGCCCATGTCCAGCAAACGGTCCGCTTCGTCCAGGACGAGCACTTGCAGGTCTTCCAGCTTCTGCCGGATGCGTCCGCTGTTGTCCTCCAGGTGAGCCTGCAGTCGTCCTGGAGTGGACACCAGCACATCAATGCCCGCAGACTGCGTCAGCAGCTTCACGTCCTTGTTCACTGCGCTGCCGCCGACAAAGCAGGCCGTGTGCAGGTTGTGGGCGTCCGTGAGCTTCACGGCCTCCACGGCGATCTGCTGAGCCAACTCGCGCGTCGGCGAGATGACCAGAGCCGAGATCCTGCCGTGTTTGGGCCGCGGGTTCTTGAGCATCCGCTCCACCGTCGGCAGCAGGAAGGCGATGGTCTTGCCGTTTCCCGTCTTGCCCTTGGCCAGCACATCGCGTCCTTCCAGCACCAGCGGCAGCGTGTCCTTCTGCACGTGGGTCAGGAACTCGTAGCCCATGTCGCGTGTCAACACATCCTTGGACTTTTGGGTGATTGGCAGCGAGGCGAACGAAACGTCCGTCAGATAAGCGCCCGACGCCCGCGGTGCCAAGCTCGCGTGGAAGCCGCGGGCGGTGGTGGTCACAGCCCGCAGCAAGCGGTGGCGACTCGTCCACATCTCGCGCGATTGGCCTTTAATTTGGGTCGCTTCAGAACCGAGAGTGGTATTTTTAGCGCGCGCCCATTGGCTTAAAATGAATCTGACGTCAAGGGATCCTATTTTGGGCGGCATTGTCCGATTGTCACCTGCACACACACCTGCATTGACGAGGACGACGACGATGGCGCTCGGACGACTGCTGCGCGTGGCGGCGGCGACTCTGGTGGTGGGGGTGGCGGTCTCTGACGCCTTGATCGTGAAGCTCGACGGCCGCGTGGAGGAGTGCTTCCACGAGTACGTGCGCACCAAGCGCACCGCCTACATGAAGATCGGCGTGCTGGACTCGACCGGGTCCTACGACGTGCGACTGAAGGCCTTCGGCCCGTTCCCCTCGTACCCGGAGGAGGAGACGGTGGACAAGAACTTCTTTGACCACATGGTGGTGACCCAGCACGACGAGACCAACCAGAACATCGAGCACAACGGCTTCAACTTCGAGTCCGAGCACCGCGGCGGATGGTACCGCTTCTGCCTCAGCAACATGCACGACGGCAGGCAGAAGACGGTCGAGTGGTACACGTCCTTCGACCTGTCCAATGAGGAGGACCTCGGCGAGGAGGACAAGCTGGACGCACAGGCTCGCCAAGGTGCGTATGGGAAGTTAGGGGGAAGGAGAGGTGAGATTCAGTAGGTTGACGTACGTGTGTGGTTTGCTTGTGGATGACAGAGCACATGGAAGGTGTGAAGACGTCGCTGGATCGGTTGCAGACGCTGCTGAAGCTCATCCGCAACGAGCAGGACTACTACCGTGCTCGAGTACACCGTCACGTCCAGAGTAAGATCGGGAGTTTTTGATGTTTTGCGATATTGTTGCCGCCACATGGACTAACCACTGATTCATTTTATGTTTGCCGCGTTATAGCCCTCGAGAGCAGCAAGTCCCGCCTGATTTACTACACAATGTTCGAGTTGCTGGTGCTGGGCGCCATGTACGGCGCGCAGTCCTTCCTGCTGCACAAGTGGTTCAGCGACCGCGGCTACCTCTCTAAGCGCCAGTGGGCGTAAACTACATAATCAAGGATGGGCTACAGAGGAGCAAGCGAAGTGCTTGTGCTTTTCGAAGGAATGATGATCCGACTAGCCGAGCAACGAGCCACTACATGAAGTGGTCATAGAGATTCCCAACATCAATTGACTTTTTGATTCTTCACTTTGCCCAGTTGATAATAGGTTCTCTCACCCCGTTTAATAGTCCTCCTCTGAGCTCGCGACCTCAATCTCCATCTCACCGATAATCTGCTCGCATTGACGCCGACGCTCTTCGATGGTACTGGGACTTCCGGCCGCTGACACCGTCACCGGGAATGCAGCTCCATCGAGGGTACTCTCATCGACCGACAGATAGAAAACCGTGCCGTCGTTACACGGAACTTGTGGGCTAAATCGATATCTGCCTTCGTTGTCAGTCAGGATGCCTCGGATAGGACTGAGATTCAGGAGCTTCCTAACACGAGTCAACCGGAACCTGTCCGACGTGACCGCCACCTCTGACGAATCCGGGGCGCCCCCTACTTCTCCTTGCCGCACAGCTTCGAAAGCACCTTGCTGGAAATAAAAGACCCGGAACGGCGAGCGCTTCGTGAGTGGCTGTTGCGTCCCCGGGCTGATGCATTCCAGCTCGATGAACCCCGCAATGGAGCCCGCGACGCCATGAATTGGAGCCTGCAGTTGGATTCTGTCCCCCGCACGAAGCGATTCGAGCGTCGTGGAGAAGAAAGCGTCCTCTGCGTTGTCCACCCTCGCGCTGACCTTGGTTTGCCCCAACATGATCTGCGAGCGATTCACCACCTCGATGACCAGCCCGCTGTGCAGGTCATAGCTCGAGTGAATGGAAAGGTTCTGCAGCATCGCCGACTCCATCACTTCGTTCATCATGCGCATCACCTGCGCACTCTGCGTTAAGCTCTGCCCCACGCGCTCAAACACGGACTCGAACGACTGCTGCAGTCCGCCAGCATAGCTCTCCAGCATCCGAGCCATGTCGTCCATCTCTTCGGCACCGACGAGATGATCGCTTCAAGTTTGACGGAATTACAGGTGTAGTCATGGGTACACAACGTGCTTGTTTGGCAACAAACTTGCCTTACTGCAATGAGATTCAGAGATGCAAGTGCGTCAAGCTTCGTGGGGGTATGTTCTAGTCAACCGACTCATCCTTCGTTGCAATAAATTACGATTGGGTTCTAATGATGAGGAAGTCACTTGGCGTTCTACTAGTTCTGGCAGCCTCAGCAGATTCCTTGGTGGTTTATCTGCGACCGAAGCCACCACGGTTCCCGCCGCCACGGCCACCTCCACGGCCCCCGGTCAAGTTGCCGCTGCTGTCACGCGTGTAGGGCGACGGCTCGATGCCAGGCACGCCGAGGAGGTTCATCTTCTTCAGGGTCTTCTTCTCAAGCTTCGGCACCTCGTCCAGACCGACGATGCTGCTGTAATCGGCCGCAAGGTGGACAAGCTGCTCGGGCTTCAGCTTCAGTCGCTTCGAGTTGGAGTTGTAGAAGCCAAGCCACGCCTGGTACGACTGCTGCGCCGACTTCTCTACCTCAGAGTAGCGCTTCAGGTTCTTGACAACTCCCAACGCGCGCGACTGCGACGGCTCCAGCATCGCAGTGGTGTGGGTCTTGCTCGGCTCAAGAGGCAGGTCAGACAGCTTGTCCAGCAGAGGCGTCTCGAACTCAGCGAGGACAAGAACGCCCTTGCCCTTCATACCAGCGCGGGCCGTACGACCAAGACGGTGGATGTACTGGTCGCGGTCGGTGAGGCCGACCTGCAGGACGAGGGAGACATCGGGGTAGTCAACACCACGGGCCGACACGTCCGACGAGAACATCATGACCTTGTGGCCCTTGCGGAAGGCCTCGGCCGTCTTCGTGCGCACCGCCTGACTCTTGCGGGAGTGAATTTCCAGGACACCAGGGAAGCCCGCAGCCTGGAAAAGCTGGGCCATGAACTGCGCCGAGCGAGCTGTGGGAAAGAACAGCATCACCTTGTACGCCGGCAGCTTCATGTGCGCAGCCAGGATACGCTCCACCATGGGGATCACCTCCTCCATCTTGCACACCACGTACTCCTGCTCGGTCTGCACATTCGTGTCGGCCTCGTTCTCATCGATCGTGTCCACGAACGAGTAGTCTTTGCGCAGCGCGACCTGCTTCAGCTCCTCGGTGGAGGCCGGCAGCGTGGCGCTGAACAGAAGCGTCTGACGCTCCTTCGGCAGGTATCCGATAATGCGCATGACATCGGGGCGGAAGCCCATGTCCAGCAGGCGGTCAGCTTCGTCCAGAATCAACACACTGGCCTTGCCGAGTCGGTCGGCGATCTTGCCAGTGTTCTGCTTCAAGTGGTCGACAAGACGTCCAGGGGTGGCAACGAGGATGTCGATCGGGTCGCTGCTGGTGAGCGTGCGCTCATCCTTCTTGATGTTGGCACCACCCACAAAGCAAGCAACCTTGAGGTCGTGGAACTTGGTAAGGCGCTTGGCCTCCGTCGCGATCTGTAGTGCCAGCTCACGCGTCGGCGAGATGGCCAGCGTCGGGATGACGCCGGAGCGACGTCCCTCCTTCACCATGTTCTCGATAACCGGCAGCAAGAAGGCGATGGTCTTGCCGTTGCCCGTCTTGGCCTTGGCCAGCACGTCCTTGCCATCCACAATAAGCGGGAACGTCTCGTTCTGCACGTTGGTGAGACGCTCGTACTTGAGGTCTTCCACGATGGCACGCTTGGTCTTGGCCGAGATGTCCAGCGACGCAAACAGAACATCCGACAGGTAGTCCAGGTTCGTGGGCTTGGAGGCCTGCACGGGCGCAGCCTCCTGCTTCACAGGGGAAGCAGCAACAGGGGCCGGCGGCGCGGCGGCCTGGCCATTAGCCTGGCCATTGGCGTTCTTGTTGTTGCGGCGGCCGCCACGACGCGGCTTCTTCTTCTTGTGCTCGGCGTCGCTGTTCTTGCGTTCCGTGGCCGGCGTCTTGCGGCGCCAGTTGTTGCTGTTGCTGGTGTTGGATTCTTGGCCCGGCATGTTCTTCCGCTCTGGTCTGGCTGTTGACTTGGTCGCGTGCGTGGCAGGATGGGAATGCTGAACTGCCAGCTTCAGAAAGTTAAAAGGGTTAGACGCCGCGGCACCAATGGAGACGAAACCACTTGGCGTTTGTATGAACAGCAATCAGAATGGGTACAACTTCGACATTGCATATTGAAACCGTTTCTTTCCATAGATCTGGCAAGATCTCCGATCTTTATGCAGTACGATAGTTGACCCCCACGCCATAACAATAATTGTTTTCAATTGCATTTCTGGCAGACAAGAACTGGAGACCATGTCGACGCTCGCAGACTCATTCCTGGAGGACCTGGACGAGCTCAGCGGGGGCAGCAGCGACGAGGAGGAGACGCCGACGACCTCGTCCGAGCTGGGAGCCGCATCAGTCGCTGGCGTAGAGGCTGAAGACGACGACGACGATGACGGCGATGCGCAGATGCCCGAGGCCTCTGCCGCCAGCCAGTCACGCGCCGCCAAGCGTAAGCGCCCCGACACAGAGCAGGAGCTCGCAGAGGAGAAGACCGAGGTCCTCGCGGAGTCGCTGCGCTCCAGTGTGAAGCAGCGAGGCGTGGCGGCCGTCGCGTCGCTCAAGCGCTCGTCCAAGTACTTGGCACACGTACAAAAGATCCAGCAGTACGTGGATGTGGACGACGCCGCCGACGCTTCCGCGTCCTCAGCCAAGCCCCAGCCTCTGGAGGAAGGCAGCGCTGAGTACGAACTGGTGGTGACGTCCAACGACCTGATGGTGCAGATCGACGACGAGATCGAGGCCGTGCACCGGTTCATCGCCGAGATTTACGCCGCCAAGTTCCCGGAGCTGGACTCGCTCGTGCCCAACGCTCTGGACTACGCCCGCGTGGTCAAGGTCATCGGCAACGAGATGGACTTGACAGTGGTGGAGGAGTTGCCCAAGTTGCTGCCCAGTTCGGCGGTGATTGGAATCTCCGTGACTGGCTCGGGCACCAGTGGCAAACCGTTGGAACCCGAGGACTTGAAGACGTGCATGGAAGCTTGCGACGAGTTGCTGTCGCTGGATAAGGACAAGAATATGATCCTGCGCTTCGTGGAGAGCCGCATGAAGTACTTGGCTCCGAACATGTCGCAACTGGTGGGCACACGTATTGCGGCGCAGCTCATTGGACTTGCTGGTGGTGTGGCGCAGCTTGCACGTATTCCGTCGTGCAACTTGCAAGTGCTGGGGCAGGAGAAGAAGGTGCTCAGTGGGTTTTCCTCGGCTGCGGCGTTGAAACATACGGGTGTCCTGTTCTTTTGCGATCTCGTGCAGAGTGTGCCTCCATACTTGCGCATGAAGGCGTGCCGGGGTGTAGCTGGTAAGCTAGCCTTGATGGCACGCGTCGATAGCCAGCCTCACCAAAATGATACGGAGGGCCTAGTGGGCGCGCGCTTCCGCACCGAGCTTGCTGGGAAGATGGAGAAGTGGCAGGAGCCGCAGAAGGCCAAGACCAAGAAGGCTCTGCCCATTCCCGACGAGAAACCGCGCCGGAAGCGTGGTGGCAAGCGCTACCGCAAGATGAAGGAGCGGCTGCAAATGACAGATGTGCGGCGTGAAATGAACCGTCAGTCTTTTGCAACCGCTGACGAAGAGTATGGTGACAACGCCATGGGAATTACGACCGGCCGTCTTGGCCAGGAAGGGTCAGGCAATTTGCGTATTATGCGCAAGGAGCAAAAGCAGTCGACCAAAAAGTTGCGCGCTGCAAACTTTGCCGCATCCTCTGCCAGCAAGCCTCCACTTTCTGGACTGGCATCGAGTCTTGCCTTCACACCTGTGCAGGGCATTGAGCTCATGAACCCCGAAGCTGCGAAGGCACGTGTTGCCGAGGCAAACAAAAAGTATTTTTCTGCAGCTAGTGGATTCGTCAGTGTGGTCAAGAAGCCGTAACGGGGTGTAGATCAACTAACTTCCAGCGACGATATACATTGATTTGAATGCTCGAGACGTGGAGTTGTTGCCGTTTAGTCGGTGCGAAATCTCTTTACTTCCACTCCTCTGCTTCGTCAATGCGAAAGATCGTTATTACCACAGGTTCATGTTGCGTTCGGCCTGCAAAACGGGGCGTTGTGAAGGCTAAAAAAACGCTGACACAACAATAGGGAATGTAGGCAAAACTTGCAGATTCTTCGCATCTGACACTGGTAATCAATCGGGTCTCAAGTCTTCTAAAGCAGCTCCCAGAATGATACCGTACCACTCAATTCAGCACCCACAATCTCCAACGTCGTGATGGATTGAGCTGGAAGATCCGCGGTGAATCTGGCGCTCCGGCCAAACATGATATCGAGACTGGAGGTTTTGTAGGTTGCCCTTGTAGTTGAGTTGGTCTCGGTCGTCCAGATATTGATCGGGCCAGCCACATAAGCTAAGGCGGATAGATCAAACGTAATCGCTTGAGCATCTCCCGAATTCGAAGCCACAATGACCAGTACCTTCGTGGCTTTGTCGTATGCAACGACAAAGTTCGGGTACTTGTCCAAGGCGTACGACGACGATCCGGGGATAAGAGTGTTCGGATCATCAAACTTGAGAATAGTCATCCCTGCGTGGATGTGGCGCGAATAGTGAGCCATTACGTAGTACTTCGGGTTGGCTGTGCCGATCCACTTGTCCCCCGGATTCGACTGGATGAGGCCCACGGCTCCACTGTCGAGTGCTTGTCTGTACACAAAGGCTGAAGCACCCATTTCGTTAATGTCTCGAGCAATCGTCTCCGCCAAGGTGAGCCCGGTAGCATCCTCGTCGGCGTACATGGAATCCCAGATTTTCATCGTTTTACGCACTGAGGAGGCCATGCCTTGCAGCTTGTCGCGGTTATCACCGGTGTATGGGACTACTCCATCGGAACAATGAGAATTCACCTTACCCATGACATCAACTCCTGGCAACTCTTTGGGTACCATGTCGGTGAGTATGAAGAGTGAATCATCCGGATTTTTTTCTTCGGCTCCTGCGATGACGACGCTTTGCAAGTCAAGCTTGTTTAGCTGCGTCCGCAAAAGTGTTAAAATGTCGCTCTGCGTTTTGATTCCCAAATGACATGCTTCCTGTGATTCCGGAAACTCCACGCCTTGCTGTTAGCCTCGTTGAAGGGGGCAACATAGTTGAACTCGATCCCCCAGTCCTTCTTCGCCTTGCTCACAACCGTGGCCAGATACAAGGCAAACTTCTCGAAGTACTCGGTTTGCAAGTTGTCAGCTGCGCCATCGTCTCCACCGGCTGTAGCATGGTTACTTGTCATCCACCACGGTGGCGAGTTCGAATAGGCCTCGAAGATGTTAGCACCACGCTTGGACGCCAGGCCAAGCATCGCACGCTGCTTCGCATCCGCATCCCAGTTCCAGCTTGACGAACTTATGTCGGTGCTGGCCCAATTCAGCCAGAATGACTCGATCGCCTTGAATGCAGGCATCTTTTCCGAGACCTTCATCGCAATCTCAGTCCCGCTGTCATCGATGACGTTATTGCCGGACCCGCCGATATTGTAGCGCGCGATATTAAAATCAAGCGCGGGGATGTTCGCTGCAGCACCGTCGATCGAGACCGACGTCATGTTCGTAAAAAGAACGTCGGCTATGTCCTTACGGTCTCCGAAGACGTTGGCCCACCAGGAAAGCGAGGTTCCCCATCCCTCCCAGGATTCAACCAGCGTAGTTGTCGTCACCGAAATCTTGTAGGAAGTGACCGATGAGGGTTGAAAAGCTAAGAGGGCTACCCAGCCCAGCTTCGCGAACGATCCTATGGAAACCATTCGCAGTGTAAATCTTCGTAAGACGAGATATGATCTTCACTTCTTCAGGACGACGCAAAATCGAGAATGACAAATCGAATTCAGCCACTCGACGGTCCACTGCTTACCACAACTTGGCATGTGATTTGTCCTTCCCGTCCTGTGTGGTGTCTGTCCTTTAGAATCACTCTGTAGTGGATCATTGGTTCAAGCCAGCTTACACCACCTCGATTTGAAGCTTTCTTCAACGTGGGTTGTATCACGCCATGCACAGCACAAGGAGCGCCGCCGTGGAGCTCCTAGCCTAGACATTCTAGTCAGTCTTCGATTTGCCTCGTAGGGCACAGATCAAGTCTTCGATTTTTGCCGTAGGGCACAGACCAACTCTACATCGTGCCTCGTACGGCACCAACAACAATACACTCGGCTCAAAACTTCCAGCAGGCTCGCCACCTGCCCCGCTGAGTGTTCTCATTTCATCGCCCAAGATTCCGGAAAACATTTAACACTCATACACAAGTAACGAGATACCTAGCTTAATTTTCAAAATGGTTGAAGCTGACAGCCCCTAAACTATCATCTGGGGGCCTCCAGATGATCAGCACCTGATCAGCCTGATCAGGTGCTGGATCTGCACTGCGTGGATTCGTAGTACAGATTACGACTAAACATACTGTACAACTTATTAATACATTGTACTTCCAGAGCACCATCATGGTGCTTCCCAATCAACTCTTTCTTGGTACAGATACTTTGAAGTACAGTACTGCACTTCCTTTGAAGTTTTGATAACGCGCTGAACGAAAAAAAATCTAGGTTTTTTTTTAAGCTCTGGAATAGGTTGTCAGATAACACGTAGCTCATTATGTACCACCAGCTAGCTCCGGTAGACTCAAAGGAAGTATTCTTCGTATTTCTGTTCGTAGATGATGCAGAACCTTTTGTCGGGGGTGCGTCGAACACGGTGCAGGGTTCCTGGAATACGGCCTTCTGTAGCTCGATTCAGGGCGTGTCCACAGAAGAGCACAATCTCTTTACCCGGGACGCACACCTTCTCCGCCTTGAGCCACTGCTTCGAGTGCGGGTCGTACACATCCAATCCCTCGACACTGGGCACAGGTTCCACCACATACAAACTGGGGTCGATGTGCTCAAACACATTCTCAGTCTCGGATTGGCCACTGCCTTTGATGTTCGGGTAGTGCAGGCCGTAGCAAACGGAGAAGTCCTTATCCGAGCGTTTGTGGCTCGGTTCGATGTCGTAGCCCATAGTGAGGCTCAGCGCGCGGTCGCAAATGCGCTGCATACGCCGCTGCAGCGAGAGCCAGTGGTCCTTGAATTCGGGAGAAGGCCACACCAGTCGCGACATATCCCCACAAGCCACGCGGAAACAGTCACGCACGCTGGTGTGTTCGTAGCCGCAGTACCAGAACGGCTTACCCTGCTCATTCCGGTAAATGTGCTTGCTGGTGCATCCGTTCTTCCAGTCCTCGTCTTCGCTCGTAAAGAACATCTCGAAGTCCTGCAGCACTTGGTCGTGCGTCTGCTCCAGCGTCTCGCCCAGGTCCGTCAGCACCACGAACGAGTGGCGCTGCATCATCTCCAGGAACCGCGTGCGGTTCTTCCAGTTGAGTTCACTCAGACGCATACGCGGCACTTGCACTGTATCGCCAGAAACTTGCTCAGAATCAGGGGCCTTGTCAATAATCTCAGTCGACGTCTGCTCCTGGGGCTCCGGAGTGGCCACGTCGGCAACCTCGCCGCTCGCATTGAGGCAGTAGTAGCTCGCAGCCAGGCTGTAGCCGGTGGGCATGAAGCCTGGAGCAGTCATGTCGGCGGTCGGGCAGGACGAGCAATGCACACGAACGGTTAACGCTTTCTTGTCTTTGTGTCAAAGAACGGGGGCCCCACGTTTGCCTGCTCTGGTCCAATCAAGATGCAGCACCTGAAAAGTTCAAGTATGAGACCATCACTCTCGAGAGTTCGAGCTGTTTATGCAGGTTCACTGCAACAAGAAGCAAGACGGTGGACATTGTGTGTACAAATCTATTAAGTTTATGGTATAAGTTACGCGGCGCTCGCGTAGGACAGGAAGACATGCAGCTCAACTAAGCGAAAAGATACGCAGAGGGCACGAGCGCCGCAGCACCAGCATCAAAACCTTTAGACGCGACTGGAGGTCGAGTGCCTTCGAGTTGATGTCGCTTTGGGTGCGCGCGACTTGTTGTCCTCCTTTGAGTCGAACAAACGTGAGCGAACCTGGTCAAGGCGGCCCTGCCACTCCGGCGTGCGCGGCCTCCGAGGGGTTTTGCTTGTGGTGTGTGTTTGCTTGCCCTTGTCGGCGGCCAGGTTGCGGTTGCACTCTTCCAGCTGACGGCGGCGCTCCAGGTTCCGGGCCTTTGTGGCTGCAAAACGTGGCGAGCTGTCGTAGTCCATATACCGAGGCACAGACGTCGAGTTCGAGCGTGTCCTCGCACGTGGAGACGTATCCACGGGCTGAGCTCCGCGGGCTGATTCCGAGAAACGGCGCGCTGACTTGACGGCAGGTGGCACCATCGTGGCTGAGAGCGAGGCGCGACGAGGCCTTGCGGGCGTCGAGGCAACTGGTACCGGGTTTTTAGCCGTGTAGAGAGAGGAGCGACGCGGTTTGGGGGCTGCAAGTATTCCGGTCTCCTTCGTTGACGAAGATGACTTCCCGGTGAGCGACGCTCGTCGGTATGCAGTCGGTGGGATCAGCTTGGAGGTCGTTTTCGACTGCGGGTTTTCCGGCAGAGAGGAGCGTCTTGAGCGATAGACGGCGGGCTTGACAATCTTCGACGTCTCTGAACTGGTCTCACCTGATGCCTGTAGGAACTCGGGGAGGAACATGTCCAGCGAGCTAAGGAGCGAGTCGAGGGAGCCTGTAGAAGCCGTGGAGAACGAGGACGGGCTGCTAGGTACGATCGAGTAGCGCGTGGACTTGATGGTCGCCGTTGAGTCCGCATCGCTTTCGCCATCGTACGAGTTGAGGGTCTTGGCGTCATCCTCGTCGTCGGACTGCAGGGTCTTAACGGTAAGGCTCTTGTAGACGACTGGCTTGATTGGGGTCTCTGGTTTGCTCTCTGCTTCCTCCTCTGGCGACTGCTCTTCGGCAGGCTCGGCAACCTCGTGGGTCTCCTCTGGCTTGCACACGATCTGTACGGGATCCGACCGGGCACGAGCGCGCTGCGTATTCAGGCGGTAAATGATCTCCTTGATCGGGGAGTTATCTGACGTTGGCTGCGGTGGAAGTGCAGTCCTCTTGGATCCGGCTACGGACCACGAGCGCGGAGCGGCCGGCTCTGCGTTAGCCTGAGCCATGAGTTCGAACTGATCGATGAGCGTTTGCACGCTGCTGCTGCTGGAGCCCTTCATTGTATTTCGGTGGGCGACCGCCGCGAGCGTTACCAGATCTCGATGGGGCAATCTCGTTCGTGTGAGCCCTCCGGGGACAAAGCGGAACTGGCAGCGGTCGGCACCGTGCTGTGGTGGCGTGCGGCTCCAGCGTGCCGTGCTCAGGCGTCGGCTAATCCCCTCCGGCACTCGCTGGCCCGGTGCAGGACGTCGCAGAGGGGCAACTACGCACGTAATACTTTTCAGCGTCCTTTTCCAGTCATTTTGCACTGCAATAACCGATGTACCTTCAATATTTGATTGTAAGGTGACTGATGGCTGCCGCTGGGTTGATGCGTCCAGACCATATGGTGCGACAAAAATTCGATTTTCGGCCCATGCCACTGTGATGGAAAACTGCCAATCAGCGACCGTCCAACGGAAACTGCCAATCATATTGTCTCATTGAAATCACTTCAACATGGTCAAGTGAATGCCTATATCGCAGCGCTCGTGCCATCCATTGCCCCGTGATTCATTTTACCCGCAGTTACCATGCGGAGTCCGAACTCTTGAGGACACTGAACTCCTGCGAGGGCAGCTGTGGCAACCGCAGCCTCGGTACGATTGCTCCGGTGCCAACTAGGCGTCGGACCTCGCGTCGGCGGGCCGTTTCTTGCGGCGTTCTCGCTCCGTGGCGATCTGCTCCTGCACGAAACGTCCAAAGGATTCTGCCAGGTCATCAATGCGACGCTCGTGCTCGTGGTTCTGGGCGGACAGCTCCCGCTCCAGCTGCAGCACCTGGGCCTCTAGCGCCGCGACCGCTCCTGCCTTCTCCATCAAGGCGGCGGCACTTTCCTCGGCCGCGACCTTTGCGCTGGCGGTCAGGGCCTGCATTCGTTCGTCGAATGTTACCTGCATCTGCACGAGCCTGGCGTCCTGCTCCTCCATCTTCCGCAATTGATGCTGCAGCTTCTCTTCGCATCGCGCTCTCTCGCTCATCGCCGTAGCCAGCTGCGTTTGTTTCTCCTGCAGCGCCTTGGACTGCGCCTCCATTGTGGTTTCGAGCTCTCTTTGAGCTGCATCCTTGGCTTGCTGCAGTGACACACTGTCCTGGCGGAGCTGAATGATCGTGTCGAGGTGCTTCTCCACCTCTCGCTCGAGATGCTTCCGCGCCTTCTTCACCTCGGCCACTTGGGCCTCCACAGAGCCAACTGAGCGCTGGATGCGCTCCTGCACTTCCGCCTCCCACTGCTGCTTCAGGTCTCCAATAGCCTTTTCATGGTCAATCTGTGTCTGTAGCAGCTTGGCTTGCAGAGACTCGTGCTTTTCCTTGAGTTCACGGACACTTCGCTCGCTTGTCTCGAGTTGCGTCGAATTATAGCTGAGCTGCGTCTGCAGTGAACCAACAACCATTTCGTGTTGCCGCTGGGCTGCGCTCAAGCTTCCTTCGTGCTCGGAGAGCAACTTTGCTTCCTTTCGAGCATATTCTTGCTGTGCGTCCAGTAGCTGCTTCTGTAGCTTTCCGATTTCCTCCTGTTGCGCCCTGAAGAGCGAGCACACGAGCATCAGAGTCACTACGATTCAAAGTAAAAACCAAAGTGTGCACTATGAAGTCAGCTCACCTGATCGAAAGAGATGCGCGGTGCATTTCGTTGTCGAGTGCATATTTGGCCTCTTCCAGCAGGGATATCTGCCTGTCTTTTTGCTCCGCTTCCTTGTTGCGCAGGGCCTCCATGTGCCCCGTTTTCTCTCGAATGACTCCATTCTCACGCTCTAGAGCAGTTCGTGCACACCGGTACTCTTCAAACTCCAGCTTCCTGCGATTTTCGAGCTCATCAAGCTGCATCCTCAGCTCGTGGACATCTCGCTTTGCGTCGATTTCACGTTGTTGATAACGATCTCGATCTTCCTTGGCCATGTCTGCGTCTTTCCGGGTCTGTTGCAACTGCATCTCGAGTTCCTCTGCCTTCTCTACCTGGAAATAATTGGCAGACCACGAAAGTTAAGTCGATCCATGTATGTGCAGCTTACTGGAGCACCCCACCTTACCATCTTTTGACGCTCTCGCTTGCCTAGGCTCACTTCCGTCTCCAATTCCTCCTTTTCTGCAAGCACTTGCAGTAGTAGTTGGTCATTTGCTGCAGCTTTGGGGCTTTCGTTGTTTGATGTTGAATCCTCGTCTGGCTGGCACGAAGCATCAACAGCCAAAGGCGCTGGCATCTCTGTAAAAGCACGATTTCGCGCTAGTAAGACCTCGATTTCATCCACGTGCTTGAGGCTGCTGTTGTTCCCCATGAGCTCCAGAGTCACAAGCGAATGATTGCTCTGCAGCGCTTCTCGAAATGCCAACACGCCTGGATTCCCGATCTCATTCCAGCGCAAGTCAAGCTGACGCAGCGTGCGGTTGAACCTCAGGGCTTTGGCAAGCGCCTTGGCGCCTTCGGGGCCGATGTTGTTGTTGCGCAAGTCGAGCGTTAGCAACCGCTTGTCGACCTCTAGTGCTCCAGCGAGGGCCTCGACTCCCTGATCCAGCAGACCGACATTGTTCCATTCCAGGCTGATGGACACAACATTATGCGAGGATCGCAGCAACGCAGCCAGAGCCCGCGCAGCACCAGCTTCGAAGCAATTGCCACGCAGATCCAAACGCGTTGGCACGCTGGCAAGCCGAGACTTCTCGACGATCTCCGCGCACTTGTCGTCTCCTAGGTATGAGTTGCTGTAGTCCAGCACTGCATCTACCGAGGGCTTGGCGGGCGAGGCTGCTTGCTTGGCGTGCCCGGGGGTCGAGTCCTCGAGATACTCGCGCGTCGGTGGGATCGTCATTCTTACTGCGAGGCGTTTCAGCCGGGATCTTTTGGCTGCGTCGCGACCTGCACCGCGTTACCGAGGACACGAATGTCTCGCTTCCGGCGCAGTATGCTCATGCGTCGAGTCTATCGCGACGAATTCCTCTCTCCGCGCAAGAGATAACGCAATAAGGTTCACGGAGCTGTCGGGCGCTTCTTCGCACTAAGGTATCAGTCCCATTTTGGGCGATCGAGGGCAACAACTGGCAGCCCGTCAACACCGACATTCCTTTGACAGAGGTCATCTCCTTGGCCTATGCCATGTGGATCACCTTAGGGCTCACGGAGCCTAGTCGATTCGAGCTGCTGGTCATCAACTGGCCTTGAGTAGCTCCATTCCTTTTAGCTCCACAAGTCCCAGTGCATGGACTGAAAACCAACTTACGTGGCGACCCATGGACTTAGTGGTAACCAACTTTTGCGAAGGGGACGCCGCGAATGAATTCAAAGGTGCGACGAGTTGAGCTGAGCCACTACGTATGAAACACGCACGCCATTGCTCTCACGTGGATGCAGGGCGGTCGAGGCAAGTACAGTAATCTCATGTTCAAATAAGATTAAGTATTATCACCACCTGGGCTATGACGTGCCACCAGCAGAATGAAAGCAAGTTGCAGTTTCGCACACCTTGGTGAACGCCAACTTCCCACGCGGCCGAGACAGTACAAGCAGGATGTTAGTGGGGAGAGGGTGATCGCAGCAGCCATACAGCTGGAAACCACATTTCCGTCAGACCTTTGCTCTACAGAGCCATAATGTGTGACAGAAAACTGGTGGCCGGGGAAAACTGCTATGCCGTTCGTTACTTGCAATGCAAAGAATCCACCTGGTAAGGTAAGTAAATATAGGAGATCGTTGTCGGAGGCTGTGCTCACTTTGAAAAACGCTGCGTGGGTGGCGGAGTCTCGCTCTACTGTTACTGTACGTTAATCTTTGGCAATGGTGACACTTTGCTCGCGGATTCAAGAAAGTCTCGATAGGCTCCAGTACGTGGATCTCGTCGAGTGCCCTGCTTCGGGTCGACTCTTTGTCGACAAGAGCACTCTCATGACCTCCTCCACCCCCGAAGGGCGCAATGCAAGCGCCGCAGCGTTGAAGGAATTGGACTTGCACCTCTCGGTTCGGGACGTCGAGAACGTGGTCAACTTGGAGCGGCACTTCCTGCAAGGAGAGCGACTCCACCTTCTGCACGAGCACTGCGCGCGCGGAGACCTGCTCGAGATCATGCAGCAAGAGCTTCGCCTTCAAACGGCCGGCGTCTCTCCTCAAAGCTCCTCGATGATGACTTGCACCGATGCGGGGAGACGTCGTGTGTTCCGCTCTGTGCTGCGCGGTGTGCAAGTACTGCACAGCGCTGGTATCGCCCACTTGGACCTGTCGCCGGAAAATGTTTTCGTCACCGAGTCTGGCGTCGTGAAAGTTGGGGATCTGGGCCACGCTCAGCGATTCAGGCTCGACCGGCCAAACGTTCAAGTCTTACAAGTGGCCAAGGAGGCGTATGCTGCACCAGAGTTACTGCGTCGCTGTGAAGTGGAAGATGCCCGACAGGCTGACGCTTGGTCACTCGGAGTCATTCTGTGGACCCTGTGCACCAAGCGCGCTTTGGTACGCCGGGTCTGGGTTGACAGTGACAGACTCTTCCGTCGAATGGTTGAGCGCGGCTCAGCGATCGCACTCCAGGAGACTGGCCTGCTATCGCAAATGCCAGCTGCGTGTTGTGACCTGCTTGCCGGGCTTCTCGACGTGAATCCCAAATCAAGACTCTCCGTGGAGGCGGCTCTGCAGCACCCGTGGGTGGTGCAGGACGCTGCAGTGACCAAGCAGCAGTCCCGACGAAAATCCATCGGCAACATGTTCAAAAAGAAGGGCGACGAGTTAATGAAGAAGCAGCAGCGCCCAGGTGACAAGAAGACTCGAGTGCGCACGACCAGTGCCGAGATTGCGCTCGAGTCTACTCGAGTCACCTTGACATCTCGAAGTCTAGCATAGAAGCCGAACTAAACCTTTACTCGTGTCTACAGCGGTAGAGCACGCTTATAATTTAGACGAGTGCAAGATCCTTAGAAATGGGAAGTTTGTGAAACCGACCAACCTTTTTGCTTCGTCTTCATTAGGCGTGTTCCTCCGAGTAGTCGCCATTGCGGATCCTTCACAAACCATCCAGCTTTGAGCGAGACATCGATCACGCTAGAGTCTCGATGCGTCGGCACTTCCTCTTCGCTGAAGATGAACGGGAACGCAGTGTAGGTGAGGGCAAGGTCAACCTGCTTCGGCTGTGGCATAATCGACGAATTGCGATGCTGGAGGGCGACGAGTCTGTGAGCGGTGGGGAAGCAAATGGACAAGTTGCTCGCGAAGTGACGCTGTTATGGGACCTGGCCAAGCCCATGAGCTCCTGTGCTTTGAACCGAGAGGGATACGTCGGTTTTTTCGCCCGAGCTGCGAAAGCCTTGGTGCTTCCGTTGTCGACTGATCCGCTCGCACTCGCTGCGGCACAGCGTGACTGGGAATACGATTTAGAAGGCACCGGCAGTATCGGAGAATCCACCAAAGGGGCCTCAAGTCTGGACAATGAGCTCATGTCTTGTGAACAATTTCGTGAGGCTGTCATGCAGCTTGCGGAGATTATTCTACCTGTTGAAAGCGCAGCCACCCTGTACGTGAATTTCTTCCGGGAGCTGCGGAACTCTATCGCAGAGCTGGTTGTGCCGCCTTCCACTAGTGAGCCAGAGCAAGATGAAACCATTGCTGCTGAAACAGTGGATCGCTTCGTACTTCGGCCCCTGAATCGAATCCCGAAGATTGCTAACGATGCGTTCCTGCAAAAGCTCCCACCATCAAGCGACTCCTTACGAAGCATTCGGGGATTGCAGCCCCCTGATCAACGAGAGATGTCGCTCAAGCAGCTTCTACTGAGCTATAACCCTCGAAAATTCTCACTCACCCGAGCCTTTCCAAAGAAGAAGACCAGCGCGAATGGCAACGCGGCCAATGCAGCAGAAGAAATGAAAACTGACGCTGCTGATGCCTCCATGGCCGTCGCTGAAGACAGCATGGTCGCGGCAAAGCGGCTACATATGGAGCTCGTAGGTTGCATTGGCTCGGGGGCGACTCCAGTCCGAGGCCGAAAGCTTCACCGTGAGAGTGCAACGCACTGGGATCCAGAAGAAGCCCTTACTGCTGCTCTATCCGCGTTCCCAGCTCTTAGAGTCGCAGTGGTGGGGCCACCCGGATGTGGCAAAACACGGCTTGCCCGAGTGCTAGCGCGACGACTAAGACTAAAGTACTTGTCTCTCGATGGGGCTGTACAGCGAGCAGTTGATCGCAAGCTTCAAATTCGTCAACGCCGCAAAGTTGTCACCCCGCCTACCGAAGGTGAAAAATCGGTAGGGGAGACACCGCCAGCCACGGAGTCAATGGAAACACCCGAACCTGACGTGACAACCAGCAATGAGAACACCGATGTGGACGAAGAAATGGACCGTATTTTTCGAGACGAAGATTTCGATGCACTATGCATGGGAAAAGTGGTTGACCGGAGAACAGCAGTTGCATTGCTGCGACTTGAAGCCACTCGATCCTTGCTCGGTACGTTATATCTTATCAGCTGCAGTGAATATGCCGATCAGACCTCACTGTGTGTGTTTGTTTTTGCTTCTCGTAGCTGGTGTCGGAGTGATCATGGACGATGTATACCCGTACGAGTTGGCATCATCAGAAAATGCCGAGCCCACCATAGCAACCGATTACTTAGTCGCTCTCACAGCACTACCCAATGAGCTCGAGTATCAACTCAGAGGGTCAGAGCTGACACCGACCGCCGGTCGTTTATACTCAGCGCGAGAGCTTGCTCTCCTACAGTCGACAAACCCCGAAGAATTAGCTACGCGAGGATTCGCAGATTTTCTCTTGCCACCGAAGAAGGTAGAGCTGCAAGCAGAGGAGTCACAGGAGACGAATGCTCCCGCTGAAAAGGGAGGCATTACCGAAGAGGGAGAACCCGAAGAAGGCGCTACCGAAGAGACTGACCCGGAAGATGGTGACCAAGTTATTCCCGAAGAGCCTGTGCCACCACCGGAGCCGACTCCTGCCGAACGCAACGAGATTGAGCCACCCACAGAAGCTTCTTTGCCGTTTGGCTCGATTACTTTGGCGAAGCTTTTCAAACATTTTCGTGGGTATGTGACGCGAATGGAGAACGAGTTGGCGATGTACCGAGCTGCTACCACGTCGAACAACCCTTCTGGCTACCATTTGGTAGCTGTGCTTGCGGTTCAGTCCCTTAATGTCATCCGAGATCACTGCATCCAAGCGATTACGGGCGTAAGTATCATTGCACTCAGTAGATTTATGTTAGCTTCTTACCTTATGCACACATTTCCGTGCTTGTTGCAGACATCATTGGGTTTATCCCGGTTCAGCACTTCCCGTGAGGCCTACGCGGTGTTGTTGCCTGAAGATCTAAGCGGATCCAGCCGTGCTGAGAAGATCAGGTGGCTGCTTTATGGAGACTGGTCTGCGCTGCATGAAGCCGAACCCAGCTCTACGACTGAAACATTTTCCATGTTGCCCAGACGTGATGCTAAGCGCCGACTGCTGTCAAAGTGGCGTGAGTTTTGCCCCGTGACAAGTTCTGGCACCGCACTAACACCCGGTGATCCTGAGTATACAGCCTGTTACTCTGGTCGAGTCTATTTGTTGGCCTCATCAGATGCCAGAAGAGCTTTTTGCTCACACCCGCTCCAGTTTTTGCGCCGAGAGTTCCCAGCTCTATCAACGTATCGCAACTTTTGGCTAGTCAATACTGGTGTAGGTGAAATTCTTACGCCTGCGTACTTGGAGGCACTGGAGACTGGGCTGAATGTTCAGACTGTGTCTGCATCAAAGCTGCTCAAGATTTCCCCCAGCATATCCATGGAAATGCGCCTTATGAGGGGACAGGTTGTCTCCTCCACTGAAGCTGCAACAGCAGCCTCCGAAGCTGTCAAAGCCCTGCTGCCCAAATTGAATGCATTTTCTGGGTGGATGATCATGGACCTGCCACTAACTCGTGACGTCGCTGCAGTTCTGCTGGAGCACGGATGCGTGCCCGACGCGATTTTAGTGATGAATAGAGAGTCTCAAGAGGAAGGCGGTGCCGATACTGATGCAGTTAGTGCACTATCTGCGCTACGGCGGCAGCAGTTCCAGGCCGAAAAGGCTGGCGCTGAAGACGTATCACAAGGACTTGGTGGCACCCCTCGCGTGATAAACTGCCCACTATTTCAGCAACCCAGCGACACCCTGGCAGCCATCGAGCGCGAGATAAACCCACTTGCACCGCGTTTGGATAGTGTCGAGGACGGACAGGCTCCACAGCTCGTTGATGAGTACGATCCCGCTGTGCTATTCGCTCCACCACTTCGTGATCAGGATGAAGAGCCATATAGTCGTCCGCCGCAAGAAGGAGAAGCTGAGAGTGATGTCACGGATCCTGAGGCGGAAGCGCAAGCTGAAGCAGCAAGAAGCCGAGCACTACAGCTTCAGGGAGAATGTGGACGGTTTTGCCCGGTGTCTTGGAGTACGCGTGGCCTGCTGATACCTGGTCTTCCATCTCACGTTTGCTGCTTCAGGCAGAAATTTTACGCTTTCGCTGGTGAATCGGAGCGCCACGCGTTTGAGGGAAATCCGTCGGCCTTCATTCCTACAGGACCTCGTGCAACCTCAAACTTCATACCGTGCGTGTTGCTGCTCGGAGTTCGAGGATCGGGACGCGGTCGCATCGCTGCAGCACTCGCCCAAACGGAAACAGAGCCAGGTAACACGGCAACGGAGTTCATGAATGTGGATCTAGCCGCTGTTTCAACGGAGGCTGAACGCAACCAGCTGCTAGAAGAGCTCAAGCCGGAAGAAGCACGATTGGCGCAGGAAGAAGTGTCCATCAGAGCGCTTCAACGAGAGCTTCATCGTCGACAGCCAACGTCCGAGAAAGCGGTCGCACAGATCATTGCTGGATTGGGGCCAGAAGCTTCACGCATCCCAACTGCGTCGACTCTGGAGATATGTTTCAAGCTCGGACTATTCCCAACACTTGTGATTCCCTTGTCAATGTCAGAAGACGACGTCGTGAACTCTTTGTTGAGTCGGTGGGCTACCAGCTTGCCGCCACCGCGTCGGAAACTTGCTCTTACGCGTAAAATACAGTCTGCTGACGATGCAGAAGGCGAGGGGAATCCTCCAGACGAAGGCGAAGAAGAAGAACCACCGATAGACATGGAGGCTGCACGAGAAGAGGAGAGTACGCGGCTGCGTGAACAGTATACCGAAGATCAAAAGGCTCTGGAGGAAGCTATCGCTGCGTTTAGAGCTCGAGGAGTCAAAGTCTGTAACCCGGTGGATGCGACCGGATCACCAAGACAAACAACCAAGCACGTGAGACGAATTCTGAACGATTTCATGGCAGGTCGAGAGACGCTTTTCGAGCATTGCGAGGTGCTTGACATGTCGGCGGGAGGCGCAATGCAAAAGATGCTAGCATCAGGTGAACTTCTCATCGGCAAACATGGCCTTGCGTGCCCAGTAACAGGACGGACAGACTCGTTATCGGCCGCGTCAGTCAAGGCTGTAGTGCATCGGGGTCAAATTTACTTTCCTCGGTCGCGTGAAGCCCGTCGAGCTTTCATGGCTTGTCCCTCGCGTTACTTGGAGAAAGCTAGCCTTCCCCCAAGACACCAGTTGACCTGCTGCGTAGTGGGGGCTCCATTCGCAGGTAAAACACGCGTCGCCCAAGAACTTGCGAATGCTCTCGGACTGGTGTATGTATCTCCCCAAAATGCTGTGGAGTGGGTGCTGCAATGCCAGGGTGGGTCTGCACTTCGTCGTCGACTACAGGAGATCACGGAACAACAGCAAAGAAGCCCTTTATCCGACAACGATCTCACTCACGAGTCCATTTGCACTCGTTTACGCTCCTCAGAGTGTCAAGCGCGTGGTTGGGTCCTCGACGGGTATCTATTGCAGCATCATGAGCTACAGCACAGTCTTCCACATCCAAGTACAACAGAAGTCGACTCGACCATTCAACCAGACATGCTTTTCGTTCTGGAGCGCGGCTTCGCAAGTGTTTGGCAGGATCATCAGGGAAATGTTGAGAAAAATGATCTTCGAGCGGCATTTTCACGGTGGTATCAGTATTGGCCAAAGCTGCTTGACGTCTGGACTCGACGCTTTGGTAGTTTCCACGTGCGCCAACTTGATAGTTCAAGCCACTCGCTCTGGCACGTAGCCGCTCAGGCGCAAGCATTTCTCGAAGAGCAGCAGCGGTTGGTAGCACACCACGCAAGGGCAATGGCTTCCGACCGAGCAGCCCGATCGTTAGGTGTTGTGCGCTCCCGTGAAGCGCTTCAAGCGCGACAGCATCCTGTTTTCCAGACGTTCTGTCCGGTTGAGCTGCGCGCTGGAAGATTTTACCATTCTCGCCAATCAAACCGGGAGTTGTGTGTGGATTTCCGTGGCTCTAGCTTCTGGCTTGGGAACCAGCAAAATCTCGAGCAGTTCCTCGCGAGCCCTGAAGCTTCCGTCGGGTGTTTACCAGGCCAACTTCCAGTTCAACAGGGAGACGATCCTTGGCCTTCGCAGGACGAAGCGGAGAGCGAGGCGCAGGCTCTGGTCGCAAGGGCCCCAGTTAACGCTTCGTTGCTAAGCCTGCTGACCGTGGCTGATTGCGACTTCCCCGAGATGAAAGGCTACTGCCCAGTCACTTTTGCGATGGGCTCCGGGGAGAAGGATTGGGCGTCACTACGCCACGGCAGCGTCTTCTATCGCGCGTCATACCGCTCGAAAGTGTACTTCTTCGTCTCTGAGGAAGCACGCCGTAAGTTTTGCACCGAGCCATCGCGATACACATCGCAGAGTCTGCCAGTAAAGCTCCCACCGCAGGTGACGCTGGCAAAAAGCTACCCGGGGCAGTTAGAGCAGCAGCTTGGAGCAGCACTCAACGAGGTCTTGCTTGGACTCGGAAGCGAACGTCCGAAGTTCCCACAGATGTCAATCCGCGCGTCTGCGTGCGTGTATCTTGCTCTCTCACTCAAAGCACTGCAGCGGCGCTATCAACTGAAGGTGAAGCCGGATCCGCGCTCAGCACGAGACGAAGGTGAGCCGGATGAGGAGCAGAAGCAGCGCCAGGAGCGTCGTGAAGAACAGGCTGAGCGCGATGCTATTGCGCGGCGCGATGAATTCGTGCGCGACTGCCGACTTGGAGAGCAGCTCAAAGCTGCGATCACACCCTCGCACCCGTCTTGTGGCTCAGGAATCAAGGTCGCTCGAAACATGCGCGCCGCTCAGGATTCGCTCGATGAGTCTCAACAGATCGAGAAGGAGCTCGGAGACAATGAATTCTCAGCCTTGGAAGAGGTTGAAGTACTTCGTCGTCGCTTTGACACCATCGTCTCCAGTTGTGATGACAAGCCACTGCCCACGGACCCCTACACTGCGCGAATGAACGCCAGAGGTGCATTTCTCAAGTATACGAGAACATCAACTCCTAGCTAACAAACCAACGATCAAAAAATGGTGGATGCACTCCACTTGAATCCCTGTGCTACGCAGTCAGTTGTGTGCAGTTACGATACCCGGGAGCAAAATCTGCGACGTGTGATAAATATGTGACGTGTGAACAGAATGGCTACAGCTTAGAACACTTCACAAACTTAAGTCGTCTGCGCACATGAAGGTCATTTACTGCGCCATCGTCCCTGAAGGGAAGACAGTTGCAGCGGTAATGGAGCCATACGAGAGCATCCACGCAGTATTGGAGGTCGTCCAGCGCACGTTGCACTCTAGTGTTCCGACTGAGCAGATGACCGCTTTCTTAGCCAGGAAACGTGACGGTCGGTGGCTGATTAGTTTTGACGACCCGAAGCACTTCCTGGTGTGGGGCAGAGTTCCAGAGGCGGATCGGCCGCTCATGACCAGTGCCAACATTTTGAATCCGCACGCTGCAGTGGGCGATGACGCTCTTGGCTTTCCGAACGACACAGTCCGTGAAATCGGTGCCTATTGTGACACTGCAGAAGAGCCCTGAAGGTACGTTGCTCTTGTACAAGGCATGGATGTGCTTTAATGCCCATTTATTAACCTTGATGTCGTTGTGTGTTGCCTAGCGTCCGAGCAGAACGCCGCCGTTGCCGTTAAGGTGCTGGCTGTCGTCGTTCGTGCAGCGGCCGTCAACTACGGATTGCAAGAAAAACCATTGATTGTGCGAAGAATTTACGAGTTTGTCGTCTAAATTGTTAGAGTTGAGATCGGCCTTTAGGAAGAACGAGAAAGAGAAAATGGATTCTGCAATATGAAGGACTTTCTCAGTTCACTCGGGTAAATCCAGCATCAACAGGCATGCGAGGTCTTCCCAGCTCCGGTATGAGCCGGCCCGGTCTTCGTCAAGAGCTCTTGCCGTCCAGGAAGGCTGCAGGCGCATGAAGGCTGCAAGGAAAGACGAGATGAAGATTCGCTACGCCATCACCGGCAATCAAGCGTCACCCTCTTACGTGATAGCTTCTCGCTACGAGACAGTCTCCAACCTGGTGACCCCATCGTGGAGAAGCGCGGTTGGGCTCAGCATCGCCACGTTCGACTGTTCCTGGCATTTAAGGATGGCAAATGGATGAGTACGGCGGACGACGACTTCGCTGCGGTGAAGAGAGGCCAGGTACCAGTCGGATTTTCGGAGATTCCGGACCTGCCCTTCCCCCTAGGAATTCTCTACATCCCCAGTCGTGGGAATGAGGTCCGCTTCGTTGTTGGCTACACGCATTGAGGTGTCCCCCATGGTCTCTGATACTTATTTGCCAGCTGACTCAGACGCACCGCACAAGGCGATCGACGTGAACGACAACGAGATTCAAGCTCGCGCTGAGCCGATTCTGACGCGCATTACGTCGCGTGCTTGTCGCTGGGCTTGGCCAGGACTCTTTTGTGAATAACGCTGTGCACTGCTTCACTCCTAACTTCTCGTTGTCGACTTGGCCACATCAGGAGCGCGATGCGTAACTGGTGGCCCACCAGTTACGCATCGCGCTCCTGATTTTGGCGCTGGCATTCACGGTGGCTGTATGCCAAATCTACGTGGCCACGCAGGAGGAGCCTTCAAAGAAGTGGTTCCGCACGTTACAGGCTGTGGAGGCCGCTCCTCCAATGCCTGACGAATGACACTTGACAAGAAGCTTCGAAAAGCAGAGATGCTGCGTGAAAGCAAAGCAACGATAACCGTGAAAGATAGCCAACTAAGTAGCCGGCGATGTGAGCGAGTGCTACCTACCACCAAGTGCCACATTGCGCACACAAGCGAAATCAATACAGTGCGACGAAGCTGTTGTAGACTATTAAGTATTTTGTTGCTGCCACTCTGTTGCTTGCTTGCACCTGAGTCGCCAGCAAACACGAAGCTCAAAGGATGACATCGGAACATACCAAAGTGTACAAACAAGCAACAGCAAACTGCTGTGTTTCCCTGTCTACCGTATCTTCGCCTCATTTGCAACCGCACAACTAGTCTTTCTTGTGCAACAGCGGCGTAGATTCCGATACGTCGATCGCCACATGATTCTGTCGTAGACCCCAGTCACCATTGAAAGGTGGCTTCCAAAGGTTAAGCAGCAACGAGAAGAGGATGACCGGTACCGATGAGAGCAGCTCCGACAGACCAGCAAGGGCCGGAGGGATCCAGATTCCGAGCGGTGCATACAGTGCGCCACACGCCACAGGCATCATCAGCACGTTGTACATGAACCCCCAGGCAAAGTTGTGCCTGATGCGCCTGTTGGTTGCGCATGAAAGCGCACGGGCGTTCAACAGATCCCGCAGGTCGTCCTTGACCAGCACCACGTCAGCAGCGTCAAGAGCCACATCCGTGCCAGCTCCAAGTGCCACACCCACATCAGCCGTAGCAAGCGCAGGGGCGTCGTTCACACCGTCACCCACAAAGGCAACGCGCAAGCCCAAACTCTGCAGTAGGCGCACCTTGTCGACCTTTTGATGAGGAAGACTTTCGGCTAGCACGGAGCCTTCGGGAACACCTAGCGTCTTTGCCACGCTCATTGCTGTGCCATGCTGATCACCAGTGACAATCCACGGCTGGATTCCCTCGTGCTTCAGATACTCGATGACACGAGCGGCTTCGGGGCGCGGAGCGTCACGCAACGCAATAGCAGATTGTAGTTCTCCATCAACGACGACGAACACCACGATGCAGCCCTGGGACTGAAACTGCTGATTTGCTTCGATGAACTCCGGAGGAACTCGAAGAGCACGATAGTCACTGTACGTTTGCTGTTTAAGCCACGTGAGCGAACCGAGGCGTACATCAACTCTTCGCACAGTACAGTGTACCCCACATCCAGGAACGGCCTCGAACCCTTGTGCTTCATCGACTTGAAACCCTTGGATTTGAGTCTCGGCATGCGCGACTAGTGCTTTGCCAATGGAGTGCTCACTACCGCTTTCCGCGGAGGCTACATAGCGCCAGAGCCGAGTGGAACTGAGACCATTTCTTGGCGTGAACACATTAGCCACTCCGAGCTGTGCAGTGGTGAGGGTGCCCGTCTTGTCAAACACGACAGCATCCACTTCTTCAAGCGCCTCCAGCGCCCGACCACCCTTGAAAAGGACGCCCACCTGCGACCCTTTCGTCGTAGCAACCATAACAGCAGTTGGCACAGCAAGGCTGATCGCACACGGGCAACTAATGACCAAGACCGTGATCGCAAATCGCAGTGCAAATGGGAAAGGCCCCCAGCCCTGTGTGTCCACTAGACCGCGCTTAGCGAGAGAGTACCACAACGCGAATATGCAGACCGCCAAAACGATGATGAACGTGGTGAAGTATGCTGCCACCGCATCGGCAATACTCTGGCGCACACCCCGTGAGGCCTGTGCTTCCCCAACGAGTCGCACCATTCGCGCCAACATGGATTCGTGAAGTGTGTGCGTGACCCGCATGGTCAGAACGCCTTGAGCATTGATGGAGCCGCCGATCACTGTCGCTCCAGGTTCCTTGGGCACCTTACGAGCTTCGCCTGTCACCATGGACTCATCCACAGAGCTAACACCTCCCACAACCACACCATCCGTAGGTACCCGTGTACCAGGAAGAACCTTAAGTAGATCTCCACGCTCGACAAGCACCACATCAACGTACAGTTCCTTCTGGTCCTCGTCTTCGAGCAAAATAGCAGTCTTGGCCTGCATACGCAGCAGCGCGTCCACACTGTTCGAAGCTCGAGACTTCACCCGCGTTTCAATGTAGCGACCAACCAGGATGAGAGTAATAAGCAGCACCGTGACCTGGAAAAACGTATCAGCTCTCAATGATGCCTCCACGTGCCCCTGCGGTGGTTGCTGGGTCAATCCTGTTGACGGGCCCACAGTAGCTGGTCCGACTTCTCCCGGTGCTCCAGACCTCCTGAGCGCCTTTGTCACAACCGTGAAAACCGAAAACGTGTAGGCCGTGCAAGCACTTAGCGAGACAAGGACGTCCATGGTAACCCGCCCACCATAGCGCAGCGCCAGGAAAGCGCTTTCGTGAATGGGGCGCGCTACTAGAAACAGTACTGGTGTAGCGCATACCAACTCCACAGCGTCTCGGACACTCAAGTGGCCCGCGGTGCCCCAGACTGCCGCATCCGCTGGGTTGTTGTCGGACGAGGGGAAAATTGCCGGCAGCACAAACTCGATGAAGATGACCGGCAATGACAGCAGACAGCTCCAAAGTAACAGCCGTGTAAATCGACGCACTTCTTCTTCTCCTGCACGAACCGATGGCGCTCGTGGGCTTGAGGCTTGAACAGTGAATCCTAGCTCACGCGAGAGATGACGCACAATTCTACGGGCACCAGTGATATCCGGGTTGTACTCGACAAGCAACGTCTTGCACGACAAGCCCGAGCCCGAAGAAATGGGCGGTTCATCGGCGTCTTCCACAGAAGCAACTCCAACAAACTCGAGAAGCAGTTTCCTCGCACGCGGTGCACTCTCGGGCCGTCCAAGGTGCAGGACGATGCTAACAAGCTCGTCGCTAGACAGAACACTCGGCTCAAACCCTAGCGTAGCCACGGTTTGCTCGATGTCCTTTGCCGTCACCAGTCGCGGATCATACTGAAAGACCCCACGGCTCGTAAGGAGACTCACATTCACGTCTGCAATACCACGCTGCGCGACCATAAACTTCTCGATCCGCGTACAACAGCCACTGCACGTCATGCCGCCAATATTCAGGCGCAGCGTCTCCAGTGATTCGCTCATTTTTCTCTGCTTACCCGAGCTGCTGAAGTTCGATCGCTGTTTCTCAAGCGCAGCGCCGCGGTCGCTGCGAAACTGCACCAAGCGGTTTAAAAAGCTTGGGGTTCGTTCCGGAAGCGGCAGGTCTTTCGCCTTTGATGAACAGCATCCCGAACCAGGCGTCTTCCTCTTGCCCTTTGGGGATGAGCAGCAGCCACCTGACTCCTTCTTCGACGCCTTAGATGAGCAGCATCCCGACGCTTTCGTTTCTCTCTTGGAAGAGCAACAGCCACTCCACTCAGTCTTTGACGCGTCGGACGAACCACATCCAGATTCCTTGATCTCTTTCTTGGACGAGCAGCAACCTCCGCCCTTGGCCATCGGCACGTCCGACGGCCCGCAAGCAGTCACACCAGGAGTCTTGTTCGCCTTTGACGAGAAGCAACCAGAGGCTTTGGGCTTTTTCGTTGATGCACAGCAGTCGTCAGCGGCAAGATCAGCCTCCAGGGCGTTGGACGATGAGCACCCCGGGTCGACCTCCTTCTTCTTCGACGAGCAGCAGGCAGTCGACTTCGGTTCGCCTCTAGACGCACAGGACTCGTCTGACTCACTTGAAGTCTTTGCTGCCTTCGACGAGCAGCAGCCTGAACTAGTAGCGGACGCATCGGCAGTAGTTACCTCCACTTTAGACGAGCAGCATCCAGACGTGCCCTCTTGCTTCGGTTTGCAGCAGTCGTCAGCTCCGTTCTCATCCACAACGGCCTCGGACGAGCAGCCAGCAACCTCCGCCGCTTTCACATCTACTTGAACAGCGGCCGCTTGCTCCTCCTCAGCAGCGCAGCAGCTGCCTCCTTCTGCCCCTGGCGAAAACTCCTTCCCGCTCTTCTGGTCGCCGCTGCAGCACGAAGACGCACACACCTCCGTCGTCTCGCTCTCCTCCTCCTTCTTCAATGCAGCCACGTCCTCCTCGCCGCTTGAGCAGGAAACCGCCGTTTCTCCCCCGTCGCTCTTGATGCCGCAGCAGCCCCCCCCGTCCCCGCACGAGGGCGGCTCAGAGGTCTCGGGGTCCATGGGGTCCACCAGAGCGGCGGGAGCGGCCGCACGGCGACCCTTGCGCTTGCCCATGGCTTGATGGCTACAGTAGTGCTCGGTGGGTGGAAGGCGTTCTCTCGCTGGGAGGCGTGATGAAGTCTGCCGCAGCGAAGCAGCAGGCCAGCACCGCACTGCAAGGCCAGGATGAGATCTGCACTGTGTTGAAGCGGTGGTTCATGTTACGTCGCTGGGCAACATAAGTTACTGAAGTTGCTTGAAGGTGATCAGCTTTGGCGGGGTTGATGACAGTGATTGCATGAACATCCAAGCACAGGGGGAGCGAGCGAGCCAAGCGCTAACTGTAAGTACTGCACGAGAGGGCTAGCTCCAATGTACTTCACCACGATGTTCTTACCTGCTTCGACGCACCGAGCCATCTAACCTAGCATGACAGGGCAAGCCTGATGACAGCAGGGCTAGCACTACCGGCAATACCGGTATCTTTCACGGTACCCCGCTAGGCCTAACCCTAACCGGCCTCTTAACCGCTGGGCGTGTCCAGAGGGTACACGGTACCGCTCTTAGTTGTGTTCGACACATCAACCGTTGTGGTTGGCTGTGGTTGCCTCTCGCTGCGCCGAGAGCGCCTCCTTTGGCTCAGTTCTTTTCAGACAGGTAAGAGACCAGCGTCATGGCATCGTCTCTTTGTGGACTGTTGTCCCCCTAACGCCTCTCGCTCCTTCATTCAGGTATATTCATCACCATGCCCGCCAAGACCCAGAACATCGTGCTCGCCCGCGGTATCAACGCCATCTCGGCCAACAGCCTCTCGAAGAAGAACGGCCGTGGCAAGGTCGTCAAGAAGGGCGGCGAGAAGAAGGTCGTCGCCAAGAAGGTGTCCACCAAGAAGTGGTACCCGGCCGACTACATCCCGAAGCCGCTGCCTTCGGCCAAGACCCAGCGCAACAGCGTCAAGACCGCCAAGCTCCGCAAGTCGATCACCCCCGGCACGGTCCTGATCCTGCTGTCGGGCCGCTTCCGTGGCAAGCGCGTGGTCTTCCTCAAGCAGCTGGCTTCGGGCCTGCTGCTCGTGACTGGTAAGTTTCAGTTCCAAGATTCTTTTGTGAAATGGTGGAGGCATTGGAGACGGCATTCCGATGATGCAAACTTGACACTTGAGAGGCGCTCTGCCGTCCCCTCCGTATCTGCCTCGGCTCCCATGGTCTCGTGTCACTACGCTAATAACCCTTATTGTCGCCTCGTAAGAGGACTGCTCTGAGTGGCACATGGCTAGTGGCATGCGGTTCCCGATGGCTGTCCTGGTACATGTGGAGGGGTGTCTTTTTGCCAAAGATCCATCAGATTATGAGACCTGAGGAATGCCGGATCCAGTTTACTTCAACAAGTAAGCTGGTACTTGAAGATCAGCTTCTAACCAAGCGATGTGTCTTTCTAACAGGCCCGTACAAGGTCAACGGCGTGCCGCTCCGTCGCGTGAACCAGTCGTACGTGATCGCCACGTCGACCAAGGTCAACATTGAGGGCCTGGAGCTCCCTGCCATCGACGACGCCTACTTCGCCAAGGAGAAGGCCGCCAAGAAGAGCAAGGAGGAGCAGTTCTTCGCCCAGTCGAGCGCCGTAAGTTTTCATCATTTTCCCTGCGATCTCTTGTGAGCATCCCGTTCCGTTGGTCGGTTCGTCAAGAACACTTCACACGATTCGTCCACACCACGTGACTGTGCGCTTTTCGAGGAAAGATTGGGATCGATGAACCTTTGGGATCTCTCCTTGTCTTCTTTTTGAGAGTGTGTGGTTGCGTGGGCGGATTTGGAGGAGGGTATTGATGCCTTGGCTTCTTTGCTCTTCTCCACACCACATGAGCGCTTGGGATCGCTTGCTTCGGCACATAAGCTCCCTATAAGATACTAACGCGTTGTTGCTGTATCCTCCACAGGCCCCCGTCATCCCGGAGCAGCGCAAGAAGGACCAGAAGGCCGTGGACTCGGCTCTGATCAAGAAGCTCGACGCTGAGCCGTTCCTCAAGGCCTACCTGAACGCCAAGTTCTCGCTGACCAAGAACGACCGCGCCCACGCCCTCAAGTTCTAAGTGCGCAATTGCTATCCTTTCTAGCAGTGTGATGCGATGGAATGAGATGAAAGAACAATATACCTGATGAAACTATCACCAAACTCCAATTCTTCTTTATCCCAGAATCTCATCTAGCAGGTCTTGTAACAGAGTGCTATCGTTCTTAGCGTCCTCATCACTCTCGTCCTCCGACGTCGTTGCACATTTTCGAGTTGAGTTCAGACCATCGCTGTTGCCTTCGTTAGCAAGGGTGCTGTAGCTCGAGCTATTCTTTATCAAGTTCCCTTTGAACGAGCCGCCGCTTTGAATTGACGCACAAACTTTTGCTTCTGCCACGTCGTCAAACCCGCCAGGACGAGCACTGCCAATGAGTGAGGAGACCCATTCTTGGTGTCGCGCGTGCGTTTGGTGTCGCTCTTTAGCCGTCCACAGATGATGCTCTTGTCGCGATGACAGCCCGCCACCTCCAGCCCAATGACCCGAATTTTCCACTGCACTTGTTTCCTTCGCACAGACGCTTGTTCGACCTGCGTAACTTGAAAAGCCCCCAACAGATTTGAACTCACTTCGGAGTGGCAACACAGGAACTCCTTCGTCGACCATAGCAAGTGAGGGTATCGTTAAAATTGGTCGCGGCACGGTCTGATCGAAGAAGCGGTGCTGAAGTGCCTGTGCTGCCGTTATGCGTCGGCTTGGGTCGTATTGGAGTAGGTCTTGCACAAGTTGGACGGCTGAAGACGGTGTACCTGGAGGTAAGAATCGCCCCCACGAGACCGGAGCGCACTTGGGAAACCGCACCTGCATGTGAGAAGCCATTGCTGCACCCTCAGGCCAGGTTTCTTTGGTTGGTGTGCCGAGCACCTTGCAAATGCGATAGAATTGGTCAGCTTCGGACGTCCCTGGAAACAGTGGAGTACAGATGAGCAGCTCAACCATGATGCACCCGCACGCCCACATATCAATTGGGCTGTTGTACGTCGTAGACCGCAGCAAGAGTTCTGGTGCCCGGTACCATCGCGTTGCAACGTAATCCGTGAACGGTGGTCGCGATCGAATTTCTCGAGCTTGTCCAAGGTCAGCGATCTTCAGTGTGTCATCATGGCACAGGAGGTTCTCGGGCTTGATGTCGCGGTGGAAGTAGCCGTGCTTGTGCATGTAGGCTAGCCCACTGAAGAGTTGGTACATGATTGACCGCACCTGAGCCTCCGAAAACCATGGATGTGGAGGCGTTGAAGTCCACGACGGCGTCGACGGCTCAGAGCTTGAAGTTGTTTCAACCACTGGGCTGCTGCTTCCTCCTTGACATTTAAAGTTACGCATGACTCGGAAAAGGGATGTCTGCATGAACTCGAACACGAAGTAGAGCTCTTCTTTGTCACGGATGACCTCTTTCAGTAGCACAATGTTTTCGTGACGTAGCACCCGCAGCGACTTGAGCTCGCGCAATTGGAGACACTCCTCCCACGTGGGGAACAGCGCCTTGATTTTCTTGACTGCAACGATCTCGTGCGTCTTGAGGCTACGCGCACGGGAAACCTCACCGAAAGCACCGTCGCCAACCCGGTCTAGCATCTCATAACGATTCATCGTGTAGTTTCCGCTAGAGTCACAGAATTCCTTGGCTTCTGTGGAAGTGAGAAATAAGACTGCAGGTTGTTAGACTGCACGTATAAATAACCATCGGCAAAAAATACAACAAGGGGCGGCGTTCGTTAAAGGTGCAGGGTCCGTTCGTATTGCTGATATCTGACGAGTCAATTAGCAAGACTTCTATGATCATTTGGTGAGCTTGCCGTAACTTTCGATCATCCAGCGCAGGGTACGCGCTACCGTATCGATATCGACCTTGTGCAGAGCACTGTTCACAACAAAATGGGTTAGAGAGCTGCAACTGTAGGCGCCTGACTTTGGTATAAATGCAGAGCTTACCTGACTGGAAGGACAGCTAAGTCAGTAGATTGGCGCAGCTTGTGGAAGTTGTCCTCAGCACCTGCAATTATTTGCAAAGGGTCAGACCCACCTGTTCCCCTCTGTACTCGGGCACTGGGTGTCAGCTCTTACCTTGCTCGTCCATCTTGTTGGCAACGATCAAGGATGGCCGCGACGAAATCCCTGGTGCATAAAGCTCCAGTTCTCGCTGGAGGTGTGTAAAGTCCTCCAGGGGGTCGCGCCCCTCTGAGCCCGCCGTATCGAGCACATACATCAGGATCTATATACAAAGAATCATCACACCACACTTTAGTGTTGACCAATTATACGAAACCCAACCTTCTCCGTGCGCACCTTTGTGCGCTCAATGTGGCGCAAGAAATCATGACCCAGACCAACATTGCGATGAGCCCCGTCGATCAGTCCGGGGATGTCAGCGACACTCAAGCGGAACGTGTCCGGGAACTCGACAATACCCACATACGGGTGAAGTGTCGTGAACGGGTAAGGTGCGATTTCGGGTGTGGCACGGCTTAACACGCTGAGCAACGTAGACTTGCCAGCGTTCGGGTAGCCCACGAGACCCACATCAGCGATAGTCTTGAGTTCCAGCTCGTAGTACTGCGAGGTGCCCGGGTGACCCGTAGTCTTGTTCTCCGGCATGTGCTTGCGCAGCCGACCGAACTTGGTAGTCTTGCCGGCCAGAATGCGATTGCCCAGACCAGGTTTGCCACCCTTGGCAGCAAGGAACGTCGCACCAGGTTTGTCCAGATCACACACAGTCTCCATCTGGTCGACAATCTCGTACTCGCCGTTCTCGAGCTCGCGCTCGTAGCGCTCCACCCGCTTCACAAGCGTACCACACGGGACCTTGACCACACAGTGCTTGCCTCTCCTTCCAGCAGCATCGTTCGCTACAGCATCGCAGTTAAACATATCCACCTCAGTCAGCAACAATCAGCAACAATCCTGCAATCAAGCGCTCCAACACTCACGCATTCCGTTGGTTCCTGCTCCTCCCTTGAAGTGGTGCGTCGCGTTCGCCAAGTTCTGCATCTTGTCGCTGGCCTCAATGACCACGTCTCCTCCGGCGCCGCCGTGACCGCCATTGGGCCGCTTGCGCATCGCCGACTCGGCGAAGAAGCTGGCGCAACCGTTGCCGCCGTGGCCACCGGTGGCCTTAACGCGGATGCGGTCCACGAAGCGGCGCTTCGAGTGCTGCGCGCGCCGCACTCGAACCTTCTGCTTGACGTGCTCCTCGATCTTGCGGCGGCCGGCGGAGGCCACGTCGCCCTCGTCGTCCAGCTCCCAGTCCTCGTCGATGTCGTCAATGTCGTCCCAGTCCAGCTCCATGTCTTCCAGATCGTCGTCGTCGTCGTCGTCGTCGTCGTCGCCACCGCCACCTTGCACGCTGAAGGCACGCACAGAGGAGCGCCCTAAGACGCTGCCGCGACGCAGCGGCGCCGCCGTGAGCCCGCGCAGCAGGTTGGACACGCGCAGCATCTTGCTTGATCTGTGTGGCTGTTCGATTGGCTCACCAATACCGCTGCGAAAATAACTTACCGTAGTCCGTATGTGCTTGCTGACTAATTTTAATTACTGACAGTTTCCAGATACTTCTAGGTATCCAATCAAAGTACGCTATTTGTTCAAGTGAGCCAATCATTTCACTGAAGATAAGCTCACAATCGATTTTTTTGTGGCGTTGTAGCGAAGATGGCTGTCAGGAAGCACATAAGGAATACGGTACCGTAATTTATTTTGAACCAAAAGAGCGAAATGGCCAGCAAGGATGCGGACGACTTCAACCGCTTGTAGGAATGCTGTTTATGTGTGTGGTGACTACCGTTAGCGACAGGTAGCTCACAATGTCGTTGTTGCACGCTGGTGGTTGCAACAGGTACGAGCGGTTGGTAGTGCGCCGCACGCCCAAGAAGAAGAAGCGCGGCGTCAAGCGAGGGGCTGCAGCTCGTGCCGCGCCTCCTGTGGAAGATGCAGCAGTCGCAGCCAAGGCGCTGGAAGCTGCGCGACTGGAAGAAACGCGGAAAAAGGAACAGCAGGAGCACGACGCGAAAGTCATTAGGACAGTGAGGCGGCTGCGTCTTGCTAGGAACCTTCGTGGGCTGGCTCGGTGGAGTCGTTGCAGCCCGCAGCGCCTGGCCTTCCAGCTCTACGACTCAACTGGGAGGAGCAACCATGATTTCCTTCAAAGATACCGAAGGTTTAGAAGACAGCACGTGAGAGTGCAGGAGGGAAGCATGCCAGCATTGCATCGTTGCATGAGACTGGAGCACATCGCGGCCAGGTAGTGTAACCTTGCCGGTGTATAGGTGCTGTGCGTGTCCTGAACACGACTTGTTGCGTTTTAGGCTGTATCAAAATCGAGCGGTAGACTTTCAGCCGGACGCGCCGACCGTATTCGAAGGAAAGCAGCGAGTGATCGATCAGTTGCTGCTCTTTTCACCGCCACGTGCAGGAATCCAGTCTCAGATAGGGTATGCTGAAAGGCGTAATGTTGTACCTCTTCCGCCGTCAAGACTTCTGTCGAGTGATCACAACTAATTGGAAACGCTGGACGGTATCGATAAGTGTATGTTTTAATGTAAGTTCGACTACATTCGCCTCACACTCACCCACTAGTGACAGAGCCACGACTCATGAGTAACCGAGTTTCTGTGGCCCCGGCGTGGCCATCTTTGGAGAATGCAAACCCGTGATATGCCTTCTGTAGCGTCGTCCGGTGCTGCGAAGGTCGACCATTAGTTGGAATGACAGATCCGTTCTTCCTGGTTGCCTTTGAGCGAGGTAGTCGAGCTGGCACGGCCACTGAAGAGTTGCTATTATCGTTCCACTGCAAGAGCTTGCGATCGAGGTTGAACTTGATCACCTCCTTGGCCAGGTGCCAATATTCAGGGAAGAACGTCGATCTGATGCCGTTGAGGAGATGCGCGTATGAGAGCGCTGCTATTGGCACGAAGAGCCAAACCAGCCAAAACGACGCTTGTTCGAAAGCCTGTTCTAGCATGAGCTCCCACGTGAGGTCGGAGAGGATTGTGACGTGGCTGCATACCAACGCAACTATGAGCCACACACCCACAGAACCTGCGTAGAGGAAGTAGTTGAAGAAATAGAAGCTGTTCTGAAACATGAACAGCTTCGAGTTGGCAATCGACACGACAAGGGTAAACACGACGTAGCCCTCAAGCCACATCGTCGGACTCGTTCCATGAAACCCCGCGTTGGCCATCCCGTGAAGAGTGACAAAGGTGATGATAAGGCTCTCCACGATCGCACCGACAACCCAAAGAGAGAAAATTTTGGTGTTGATATCTTCGTCGCGAGGTCCCGTGAAATAGAGCTTGGGGAATGTCATGGCCACTTCGTCGTTCACATCTTGGTCCAGAATTGAAGCTGCAACGATAGGAATTGCCGTTAAAGCAATGTTGTACAGCTGTGTACCGCTCTCCAAGTAAAACTTCTGCCCCGAAAACCCGCACAGCAACGTGAACCAGTATTGGGCCGCAGTAAAGAGAATGTTCTTGTAGAAAATATACAGCACCAACTGCGCCATACGCCGGTAGTTCCAGCGACCATGCACGAGCAACAAGCGCTGCAAAAAGCGAAACTGGGCGATAGCGTAGTCACTCGAGTTGACTGCTTGCATGCCTTCCTGGCCAGAAATACCAACACCCACGTGAGCTTCCTGGATCATGGAAACATCGTTTGCTCCATCTCCAATTGCAAGTGTGCGGACACCAGGGACATATTCTTTGATGAGAGCGACCATCTCAGCTTTCTGAGCAGGAGACACACGGCAAGCGATCACGGCCTTGCAGTACTGAGAAAATTCAGCGAGAAGTGGACGGCACGGTCCCCGTAGTGCGAACATGAGTGTTTCGCCATCGATGACTAAAGCCAGCTCGCGTAACTCTCCTCTGGTGCTCGGAGGCGAAGCGAGATACACAGTGACGTCCGCGCTGCGCGCCCCAATCTCATCCCGCAAAGTGCTTTCAAGGATATCGGGCGTGGGTGCGTTCTTCGAATTGATGATGAAAAGCTTCATGTCATTTGTCACGAGCTGGCAAGCGAAGCCAATATTGATTGCCGTTTCTTCCTTGTCACCCGTGAGAACCCAGATCTTGATACCCGCGCAGGCCAAATTGGCAATCGTATCCGGGACTCCAGACTGCAGTTTATCCTCAATCGCAGTAGCTCCAAGCAGCTCCAAGTCACTCTCAATCTCACTCATGCATTCATCGATGTCGTTTGGTAGGTCCTTCTTGCGCTTGTCAATTTCAGCTAGGCTGTTCTGGGCTTCGTGGAAACGGGACGCCCACTCCTTGTAGTAGGACGGTTCAATTTCACGAACAGCGATTGTAAGCGTGCGGAGTCCATCTTCTGCGTATTGGTCAATGTGGCGTCGAGTGATCTCTTGGAGTTGAGATGAAGTTGATTCGTCCTCTTTGTCTTTCTTGAGCAGCCCATAGATGATCACATCTGCGCCTTTCGAATACAAGAAGATCCGGCCGTTGGGGTGACGAATAATTGTGCTCATGCGCTTGCGGGTACTGTTGAACTCCAGCACGTCTAGCATCTCGTATTTCTGTACGGTACCGCGGACTTTAACGTGCGCTACTCCGGGAGATCGGTTCACAAACTCGTATCCAAAGTATCCTGCACCAGCAACTAGAGCCTGCTCATCAGGTGAAGAAGCCGACAGTGTAACCTCGTTGGAACCTTCGTGGCGTTCTGGAATGACAGTGTGGCAGACCGCGAGGTGGGTGAAGAAGGCATCGATGCGTCCCTGTTGAACTGACCCCGAGTCCCCTTTCATGTCGTTGAACAGGTCTGGGCCATCAAAGTTCACGTAAGGAACCTTGGGGTCTTTTGACTGCACAGTCATATCGGGGAGGGGTTTTCCTGCACGCCTTAACGCTGCCAAGCCGATCTCAGTGGTACCATTGCCGTACGAAACGCCACCAATCGAGCACTTCCGGAACTCCATAACGTTGCAGGTAAGCGTGCCCGTTTTGTCAGAGAATATGTACGAAATTTGCCCAAGCTCTTCATTTAAAGACATGGAGCGCACGAGCGTCGGGGTGTCGGTGTCCGGGTGGTAAATTGTGATATCCCACTGGATAAACTGCGCTTGGAGATACTTGACCATACTCATGGAAACCGCAAGTGAAATCGGCACGAACTGGTACATCAGCAGCAGGTAGTAGAACAACATAATAAGCCAGTCGACAAAGGCACTGTTGTCGGACGCGTCCAATTCAAGGTACCACACAGAGCTGTGGTTCGTCTTCCAGGTCACTGCACCCGTTGCTCCAACAGCACTGAAAATAATCAGAATCGCCAGCAGCACGACAGTGTACTGGTTGATAGATCGGTCCATGGAACTCATTTTAGACGGCGGCGCCGAGTTGCTCATCATAATCTTCGTATCTTTGCCGGTATTGAAAACCACACCATGCACCCAGTCAGTGTTGCGGATAATGCAACCACGAAGGATGATGCTTTCGTACGGAATCGACGCCTTTTCCTTCCCCTCAAGCTCCAGCACACCTTGGAAGCTGTTGATGGCGTTGTTGGGGTGCTCGCAACGGATTACACCTTTCATCGCGACAAGATTGTCGACAGAACCCATCGTTGCCAACGTGCACTCCATCGCCGATCGGACTTTCATGTTGGTTTCTCCATCCAATGACTTGGTTTCGACATAGCAGATTCCGCACCGTGCAACTTCACTAACCGCGAGCACCAACATGTCAGCGGGTACCAGCCCACGGTTTCCAACTTTGACGATATCTCCCACCACAACGTCTGCCCATGTAATTTCCTTGAATTTCCGGGTTTCACGGTCGAGGACGAGAGTGGGGCTTGCGTTGGCGACGTTGTCCGCTTGGTGGCGCTTGTGGTCTTCGAGGACAGCAAATACGCCATCAACCGTTATAATGAACAGCAGCGGTGGCAAAGTTGAGGGCTGCCCACTGGTGTTGCTGATCTCGGGGATGCACTGCAGGATACAGATCATGAGGAAGTAGAGGTTCGAGAGTTTGCGGAAACTCTCGAAGAGGAACTTGGGCAGGAAGTTCGCCACTGTGTACTTGGAAGTGACGATGAAGTTGTTGCAGAAGCCGGCTTCGGTGTTGCGACTGGCATCGTTCAGGTGTACGACGCGGAAATCTCCAGCGCCTCCCGCTGTTCCTTCACCCATGGGTCAGCGACAGCAGAGAGAGGGAGCCGATGCGAGTTGGCCAGAGGTGAAGCGAGGAGACAGGAACGATGCGCACTAACGACGACCGCTGCGAATAGAGCACAGAGGACGGTCATGTGAGATGAGGAAGGGGTTTTGCTTCAGTGGCTGGGCCGCCCAGCACACAAGACGGAGCTCGCTATTTATATGCAAAGCAAAGTGCCGAAAGTGTTCTGAAGCTTTGGGTATTTTTACGCTGGGCACTCGTTGATTGAGTGGGAGCTAGAAGGAGAAACGAAAACGACAAATTCCCCCCCTGTGAGAATGCATCTGTGCCGCAAAGAGTGCCAGCTTTGGTTGCTTCTACACACGTCGAGTCATATTAATACATGTACTCGATCAGGTTTATGTAAGACTGCAACAGCGTCAACAGCAAAAATGTTGTGCGCCCTTTCGCTTTTGCTTGTCAAACCAAACAGCTAAGCGACCATCACCACTTTTTACCCAACGAAACAAATAGTTTCGTCTGATATGCAAACTACCTTTACTCTATCACGTTCGTGCTGGTTGAATAGCCTTCTCAGAGTGATGGTCTCTTCAACTGCAACATATCCGCTCACTTTCGAATTTGCCGGCTCGGGAGCAAGTCGATGAAGACCCACAGACGCAGACTACGCTATAACTCCGCCAAAGTCGGCGCTCCTGCAGCGACCGCCAGGACGGAGCTTGTGCCCAAGCAGCCGGTGAAGCGGCGAACGCGCCAGCAGCGCTCGCGTCGCGTCAGCCCAGTGAAGGCGCGCCACAGCAACGCAACGCAACAGGCTCATGATCTTCCAAGTGCGACCTGGAGCGACGTCCAAGAGCAGCTCGCAGGAGCCAGGAATCTGGGGGAACTGTGAGTACAGACGTCGTGGGCAGTGAGTGACAACGGCTGCGGACCGACATGGATCTTGTTGTGGTTCCGCAGTACGCAGATCATGCTGCAATTCTTTGAGAAGCACGAAGACCTTCAGGATGCTGGATCTGTTCCTGAGTTTCCCATCTTCGTTCGGGCCAGTGAGATCTACAAGATGAAGGGTAGCGTGTGTACTTTTGCATCCCTCTCGTTTTGTGGTGGAGTTGTTGTCCTGATGAGCGCTACGTAGTGCCGAAGAAGAGGAGGATCTACGACGTGCTTAACGTGCTGGAAGGTATGCCGATCTGGGTTTGATATTTTTGATGGGGGAGAGTGTAGATACGACAAGTGCTGATGCACCCATAGGGATTGGAGTGATCAAGCGAGTTCGCTGCGTCGAGACCCGGAGGACCAAGGGCGGCTTCCTATACTTTGGAAAGGATGCAGTGATTCAACGGTTGGCGGAGATGCAGAGCAACGCGGCACAAGTAATGGTGAATTTTCGCCAGCGTCGTGGCTTGAAGGCATCCAGCATTGCGGAGCAAGATAGTGCTCTGGTGCAAGCAATCGAAGAGAAGGCAGCAGCAGAGAAGTGGACGAGCTTGGCGTCTACGACGGTTTGCTTCCTGAGTTTGCTGTTTCTACAAGATTATCAAGTCGAGATGGCGGTACCTGGAATGAGCGAGAGGCTTGTCAAAGCCAAGAAAAGCATTGGCGCCTTGGCTTCGACATCGCCGCGGAATGAACCTCCGTATAATGACGTGCAGCGCCGAGTGTATGATGCAGTGACTGTGCTGGTGGCCTGCAATTTGATTCTCACAACGGCAATCGCAGCTACGCCAGCGGAATCTTCGAGAGAGCTTGCCGACAAAAGTCAACGAAAACACGTGCGGTTCAACTATGAAATCTTCACAGACCCAAGATTGCTGTTTTCGCCTAGCAACTCTCAAGTGCAGTGGGGCTTCAGTGCAAGCCAGGAGGAGTGCCTTGGTGTTACAGAGTCAAGCGTTTACGCTCACAAAAGACCTGTGCCAAGAAGTCTCCAGGAACACTTGGTATCTCCCCCATCGGCGTGTTGGGAAAACGATCAGGCTGTGTCGCCTGAAGTTCCTCTATTTACCAATGGCGACAACTGCAAACCGCCACCCGGCAACTCCGCGAAAACACGGCCTGTTCATGTTTTCTTCTCTCCTTTGGGAATGAAGCTGCCGGAGAAAAATGAGTGGTACGATGAGTCGCTGAAACAGCTTGGCCGGTACGGTGCTTCTCCTTCGGAAGGCAAAATTTACTGGGACCCGAGCCCCCAACTCAAGGGAACTCACTGTGAGCTGTGGGGACCACCGTACACGGCAGCTACTGCATTCTACGCACCAGTCGAGATGGTTCGGATCGACGGGGCAGACGAGAAGCTGCCAGCTCAGCTGGTGGACCTGAAGTGCCACGAAATTCAGGTCGACGATGAAACCAGCATCTTTTTGTGCTGACTGAGTAACATGGGATATGATTTTCACAACGAATTTCTAATAAATTCGCAACCTTCTTCTCCTTCCTTGAGTACTGGTTGGTTTTTGCTTGTAGTTTGCATGCCGATCATGGAGTGTAACCAGGAGAGTCCTTGGCTTTTCGACTCGACTGGTGCTGCTGAGAAAGAGCACTGCGGTGGGAGACTGCAGTCTCTTGCAAACGCTCATTGAGTAGCACGGCATACCCCACGGTAGATCGACCAGCCAAGAACAGCCCCTGCCCCTGTAACGTTGTGAATCGCTCCGTGGATCCTCGGCACTAATCCTCCCTCTTAAAAATTGTTTTCTGCTTCTCCAGTTTCTTCGAAAAGCGAGCACGTCCTGGCGAAAGACAGATTTTGAATAGCAGCAATTACCCATCAACACTGCTAGATACTTGCTCAAAACTCCTTCGAGACAACGGCAGCTACGTATATTACGAGACTAGTAACAACATCTCCTCGTAATTCAAGCCCGTCTGTCTTCACGACATGAAAACATAAAAAATGTAAGAAACATTAGAAAAGGTTTCGTGTTACAAGATCCTCAACGCCCGCAATACCTGTCAGCAACATACAGCTCGCCATCATCTGTAGTCTCCAGAGAATAAGTGCTGCTCTTGCGTCTTGTATGGGGCAGGTGCAATGTGCTTGTCTTGTGATTTACTGCTCGGGGGTCGCCAGGTGGCCGCGCGACTTCTTGATGGAGTCCGGGATGATCGGGCCGTCGTACTGGTCCGTGGGGAGGCCCATGGACCGCCGGATGGGCACCACCACCAGCGGCAGCGACACGGCCACAGCGCCGATGGCGCAGGAGACCACCACCATGGGCTCGCGGTCCAGGTAGTGACGGATGAACTTGCCGAGGACCATTATCGCGCTTCTTGGACTCTCCCTTTGTTTGGGCGGCCAGTATGAACCTCTCGTGCAGATTAGGGTGCGCCACACCACGAAAACCGGACCATCGGAATATGAATTATCATAGTTCTTAGGATGTGCATTTTATGCCAAATGACAGGGGTAGAGGAAGCCATGACGATCTTCGACGGTCGCAGGAAGAGACCCAAGCAAGCCAACCGCAGCCTTGACCATTGATGAGAACTAACCAGAGAGATGATCTCTACAATTCGCACTTCATTATATTCGTGCATGATGAAACACACGATCATACACTTGCTACACCCTTAAATCCACAGTCCGCTGCTGCTCAACGGGATGTCAGTGACGTTCGAGCAGCTCAGAAACCCACTCGACACGCTGTCACCGTCGTCATCTTCCCAGCCTTCCCATTCCTCCTCGTCCACCTCGCTGCTGTCGTCGTCTTCGTCTTGGGTATCAAATCCGCTGGCTCTGCGCACGATCTTGACAGCCTTCTTCTCCGCGGCATGCGACTCAAGAATTAGCGCCTGGGCTCGGTTGCGTGCGAACGCTGCAGCAAGTTGGCTTTCGACGAAAGCTGGTACATTGTTCTCATCCAAGCTGATAGTCTCCACGTACAAGTTGACATCCAAGGCGTCAAGCAGAGCCAGCGCCCCCACTCGCGTGATTCGGTTGTTCGTCAGCTCCAAAGTCCTGAGGGTGCAGTTGCAGCGAATAGCCTGAGCGAGAGCCTCAGCGCCACGGTCGGTGATCAGGTTATTCGCCAGACTCAAGTGCGTCAGTGAATCGTGTCCGTAAAGCGCCTGCGCTAGCGCTTCAGCCCCGCGATCACCGATTGCGTTGCCGACGAGATCCAAATGCTCGAGCGTCGTGTTATTGCACAGCATTTTGGAGAGAGCGACAGCGCCGTCGTCTTCGATAGCGTGGTCGCGAATGATGAGCTTGCGAACTGTGTGGTTGGTCGAAAGAGATCGAGCCACCAGCGCGCACCCTTCAGACTCCAGCCGCTTGTTGCGCTGCGCGAGAGTTGAGAAGTCCAATTCGCTCACGTCGCCGTCGTTGAGATGAATCCGCTGTAGGATGGAGCCCAGCGTCGGACCTGAACATTGGCCGTTAGTCAAACTGAGATCACAATAAACAAGAGTAAGCTCAATGATACTTTACCTTTCACTCGCGGAATGTAGTTGGGCTGCGGCATAATGTAGTAACTTGAACGATTGTCGTGGCCCACGCGCGGTCCAACACGGGACAGAGGCGGCTTACCCACACAAGCGGTCGTGCTTCTCGAGGAAAGCGTGGTGACTGCAGAGCTCACAGTCGAAGACGTTTCGGTGTCAGTTGAGGAAGGCGCTTCCTCTGTCTTCGACTTCAAATCTGGGTTTGAGACCTCAACGTTTTCAGCACTTGACTCGTTGCACTCGACCGAGGCAGCTTGAATCCTGTGCAGTTCCTCCTCCTCATCGTCCTCCTCCTCATCGTCCGTGTCCTGGTTGCTTTTCACCAATGAAGAAGATCCGCAATCAAGTTGGGCAGCATCAGAATCACCGACGATCTCGTCGTTGCCAGCAGTGGCCGCCTCTGTCTTCGGGTCGCGCTCTAGATTCTGAATTGGTGGGGTGACCTTGGCGGAATCGGTTCTTTTAGCAGCAGGATTGGTGGTTTGTGACGATTTAGCCCCCGCGGCCGACTTGGAACGGAATATCAAGCGCTTGCGCTCTCCATCCCGCTCACCCGCACCGAGAAGTTGGCGCCAGTAGCGCTATGCAGGCAGGACACGCCACGCCAGACAAGAACCGCATGAGTCTCCGGGCTTATCCATGCGAATTCGTCGAGAACAAACCTCAAGTTGGTGCTTCGCGCGGCGGAGGTTGATGTCGGGCATCAGCAGTGCCATACAGGCGGCCGTATCGGCAATGCCGTTCTCTCGCCGTAGGCTCGTGCGCACTCTCGCTTGGAAAACGCGCCCTATAACAAGGCGAAGCGCGCGATGGGGATGATGCGGTGAAGCCACTCGATCAAGTCCCCATCCTGTGACTCACGTGGAGACATACACGACAGGCTACCCCACACCCTGAGCACAGGCCAGTTGTCCTCTCCCGCATTCTTCAGTCCACGGGATCCGATAGACCGCCGACGAGCGTAGTGTCATCCGCCAAGGCGATGCTGATGGGCGACGCAAAGCACAATGACGAGCAACAGTTCAAATAGCTACTCACGCCTTGACATGTTGAAAGAGAAAATCGTTCTTGCTTTCGCTACACATATACGCCTTCCGGGCGTTTACTTAAAAAAGTTTCGTCCTCTTGCTGCGACCGACCAGCTTGGGAGTTGCAGCGAGGGGTTTGCTTGCGCTGCACCCGACACCACCACACATACCACGACTCTTACCTCTTCCGACTCTTGTTGATCTCGAGGATGATGGCTTGCAGCTCGATGCATTGCTCGCGCATGAGCTCCAGGTCATATTTCAGGTTACGGTTCTCAATCTTGAGCATCGAGTTCTCGTCCTCGAGCGAGATGCCGCTCGAGCTCGAGGTGCTGCCGCTGTGGCTTCGCGGCTTCATGAAGCTCTTGGCACGAGCTGACAGCTCGTTCAGACGCTTCACGCTGCCGCGACGACCCGAGTGCGCGACCTTGAACGACTCCATGCGGTCCGCCACCGACCTGCCGCGACCTGCACGAATCGATGCCGGGTCGTCACCGAAGCCCTCGTCAGCGTCCGAGTCGTCGAGATCATCGAGGTCGTCGACCCACTGGCCGCCGTTGTTGTTGTACTCCGCCACTGAGTCGTTGTACTCGGGCTCAACGGGGACGGCCTTGTACCTCCTCCAGCCGCGCTGAATCTTGATGATGGCGCGGCGCTGGAAGTGATACTCCTTCATGTCCAAGGACATGCGCGCGTAAGACTGCAGCACGATGGCCGCATTGATCTTGTTGCGCAGGCGGCGGCGCTCTAGGAAACCGAGCGCAATGCGCTGGATGGTTCGCGCCTCGTAGTACATGAAGTCGGACTTCATGGCCTCCAGCTCCTCCATGACACCGTTCTTGAAGTAAATGAGCGTCTTACCCATCTGGTACTCAAGCGGAGACTTGCGACCGATAGACGACATGAAGACGCTGCACGTGCGGCGAACGTCCTTGCTGTGCATCGAGGGCGGGAACATGATAGCGTAGCGCGTGGCTAGCTCCTTCGGAGTGAGACGACTCGGGTACCCAGAGCGCGTGATACGAATGGCTTCGATCACACCTGCCGATCGCAACTGCTCCACAATCATACGCTTGTTGAACTCCGTCGGGCTCTTGTTCGAGTTCGGCTTGATGCAGCGCACGTAGTGCGTGTTTGTGGTTCTGATGTTCTCCATCAACTGCGCCAGCGACGTCTTGAACTGAGAACCCAGGCTTTTCGGGGCCTTCTTACCGCGACCACTGCCACCCTCGGTCACCACTTCACTGTCCACGAACAGCTCCGGGAGCAGAGACAGACTGCTTAACTGGATCAAGTCAAGCAGGTCCTTCTGCAGAGTATCGCGGTGCTTCTCCATGAAGCCCACCGTCTCGTATGTGACCGATCCAGCGTAGTGGTTGATGATGAACTGCGTACGCTTCACCTTGGGGAAGTCGATGCTCTCGTTCACCTTGCCATCCTTCTTCGTCTGGTGGTTCGTGCGGATCTTGTTGACCAGAGCCTCTTCCGTGTCACGGGGCTGACGAAGGTGGTCATTCATCAGGGCGATGATACCCAGCTTACCCTCGATCACCTCCACGATACCTTGGTTGTCCTGGTACTGGATGTGGTCCCACTGCAGGCCTTCACGGATGTACTCGTCCTCCACAGTCTTAAACACATCCGTGGTGAATTTCTGCTGCAGCTTTTCGTTTGCGTAGTTGATGCAGAATTGCTCGAAGCCGTTGTGAACGAAGTCCTCAAAACCGAAGATATCCAGCACGCCAATCTGGCCCTTGATGCGACTTTCATCCGTGCTGATAGCAGCGTTGATCTTCACCACCATCCAGTCGAACATCTTCGAGTAGATGGTCTTGGCCAACGCATCGCGGTTCTCCGCCGCTTCAATAGGAGCGAGCGGCACCGTCACACTATCGTTGCGAGTGATAACTGTGCGGTTGCACAACGCTTCCTCGATTCTCGTCGTAGGAAGGCCAAACATCTTCGCCACTTGCGATAGAGCAGACCCGCTCGAAATGCGCGAGCCATTCTCCCCACTCTTGTCAAACATAACTTCACCAAGTAGCAACACACCAGACAAGATCTTGAACAGGGTCCTCTGCGCGCTTGAGTCGAGACCAATGATGGTAAGTGACTTTTGAGTGCCTTCAAACCACTTGCTGTCATCCAAGCCCGGAATCTGCATGTCCGCAAGCGCACCCGCGTATTGGTACTGGCACTCAGGGTCCAGACCGAATTCCTTGCGCTCCTTGCTGGGAAGACCAGCCAGGAGCTGGTAGAAAATGTGGTAGTTGCGCTCGCCCTCGGCAATCGACACCACACGCGACTTTTCCAGCAGGTACGTCTCGCATTTTGCACCGATCAGCTTTCCGCGGCCATCAAACTGAAGCTGCGTGAACTTACCGAAACGCGAACTGTTGTCATTGCGCGTCGTTTTGGCGTTACCGAAAGACTCGAGAAGCGGGTTTACATCGATAACCTTGGCAATCGTCTTATCCTTGCGGCCACCAGCCACACTAGCCAGGTGGTTCATCACGATCTTCGTCGTCTCCGTCTTACCGGCACCAGACTCACCACTAACCAAGATACTTTGGTTCATCTCGTTGGTAGTCATGTGCTTGTAGGCGGCCGTCGACGTGGAGTAAACGTGAGGCGACAGCGAGTCACGCGGCTTCCGCAGGTACTGCTCGTGCAGGTGGTCGCCGTAAAGGTTTTCAATCCACTTGTACGGGTTAACAGCAATGACGATATCATTAGTGTACGTGTAGGGCTTTGAGGCGGCGAAACGCTGCTTCAGATTGAACAGAATGGACGGCTCGTTCAAGTAACGAAGCAGTCGCATGTCCTCCACACCCTCCGGGTTGTCGTGAAGAATGGCAACAGGGAGAGAATCCACCTCGGTCGCAGTCGGACCTCCAATCGCGCGAATGACTTCAGGGTCCTTCAGGTTCAGCACACGCTGCTCCGAGTCGCCAGAATCCAGGAACACCGTGAGAGTCACTTCCTTTCTTCGCTCATTGAAATCCACAATCTCGGACAGCAACCACACTTCCTCCTTGTCGGGGATGTAGCACTGCACGCCCGGTACAATCAGGTTCTGCTTGTTTCCAGCGCCGGCAGCCTGTTGTCGAAGTTGCTCCTCCTTGATCTCTAATTGCTCGTTCATGAATGCCTTCCGCTTGGTCTCCAGACTGAAATTGTTGCGACGACGCTTGGGAGGCACCCAGTACGTTTGACGCTTGCGAATGTAGTTGCCGCGGCCCGTAGAGCGCTCGATCATGTGACGCGGCTTGAAAGGCTTCGGCGTCGAATACGCTGCCGGTGTCGGCGCACTGTAAGCAGGCATCGGAGCCGAACGACCACCGGCAGGAGCATTCTTGGACGGGTTAAATGAAGCGAACGTCGGTTTGGCTGGGGCAGCGGAGGGTGTCGTTGCAATCGATGGGATTGAGTTTGTAGACGCCAGGAACGCGGCCAACTTGCTCTGTGAGCGAGGCTTGGGCGCATCGGGCGACACAAATGGCTGCTGCTTCATGAAGCTGTTGAGCTTGTTAGCTGATCCCGTGTCAACGGACGGCTTCGGCGGTACAGGAGCCGGCTTGGGGCTGCTAGTTCCACTCTGGGCGAAGACGGCCTTGCGCTGCGCGAACTGCTCGCTGGTGCCGCGGGCTCGCGTAGGCGCAGACTTTGGCGGGGACGGCGCTGCCACGACCGGCTTATTACCCGAAGTGGGAGAGACCGATGCCTTGAAGGCAGAGAGGTTAGAACCCCCAGAGGCGCTGGCCGGAGCATGTGTTGTCTCGACAGCAGGCGGATTGGACTTCATGAAGGCCGCGAACTTGTTGCGCGCGTTGCCGCCGCTAGTCGGCTGCGACTTGGGCGGCTGTTTGGGCGACGGCGGCCTCCTCACGGTCGGCGCGGGCTTGGCCTTGGGCGGGGGCGGCTTGCGCACCGAGTTCTTCTTGGGCGGACCTGACGGACGCTCTACGTGCGTCAACGGAGACTGGTGCGACGCCGGCACCTGACTCAGGAAGGCGTTGAGGCGGTTGGCACTGGCGCCGCCGCTGTCGCTTCTCTGCGGGGGCGGCTGACGTGGCGACATGGGCGGCGATCCCGGGGGAGACACGAAGCTGCCGCCCACCTGCGGGGACACGGGCGGCGGCGTGGAAGGCGGTGTGCCCTCGGGGGACTTTTCCGCAGCCAGCTTCTTGCTGGACTGCTTCTTCTTGCGGGACAGGAAGCCGCCCTTCATGAAGTTGGAGAGCTTGTTGTTGCTGTTGGTCTTCTTGACGGGGGACGCGCCCTGCGAGCTGCCCGTGGACGTGAGCGACTCGGCGTCAGACACGGGGTCCTCCTCGTACTCGCCCGTGTAGCCGATGGTGCCGAACCTGTCGAAGAGAATCGAGAGCGTCTCGAGCACGGCGCCGAAGTCCGCGCCCGCGTCGAGCAGGTCGTCCGGCTGGAAGATCTCGCCCTCGTTCAGGCCCTGCTTCTTGCACCACTCGAGGAAGAGGCGGATGTTGGCCTTGGAGTGGAAGACCGTGTTGAGCTTGTTGACCTTGAGACTCGCCGCCGGGTCCACGCCGTTGGCCAGCAGACACAGCAACTGGCCGTCGCGCAGCATGACCGAGAGGTGCTCGCCATGGTCGTTGGCCGTGGCCGTGACGCTGCAGATCCACTCCTGCAACTCCTCCGTGCGGCGCACCGTCATGCTTGCTGGAAGAGGGAGGACCAACCCGTCCGGTTAGGTGGCTTTCAACCCAGGAGATGCGTCTGTCAGTCAGTCAGTCAGTCAGTCAGTCGGTCGATCGTCGCTGGCTGGACCGCAGGTGGTGGTGCTAAACGCTGCTGGATAAGACGAAGAGGAGGAGGGATGACTAGCCTCGACAAATGATCTCACTTCCTTGTCCTGCGTAGTGGACACGCTGGATCGATCGCGAGTGAGCTGAGCTGTAGGGCGGCTTCTCGGCAATGCCACACACACGGCCGGGGCCCCCTCCTTCACGCGACGAAACAAACGGGAGATTTTCCGCACTGCTTCTCCGCGCACACGACCGGACGCTGCCAATGCCCTGCAGGACTTGCCCGCTCGAACGCTAACGCTGGACCGTTGAAAAACTGACTCCCTAACCGATGGTCAAGTTGCCCTTACCCCTGCTCTTACAAAAAGCAAGAGCGGCGCCCAGCTGGTGGAAAAGACGACCTGAGACCGACGACGCCGCAACAACACGAATGAATCGCGCCGCGCGTGACATGGCATGGCGGCGGACCGGTGACCAAGGCGGCAAACGCGGCGGCAACGAGGCAGCGGGGCGAACTAACACGCCGAGTTGCTAGGTACCTACAGTGTACAACCTCGCAGCGACCTGGAGCCAGATGCAGGGAAGCGCAGGCTTCGACTGGGTGCCCCCAAGACAGCAGCCGTTGCATGGGATGTGCTGGAGCCCCAGCGTGAAGCCGAAGCTCACATCTGTAACTTGGCACCACGCCATGGCTGGTCGGCCCAGCCATTCCTCTTCAATTTCCAATCGCTGCGAAAACCGCAGCTCGCTGGGTATCCGTTACCGAGCGGGGCGTTGCTGCCGCTGCTGTGAGGACACTCGCAGTGTTGCCGCCGCCATCGCCGCCAGCTGCGTTGACGCCTTCGCCAGCGGCGGAAACCTCTGCTCTGTAAACAGTAACTTGACTCAACTCGGGACTTAACCAACACTCAACAGCAACAGCCGCAGCTAGCCACTCTGAGCCAACTCACGGCCAGTTTGCGGCTGCTGTACCGACGGCTCCTGAGCCTAGAAAATATCCGCTGGCGATCGACACCTCCAGCCAGAAATCGGCTAGCTTCTTGACTCACGTGAACGTGGCGCCGGCGAAATGCGCCGCAGAGAGAGGGTTGCGCTCCTCCACTCGTCTGACACCGAGACCTCCAGGCCGCACCAAGCACAGTAGTGAACGTGAGAAACTAGCCCCAGGCGGACCATTCGTCGACGCCCTTGCCTAAGATTCACTTCGCCTTCAAGAACCCCGCAATAGTGTAGCCATTTCCAAGCAGACTTGGCTACATTTGTCTGAAGCACATTTCCAGCCAATCGCGGCATTCTTGAAGTTAGAAGATCTCCAGTCGTCGCTTGGTTCTCATCGCTCATCGAAATTCACCACCAAAAAGGAGCCAGGCACCATGCGCTCGCTCTCGCTGTTGCTCTGCCTCGCGGCGTGGCTTTCCGTCGTCCGCGGCAGCATCTACGCGGGCTACACTGTGGGGAGGCAGTTCCAGTACATCGGCAAGTTCTGCTTCTCCTGGACGCCCACGCTGGACGACGTCGCTGGGGTGCGTAAACAGCAACACACACTCCTCTCAGTTAGCACTACCTTAACCGCAAAACATGCTATTTCTTATTGCCAGCGTATCGCAGGCGAGATCGAGACGGACGTGAACGGCCTGCAAGTTGCCATCTACGACGATGAAGCGCTTTTCTGGGATTTCATCATGACCGAGAGCTCGTGCGACTGCTACTGCAAAGTATCCTCTAAACACACCAAGAGCGTGTTCAATGTCACCGCCACTACGAGTCACCACGTGACCCCCTTCTCCTTCAGTGTGGACATCCACGAGCACCTCCGACCGAGATTCTGGTACGTGGCGTTGGCACGCTGCGTGCCAGGCGGGGACGAGTACAAGCCTTCTTTCGCCGAGATAACCGAGACCAATTTCCGCAAATACTACTTCTCGTCGTGGTACAACATCCACATGACGCAAGGAGATGGAGGCGAGCTCCCCGTGCAGCAGCAAGGGATGCCGACGATCTACGCTGTCATGACGGCGGTTGCGGGGGCTGCAGCTGCGGCGCAAATTGTGGCAGTGCGCGGGATGAGAAGCAGCGAATCGTTCCACCCCATTATGAGGATCCTCACACTCGTGGTGTTCTTCTTCTTCCTGTGCAACGCGCTGCTTTTCGTCCACTTTACCGTGTATCAGTTCAACGGAGTGGGCGTGCCGTTCTGCAAATATGCGGCAAAGATCACAGAAGTGTTCGTTCGGGTAGGGACGTTGTTACTCTCCATGTTGATCGCCAAAGGATGGACCATCAACAGTGTGGCGCTAGACGGTCAGATCAAGCTGTCGTGCGTCATTTTGGCAGTGCTCGTGCTGTATCTGTCCATGGCCATGTGGTACCTGGTATGGCTCGACCCGGCATCCACGCTCTACATTTACGACTCGTGGCCGGGGCTTGGGATCTGCATGCTGCAAATGGGAGTACTCGGGTGGTTCATCAACACCATTTTGGAAACGCGCTCTTACGAGAAGGCTTCAGCTAAGCGGTACTTCTTCTTGCGGGTAAGTTCCTTCATTGATATGGTTGGTTGTTTTGGTGACTCAATACTCTTTTTCCAGATGTGCTGCTTGTTCTCAGTATTCTTCTTAGCTCTGCCTATCATTGTGCTCATCGCGTCATTCTTGTCACCGTGGGTGCGCGAGAAGACAGTGGCCGCCATGACGACGTCGGTGCACTGCTTCATTTATCTGACCCTCATCTACACGCTCTGGCCGAGCCGGGCGCCTCGCTACTTCGAGGTATGGGATCATCACGATAAAATGTTTTTGTTCATTGTCGCGGCTCGACCAGCTAACAAGCTTCTTGCGAAATGGCTTGTATCCAACGTGCAGCGCCTCTACTCCGTATCTTCTCCTTCTGAGAAAGCATCCTTGTGCGACCAAGGTCTTCCCACTGAAGAGCTGTAGCTAGCTTGTTACAGCTTTGTGCACGATTCGTAGTAACTCTTCGCGTATGATTCAATTTAGCTCATAAACTTATCGTCCTACAGTTCTATAGCAGCGCTACCATACCGACATCACTACATGATCGTCCTGTTCAAATGCAACCTTGTCTTCCAGTACAGCGTGAGCGTTTGCGTCTCTACATGCGCTAGTTGTGACAGCGCACGAAGCACTTCGTCGGTACAAATAGCCGACGCAGGGTCATCGATTCTTGTCGCTATCTTCACCTTAAGATTCTGTCCAGCCAGTGCAAGTACAACGTTAAAACAGACACACCCGGGGAATTTCAGATAGACATCGAGCTACCAACCTCCAGGATGCTTTCAAGCGATGCTATAGGCTCCAGCAGCTCGCTCATATCCAGAGCTAGTTCTTCAGAACAGTCGGCAACGTTATTTCCCCGAGCGACGCCATCGCTCCAGTTGTTGATAGCCTCAAGCACAAGAGCTCGCATCTGCATGACACCATGTAGCAGAGACCGTTAGATTTAAGCATGGCTAGCTACTAGCCAGGGATACATACTGCTGAGAGGTCGGCCAAGTCGGAACATTGGATAGTGAGGTCAACTGATCGTTGTTCGTCCTCCGATGGGGTGAAACGCAATAGTATGAGGCTTCCCGACAACGCTCGCAACACTGTCCACAACTTGCCATGTTGAGTTCGGCAGCTACGACGCAGCCGGGGGACCTCCTCAATGGGTATCTCCAAAAGTTGCCGCAAAAATGATATCATTCTCTCAACGCGAACCTTTTCAAAGTCTTCATCTTCATCATCGTCGTCATCCTCATCATCTTCACTGACAAAGAATGAAGGGATAGATATCACAAATCGCGAAGGGGGCGATAGTGATAAGGTTGGGGGCGCCACTTTCGACCACATTGCGGCGAACGACGGATTGTTGTGAGCGTGATCAGCAAGTACAGCCCACCATTGCACGCCACTCCAAAGTGCAGAGGACGAGGCCTTTACTTCTTTGTCTCTGTGGCCTGCTCTACCAAGTGGTAGTAGTACCGGGTCATGACTTTGGCGAAAAGCAGCTTGAATGGCGACTTGGCTGACCGGGATTTCTTCTTCAACAGGCTGGCTTAGCTGTGCGATCATGAACCTTCGGTCATGAATGAGCGGGATGGCAAATGAGATCAGGCCCTCTTGTTCGGTGGAGTCAATATTGTTCGCTCCGCTGTTCTTGGTCTCCACATGTTCGGACGGACAAAATACCAGCGAGCACGATACCCACAGAGCCCCTCGGTCTTGTAGAGCAAACATGTCAGGGTTGAGGATAATACTTTTTCTTCCAGCGAGTATATCTTCAACCGGAAACGAGTATGAAGTTACTGAACATTTGCGCGTGCGCACGTACAGACACAGACACCTGTACAGTTACACGAAGAACGATATAGAGCAGTGTCAAAATACGAAATGAACGCTCCTACACGCAACGAATTAACGACTGATCACAGCATCACCCACCATTGATCTGACGAGACGAAAGCTTCCGGGTTCACAAACCGCAATGAGAACATCAGTTTCACTGTTTGTCGAGTCGAGAAGTTTCCTGTTGTAACAATGGCAGCATCCAACTCGCACTTCACGACTGCCTCCACGCCTGCTAATAGCAAACGAGCAATTAGTGTATCTATGGTGAAATAACACGCACCAGTGATGAAACATAGCTCGTACTAACCTGTCGTTCTCGCGAGCCGTAGCATTTCCAAGGCCGAGTGTTGGGCCTTCAAGTGGTGATCCGTTTCCTTCGATTGCGCACGCAAGGTACTTGATTCTGTGGACACCTGCGCAATGCGATGCAATATATTGCGAACTCGAGACTCGCTCGCCAGCTCGGCTCTAGATGCTGGTCCTTGAATTCCTGACGTCTCTGGAAGTACAGCTGATACCATCGCTCGTAGCTCTACTTCGTCAACACTAATGATCCTTCCCGATGAAAAGAGAACTGATATGCCCTGCCCATTGTCATGAGTCTCCAATCGCAACACCCCCTGAGCAGATTCACACGTGTTAGTTTGATCATGTCGGATACGGTAAATTGTGATTCGCGTACCGGTGGAAGTGACAACTTTTCGGCGAACGCACGGAGGTTATCGTTTAGCTCTACGGTCGCCTTTTGAACTGCACGGTGCTTATCTAGTAGTAGATCAGCAGTTCGACACACGAATGCAGACCCACTTGAGCAATACACACACACTTCTAGATTGTTCACAAACACCAGCGATTGCACAGGATGCCCAATGTCTACCTGCGTCAGTGGTACAGGAAGATTTTCAATGCCCCGGCCGTTTCTAAGGTCGACAATTCCAACTTGTCCACGAGTACCGAGCACGAGCAGCGCATTGGACGCTGACAAGACATTGCTGTTGCTGTCCCCCGTCAGTGATGCACGTAGAGCAGACGCCGTGAAGGCCGCAATCATCTGCACAGGTTGATCCAGCCGAACGAGAGCTCCACTGCGAATTACAGACGCCTTGGCGACATCTCCTTTCCCACTACGGTACCGAATCAACGAAAACCGCACCCAACCATCCAGATCTCCCTGCAAAATAGCCGCTGCACCTGCATATTTCGCGACGTCTGGAAACAAGCTCGCTATCAAGGCACCATGCCTCGAGTCCTGGCTATTCAAGCAAAGTGTGCACGTGGATTGCTCGCCTTCAATCTCATCCAATTCTAGCGACTGGTGACGCTGCAACTTTGACCCCGGGCTGCCACGCGTGCTCACGATCAACGTGGACGGTGTCACTAGACTCCGTATCAGCGTAAGTGACGTCAGGCCCGAGCCCGCCGATGCATGCTCGATCGACTGCACCCCCGGGAGCTGGCAGAACCACTGCACCATTCCCCCACCACACTCACTACTGGACCGTTCCAGCAGCAGGTCACCAGTCAGTACGCTTACACCAGGCTGTAACTTGGCCGGTAACGTCACCTCCCACACGTTCCCATCTGCGGCGGAGACCAGAATCTTGTGACGCTCTTCATCACCACTATTGCTGCTGCTGCTACAGTCGATGCCGTAGTCTGCGACGTCGGTGATCGGCACTTTGGACCTGATCACACACTGTAGGGATACGATGGTTGAATTGGTTAGATATTGACAATGTGGATGCATCCAATTGCTCCCACTCACCCGCAGATATCCGTCCGCCACGAAATGCAAAAGCGTCGAGCGGATTTTCACGACGCACAGACTTGGAGGTGCCTCGTTGACTACGCTCGTGCTAGTCTGGAGAGTCACTAGCAGCGGCGATCGATCGGCCACGCGAGCCAACTGCGTCGCTGGACGCCGCGAGCAGGTTGCCATACTCACTGTGAATCTTCCTGTACAAGAACATTCGAAATTTTAATTTGATTTCTTAGTATCAAATTCTCAATAGCCTTTTCGTGAAATATTTCAGGGGACATCGAAAATATACTTTTTAACACGGATCATCCATTGCGATCAGGCGAAAAACCGAAGGGTTTTGGAGGTCACTCGAAAGTTTGAGCTTACCTCAAATGTATTCGTAATTACACGATTTTTTGAGAACGTTAAAGACAGAAAAGTATGAACATAATGAGGACTTTCTAGTCCCTGGGGCTTGTGTAGTTGCTAAGTTATGGCTCTCGGAAATTGGGAAGTGCCTCTCTACAACTTGACGCTGGGCACTTCGATTAAATTCTTTCTGTTGAAGTACCAACTCGCTAGTACTGTGCTTTTTACGAGATGTTTTTACCTCGTGTAATTACGCCCCAGTAACGTAGAATATCGACTGGTTAGGATAGGTTGTAGGTAGCGGAACTGGTAGAATAGAGCTCACTTTCCTTTTGGTAAAGCCACTGAAGAGACCTCGGCAGGGGCCGAAACGCGTCTGGCACGCGATCAACAAGGACTGTCATTTCATCTACGTTTCCTTGTTTCAAGACTTTCGAACATCTCGCCAAATTGTACGGTTGCATATCTCGACTATTTATCCGACGATTGACTAGGTTACACCAGGGGTACAAACAAAAGGAGATACATCAAGGATAGTTCGTTGTACAAGAATGAAGTACGTGTAGGCTCATGGAAGCAGGTAGTTATAATGATTAGATTCAATGCAGAGGTTATGTTTTGAGTATGAAATGCTGCCAAAGTTGCGTGAGCTACACTATGGTTACATTAAGGTTACATTCTGATTTTCCGCATACGATGTGTCAGCAACTCGATAAAATGCTGACGTCGTCAGCCTGACGATGTGACAATATCTCGACAAAGTCTGATTGCCCTCACTCGGATGCCTTAGTTTAGCACGTTGCCATGTGACTTATAACTAGTTTTGAACGCGTATCAAGTTTATTATTGTGATTAAGAAGTGTTGTACGTCCTCTTCTGAGTCGCTTTACGTGCTGATCACGTGTTTTCAGTTCGATAATACGTAGACAAGTGCCTCGACGTTTTAGCTGGGCACGAAGAACTCAAAATGACAGAAACGAATCCCAAGCTCGAATGAGGAGTAGCAGAGCATTTCACTTTAAATAAAGGTTGATAAGATTGCATATGAGCCTCTTTTTAAAGCCAAAGAAGTTGTGCATCGATACTCGACTCAGAGGCGACCTCCGAAATTGTAACGGGGTTACATTGGAATAGTGACCCAAGTGACCTCAGAGCCAACAGATACATTTTGTATGACACAAACTATAGGGAACTTAGGATTTGTACGCAGGCCAAATCTGTACCATCCTATAACCCACCGGCGACCGTTATCCCGATTTTGCTGGGATAAGAAAACCTCGGTGGAAAGTGCCGGCTCAAGCCATACAGGTGGTTAGGGTAACTGCGACTCTTCAAGGTCCCGACGACAGCGTTTTGGCCAATGCGATCTGTTTGCGGATTTCTCACCTTGGGAAAGGTAGATGGGCATGGGTGACGGGCTTCCGCGCCACCATTGGCCACCGCACAAGCATTTATACCCGCAGATTGCCAGGTGCCCGTGAAGGATTAGCGCTTCTCTACTATGGTAAAATTCCGAGTTGATAGGATGCACCGCTCACTAATGTTAACTTTCTTTTACCTTGTATCATTGCCTTCTATAGATGCCTTCGCTCGCTCGAGGTACGCTGGTCGAGGAGCTACGAGTACGGCTCTACCAGTGCCACTGCGAAGACCGAGTTGTTCCAATCGAGGCCTGGACACTTCTGTTCGTGGAGGAGCCCGACCGCTACTTCGGCAATGTACGTGAGGCGTCAGGGCTACTGGAGCTTTAGCAGAAGGGAGGCTGACGCTGAGAGATGTTGTAGGCTCGATAGGCGTGCGAGCTGGACACCATCTTCAACCCCCACAAGGTAAGGCGGCGGCTTGGCAGCTTTGGCGTTCATATCTAGGGGCTCATGCTGGTGATGTAGGAGTATTACATTCAGGACGAGCTGTTCACCGGCTACTCCCGGCAGGAGTTGAGCCAAGAGACGATCTTGCGCATCTGCGCCCACCTAAGCTACGTGCCCCCACCGCTGGTGAAACCATGTGGGTGCTGACACTTCACCCTAACGCGAGTCGACTCCACAGCGAATGTCCAAGCGCGATGCCGAAGGCACGACGGTTGAAACAAGCGGCAGGGAGGACGCCAAGAGCACGACAGGGACAGCGGGGTGTGGCAAGACTCCAAGAACGACAGATACAACGGCGGCTTGAAGCATGGAGTCTTCAAGGTCGGCTGGGGTCTGGTTACGGAGCCCACGACGCCGTACGTCGACTCGAGTAAGCTCGTCCGCTACGAACACTTCATCTTGTATTGGGTTCTCTAGACCTCGTATGATAGCTCATGGGGCGACAGCGGCTTCATTACGCTGTCAAACTCAACTACAGGTCGAAGTTGATTAGAGTTGTGATTGATTTTCATGCAATTAATACATAGTTGTTGGTTTGACCCTCGGCGGCAATGGTAGCGTAGTGATCGTAGTTACTGCATCGACCATCTTGGTTCAGCTGCGTACAGGTGAAAATCCCGAAGGGAGCTGCTGTAAGTCATCGGAACCTGAATTGTTTTCAGTAACTTCCACCGCTTGCAAAACGAATTTCGGCACGTATTACGATGCCACGGACACACTCGTGTTGTCAGCGCCAACAGACGTAGATGAGGTAGCTTCATGCACAAAGCACGCATTGCCAAAACCACATCTTCTTCGAACACAGTGTCGTGGCAACATAAAAGGGTGACGGAGCTGATAAGGGAGCTGGGTTGAGCCAACTTCGAGTCTGGATCAGCACTGATAACAGTATCGCTGCCTTCAGCAATATTGCGGATGTTTGCGGTGACGACGCTGATCTTGAGCAAGTGTGGAAAGCGCGATGCCCTAGACGCAATCAGCTCCATACCTCTAGCGGCCAGGTCACGTTGGATCTCAATACCAACCACACGAAATGCTTGCGTTTGCAGAGCGATTTGAGCGAGAACATTTCCCACGCCGGAACCAGCATCCAGAAACACGTCATTCACTTGAATATTCGCTTCTTCGATCAGCATGGACACCCCAGCCGTTGTAATCTCCCCGGTATTTAGCTGACGTTCACTCGCGCGCACATCACGCCTGGTGAGTAGGCAGAATTCGCAGTTCGAAGAACTGTCGATTGGGGAAGGTTTTTGGATGACATCGAACGATATTCACGCTACATTCGTCACTTCACCCCCGTGCGGATGACATCAAACAACATTCACACAACATCATACAGCACTCAATAGAATCCTCTGAATTACACTTACAGCTTTTGATAGATGCCTATTTGCCTCGGAGCTTCTTTTCCTTCTAGATTGATGCCAGGCGCCACCAGAGGAGTGGAGCTCCAGCACAAACATTTTATTGTTCGAAAGAATGCAATTCTTGCTATTGCACAGATAACGTTATGTACATGTACGTTGTTCGTCGTTGTAATGGCGTCTGTGAAAATTACAAACCTCGATGCTGACCTTGAGCACAACTGGTGTCATTACCACATCACTGCATCGTATTAAACTGCATGCGGCTCCAGAGCACTCAACATAGTACTCACTCATTTCATTAGTGTTAAAGCTATCGATTCAATCTGTTCAGTCCTGGGTCATAACTGATACCCTCCTCTTTCAGACACAGATTTTCTTCTGCATCCATAGAGATTTATTGAAAATCTTTTTGTCACTTGAGTTTGCCGTGACTTAAATTGTCGGCAGGCTGATATTGTGTGAATCCCCACACTCATTGGAATGTGTCTGGATGGATTAGATAAAACATTCCACTAAAACTTCGCATAAACTACTTAACGTTTTTAAGGTTATGCGATCCAAGATGGGAAGTATAGCTTGATTTTTTTTCATTCAACATATTTTTATCCAAAGCCAAATCTATCCGCCGGCAATGCGGTGACGTCCTATACGGTGGCGAACGAATTCATTCAGCGGAAACTCAAAAGAGCTGCACCTGGTGTTATGTATTCTCCGGAGAAAAGGCTAAAAGCTACAGCAAAAAGAATGACGACCGTGTATGAAATCGGGAGAAGTATAGTTCAAATCAACCGAGATATGAATGGCTCGTGTGGGGCTATTAAAAATCTACACTCGCTTAGGCATTTTATCTACGACGACTTTGGATGATTAAGCTTGCCTTAACTACATTGCGACCCGCAGAGATCCACCGAGCCCATTTACTACTGTAGAATAATCTTCTACTTTATACTGTTCTTGTTAAAACAACTTCAAAGTACATTGTTACCAATATTAGTTCAGATCATCCTAATGCTACATGAATGCGGCACGTTCAGTTTAATACTAGATAAATGGCAATAACACACTTGGACGAATCGAAGCTGGGAGTTTTTGTTGTTGTTAGATATTCAGGCGATCCGGACAAAGTCTGTGTGCGGCTGCACCATGTTTTATCAAACAGAGTTTGAATGCTCCTACGTTTTCTGTACGCCCCGGATTCCTGTGAGAGAGGAAGCCCGGGCGGACATCGTCAACGCGAAGGACAAACACCCGGTGTATCCAACTCCTACACGCGATCGAGATCTGCTAGACCTCAGTCTTAACTTATCAAACTTGAAGCAAATTGCTGGCTTCATCGGGTTAACTTGCAAGTTCTGTTGGGCAGTTAGCCTGGAAGCGCAAAATGTTCGAATGCGCGTATTTTGTTTCTGTTTTTTCGCCGCCTGTAAGTTTCCGAGCACACCATGCAATCTAAGAAATATAGAATTCTGCCTGGGCATCAGCGCACGTTTCAAAGGCAGGAAAGAATAAAATTACGTTGATTAGCTAGTTGTTGATAACCGTTCTACTAACTACAAAATAACTAAAGTTAAAACTAAATCCGTGGAGTCCTAATCCAACGAGCAGGAGAAGGTAGAATCACCACGGTGGGTTTGCCAAACCCAAGAGTTGAAGTACCAATTCGTTGGAGAGAACTGGCAATGCCTTTGAAAAGAAGCAATCAAACTTGGTACACTTGGTTGTACAGTGGTAGATGCAGATGCTGCGGCTGCGAAGGCCAAGACGGCTATGGAACTTCTACAATGCGGTAAGTAGTTGGACGCGTTAATCGCGCACCCCATTTTTGTATGCTCACCGGTTGTACCACTACAACGGTACGTATTTTCTATTGCAGCTTCGTTCCCAAAACGCTGGTGCTATCATACCTGCACAACGAAGGCGGTCAGATCAGCAGCGTCCCAGAGAGACCGACAACCGATGGATGCGTGAACCGGAACCCCGTGGGCTGCACTTGTCGGATCTCAGCTTGCGTCGGGGCTGGACGCTTGGACTCAGGACTGCCTGGCAGCGGTATCTGGGCTGGATGCTCAGGTAGATACGGCCTCTGCCCAGCTTTGGCCGGTGCAGGACCAGCCTGAGTAAGCTGAGGTGTGACCGAGATCATCATTCCCGGGAATGAGCAGCGGGACATCGTCGTAGCTGAACCTCGCATCACCGTCGCCGTCGACATGGACATGTGCGTCCCAGTCCCAACCATGTAGTCAGTCATAGAAATCAGAGAGGAACCAGAGGAACTTAATCCAGACAGGTTTCCCCCTTCATCTGTGACCATCAAAGAGATGCCAAAAGCAGAGCTTACACCAACCATGCTGGATACTCAATTATTGCGGAACCCGAGCGCAGCATCAGCAGGAGCTTCGCGAGACTCGTGGTAGCTCGGGATTGAGCCTCCAACAGAAGACCTCGCCAGCAGTGCACGCTTTCGAGACGACTCGCCTTCGACACTTGAGACCGGACTCCGAGTCTGAGACCAGTGAGCTGAAGGCGCATCACGACCTCGGGCCCCAGGAACAGCCGAGTGTCCTCTTCTATGATCGCGTCTCCATCCTTGTCCAGAGGGAATCCAACTTAAGTCTCAGCAGCTTGAGCAGCCATCAGCTGAGGGTCTGAGGTCGGCCTCACGTAATATGGGTTGACCCGACCGCAGCCTTCCAGGCACTAAGCTCCGCTCCGACGAATCGGGCAATGCGCTCAATCTCAAACCGGATCTGCGAGTCCGGGACTCCAGCAACTTCAGACAGCGTGTGCCACACTGGGACGTGGTTCAGGAACTCATAGCCAGCTTCATGCAGCATCGTCTGCAACAGGGCGACGCATGCAATGGGCGACATCAGTCTCAGCGCGACGTGCTTTGCCTTCAGGTCGGAGACATCAGGGATGCGTCGACGTTCAGCATGGAACACGTTCAGCCATCTCGCGGCGGGCGACCGAGTCACAGGCATCAGGTGTCTGGCCGTAGCTCCCACCGCTCGGATGAACCCCCAGAGATTGTAGCCTCCATGACATGGCGAGTAGGCCATGTCCACCGGGTGCACGGCTCCAGCGGGCACAGACACCCGCATCTCGAACTGGGTCCGGCCGTGCGCGAGTATCTCGACTCCCGACAGATCAGACAGCTGGGCCAAGGCTCGGCTGTCAGCCTCGACTCCTTCGGGAACACCTCTCTGCCTTCGGTAGGGGCGTTGGTCCGGCCAGAGTGAACTTGATCAGGCTCCACCACCACTTGACGCTCCGAAAAATCCAGCTCCCGGAGTAAAGCTAAACTGGACCGGGCCCGTCCCAGTCCCAGCAGCACCTTGAGCTCGCAGCTGCGTCTCTTGACTTCCCAGCACGCTCAGTGCACCACCCTCGGCTTGGCCACTGCGGAGATCCGCAGCAGTTGGCTCCGGGCTAGCCCCTTGCGGCTGAGAAGCCGCTGTCGCAGCCTTAGAAGTCCTGCGCGGCGTCAACGCTCGAATCACAGCAGGCTCTCCCAGGCTTGGTCTCTCACCAACACGAACACTCGACTGAGCACTCGCTCCACCACCTTGCTCATCCTCAGACTTCTTCGTCTTGGGCGAACTTGGCGGCGGCACAGCGGTTCCCGGCGTTGGTCGCACCTCTGGCTCAGCGCTTAGCACAGCTTCGCCTGACGTCAGCACTGGGTGTCCGGGCTCCCGTAGTCGATCTTCTCGGCCTGGGCGTCCCAGACTCCGTCGGCACCACCTCGGCTGGGACTCCAGCCACTCTCAAACTTCGCCGAAGCGAAGACTCGCTCTTCTCACCTCCAGCCTTGGTTTCCTTCGAATCAGCAGCGGTCGACATGACTGTAGCTTGTCCGTCCAAAGTTGTATCCCTGATCCGGGCGCGTGCACCACGTGTGACGAAGCGCCCGTGCTTTTTGAAGGCTCAGGTTGCTAGACCGCTCGACCTTGGTCTTCGCTCAGCTCTTGCACCACTCGGCTCAGCCCCGCTTAGCGCTGCAAGAGTTCCGCTCAGCTCCTTCCACTGAGCGAACACTCCCACTCCACTTCGCTAGGCTTGGCCGCTAGAACTCTTGGCTCAGCGTCGACTTGGGTCGGGCGAGGCGTGTGTTCCTCATTCTTCGATCTCTTGGCGGTTCTTTTGATCATGGCTACGCTGTAGACCCAGACTCGCGTCGGCCACACCAGCTGCTGCCGATGTTGAAGGTCTCCAGAGGTGTTCCCAGGCGAAACTTGCTCCCCACTTGGCAAGTCCCAGTCCGCACGTGTCCACAGCCCGAAATGCCCCGGGTTTTCCTTAATGAACACGACACAACACACAATACAGCCTCCACTTCCTCTCTTTGGTTCCGGCTCAGAACCACAACACCCCTTCTTTCCCGGTCGGCCTGGGTCTGGGCCGAGTTCGCCTTTATTTCTCTGAGCCTGGGCGAGGCTCGTACCAGCTTCTCCTTTCTTCTCTTCGAGTCAAGCAGCGACCCGGTCTGGAGTTAGTGACTCGGTTTGAGCCTAGTCCGAATCCAAGGCACTCACATACACCCTGGGACTACCCGCGCACCAGGTCCACAATGAACCGATACTAATAATCACACAATGCACCGGGGCACGCCAATGTCCCCAAGCACACAATACAATTACCCTGCCTAAACCTCAGAATGGATCACCTTCCACCCGAAAATATGAAATACACCCTAAGCTGTAACAGTAATATGAAATAACCGTACTGCTGTCGCACCGTCGCGCTCTGGCAATGTTGATATGTTAGCTTGAATTTGTGTGGGTGATCGCCAAGACACCTTCTGGTCAAAGGCCTCCGCCACTTGCGTCCTTCGGGGCAAAACAAACTCTGTTTAAATGTTTACACATGCACAAACTAGGACTCACTAAGTGGGGGCGCAATATCCTCCTGGGTACACACTGACTGGCTGCGCGAAGAGCGTCGGCTGTATGCTTACCGGGCGCCCTTGAAAATCCACCCGAAATCTCTGGTATTGGCCAATGCGGCGGCTCCACATCGGCGGGCGTCGTCTTGGAGCCGCTGGAGGCCGTTGAGATCCGCTTGAGTGTCCGCGATCTTAAGCGGTCGCACCCAATGTAGGCTGGCTCATGGCTGACACACCGTATGAGTGTACTCGTCGGTACCACCCACTTCGCCGTCAGTACCACTGTCTGGACTTAAGTTCAGCGACTCTTCACCCGGCACTTCAACTGGACTCTGACAACTCTGCTCAGGCCCATGCCACTCCGCTCAGATCTGCAACACTCCGCTTGGCTTCTCGACTTGAGCGGGGACTCCGGTCATCACATTCGAGGCTCAGCTCGGACTCCACCTCACCCCACTCAGACCTCCGATCCTCGCCCAGCTTGTCGACTTGGGTGAAGACTTTATGACCACAGTAGAAGCTAGACTCGGGCTCGGCATGGCCCCGCTCGGACGCCTGCTCCTCGACTCAGCTCGGCATCTTGGGCGACGGCTCCATAGCCACTGGGGAGGTTGAGCTCAAACTCCACCCGGCTCCGCTCAGCTTCTCGACTTGAGCGGGGACTCCGGTCATCGCACTCGAGGCTCAGCTCAGACTTCGCGTAGCTTCTCTCAGGTTCCGGGCTCAGCTCATACTTGGGATACCAACGCCAGACATCTCGGGTCCCAGACAAACTTCGCCCAAGCCCAGGGTCTGAGCGGAGCTCCGCCCAGACCTCGGGCTCAGCTTCCTTCGTCGCACGGCTCGTGTCCCACAATTGGTGGTCCAGATCCATCACGGTCATGACGCACTTGAAGTCTGCTTGATAGACACGGGTCAGCATCCTGGATTGATACGGGTCAGCTGGACATGGGTTCGGTGGCGAAATCCACTGAGCCTTTTCACACCTCTCGTTTGGCTCTGCTCTTGGGCTTGAGCTCAGGCGGGATGATCGCTTCGAACGGCTTGTCCGAGCGGCGGGTGGTCCACTGTGCGCGAACTGGTTCTTGGTCGTCCAGGTTGAAAAGCTGGTCAGCCAGCGAGATCTTGAGATCTGGGTCTTGGAGAATCCAGTGACACGGATCCTTGGGCACAGCCCAGAGTCCGAGCTCGAACCCGAGTAACCATTGACGCCCTTGAGCTGGTCGATCAATTCCCTACGACGAAGCTCGAACTCTTGGGCGCCGTCCTTGCGGTCTCGGTAGACGGTAGTCAGCTCTGGCAGGCCCAGCTCCTTCGCGAGCTGAACGTAGTCGATCTTGGACGGAAACGGTTACCAGTGGAGTCGCTCCCAATACGCTCGACGCCAAGCACTCATAAACCCAGCAATTACGACGACCGCTTCTCACATCTCAGGAGTGAGTTCTGCATACGTGTGGATGACAAGGAAGTCAACTCGGCCATCCCACATGTCATCCCAGGCGTCTGATCTGAGCAGCTCCAGATAATACGCGTACTCGATGCGCACGTGGAGCTGCTCGATCCCAGTCTTGGACGGCATGTAAGCTGGGAAACCGATCGTAGCTTCTGGACTCGGATGCCGTTGTGAAACCAGCTTCCTTTCTTAGGAGCTTCGATGATGCCATTGTCGACACCTTCCTCAGGAGTCTCAGCTTCGTCTGGCTCAGGGTCAGCTGAGGTCACGGAGGTCCCTGTGGCTGAGCGCTGGCGTTTGGTCACTGAGCTGCCCCCAGAAGACGTCGAACTCAGCTGTCGCTTCTTTCCTGCTGGAGAACTCTGAGATCTGGTGCTGATGGAGCTGGGAGCCTTGGCCTTCGACCCGTGGTAACTCTGGTCGCCGTCGTCGTCATCAGTGCCCTCTGAGGACAGTACATACATGAACGAGGAATCCGAGTCATCGTCGCTTGCGCTTGGTTTCTTGGGCAGCGTTCGCCAGGGTACTGCGAAGTCCAGAAGGACCAGATGCTCCACGATCAGTTCGGCAAGAAGAACTTGATCTACATGTTGACTTCAGCGATGTACTCGGAGGCTCTGGATGGTACTCCGTGTATGCAGTACGTCCCAGACAAGTACTTCGACGCAGCTGCAACCTGACTCCAGGCCCCCGGCCTGACAATCATCCACTGCATCTTAGAACGCCACGCCAACCAGCATGAGTTCTTGGACGTCTGGGCGAGTGCCATCCCAGCTGAACTGGTTGGGCACAGCCTTTGCTGCGTCCAGGTCCGAACGAGCGCTGGGAGATTCCTTCTTGGCGTTCTTGCGCTCAGGCTTGAACTTGGTCGGGCGGCGTGGCACCGCAATTTGCTGTGTGAACGGTTTGATCATCGGTGTCTTGACCTTCGGTGTGCTGGAGGCCGAGCGGGCCAAGTCCACAGTCTCCAGCGCGGCTGACGAGCTGGGCGCACTTGTCTGGATCTTCAGCCCGCCAGATTTCTTCGAGCTGCTTGGATCCAAGGCCTTAGTCAGTGGCAGCGACTTGAGCGCTTTACGTCGAATTTTACTGGATCCCGCGGAAGTTGACCTGTCCAGGCTGAGCATCAGCGGCGTATGCAAAGGGGTGGCCGACAGAGACGATCTGGTCGTAGTCGTAGTCGCTTGAGCGGATCCCGAAGACGAAGATGCTGGCGCCGAAGCAGCGCTGGGCTGAGCAGCTTGGGCCATATACGGATCGGAGTCCTCGAATTCCAGATCGCGCGCAGAGACTTGAATCGTGGTGCGATAGCCAGTCGGAACGAGTTTCCCTGTCCGGTACAGCTGCAGCAACTCGAGGAAGCGTCGCCAGTTGCCCTTGAAAGCGCTGCTGTTGACGAAGAAGTCATAGAGGGCGCCGGGATCAAACGCTCTGGAGTCCAAGATCTGAGCCTCGAGCTCGGCGATGCGTTTCTGAGCCCCGGTGAGCTCACACTCGAGCGAAGTGATCTTCAGCGCAGCCTCACTGACGGCATCATCCGCATCGAGTTTCTCTGCAGCAAATTGAGCGCCCAGCTTGTTCGCTCGTTCCAGGTCTTCTTGGAGCTTTTGGATCTCCGCAACAGCCCGTGGTGTTCGTGACCTGACCGCTAGATCCTCCAGCAGCAGCCCTTTGAGCTGCTACGGCGTGATTGCTCTGAAGGCGCTGGAGCTCAGCTTGGTGAGCCTCGCTCTGACGCCTCAGGGCCTGAGCGAAGCTGTGGCTTCTCACTGTAAACCCAGCAGCTCCAGAGGTCAAGGAATTGCCCACGCTCTGCTCGAGGCCTTGAAGAAAGCGCACCGTGGGAACGACCTTGCAGCGAGCTGACCAACGCCGAAGCACTGAGCGAGAGGAATCATCTCACGACCCAAGGCCTCCCGGATGCGAGGATCAGTGATGTCTGGCGGAGGGACTGAGAGAGGCTGCAACAAGCCTGCCATGAGTGCGCCATCGCCAAGATCTTCGAGCGTGGCTGGTACGACGACTTGCCCTGGAGGCGTGAGCTGGTATCATGGAGTCAGGCAGGGCTCGTATGGCAGACGCTGGCCAGGCTCCGTCCGGTAGGGCGACGCTTCGACAGCCTGTAGCAGTCCAGAAATTGTGCTAGTCACTGGCGCGCTCTGTGTAGTGGTCGAAGCCGTTTGCAGCGCGCTGATCGAAGGCACGGAGGGCGCCGGGCGTAGCATGAGCACCGCAGCGTCGTTCAAGGCTGCGTAAACAGCCGTCGAAGCCGCAAGACCCGTCGTAACAGGCACCATAGTCATCGACGTGCCGCTGGAGGTCGCCGACAGGGAACACGTGCCTGCAGGCGTCGGAACGCTGGTCGCGGCAATGTTGAGGACCGACGTGGTGCTTGGAGACGCCATGGATGCACCTGCAATGGCACAGAGGCCGCGGGCGCGGTAGAGACAGCCAACGACACGCTGGACGAGGCCTGGAGCGTTGCGGGAGCTGCTACGTTGGAGCTTGATTTATTCCGCCTGCCGGTGGCGTCTCGTGTTGCTGGTCCGCCATGCGTGGCACCAGGCACTGGAAGCGGCGTACGCGGATGAGGACGTGCGGGTGACTGCGGGGGCGGAGCACACGTTGCTCTTGTAGTTGCCACCGCGGTCTCTGCACTTGACTGGAATTTTGCAAATGGCTTGGGATTACACTCCACAAGTTCGGCAAGATCGGACGGTCATGGGACGAGGCAGTGCGGGACATCTGGGTTATGGGTACCGGGTCCAAGTCAGAAATGACCTCCGTGAACCCGTCATTCATAGGGTCGGTTGTGCAAAGGCTCAGTGGATTTCGCCACCAAACCCATGTCAAGCTGACCCGTATCAATCCAGGATGCTGACCCGTGTCAACCAAGCAGACTTCTAGTGCGTCATGACCGTGATGGATCTGGATCACCAACTGTCGGACACGACCCGTGCGACGAAGGAAGCAAAGCCCGAGGTCTGGACGGAGCTCCGCTCAGACCCTGGGCTTGGGCGAAGTTTGTCTGGGACCCAAGATGTCTGGCGTTGGGTGTAACAGGGTTACACGCACAAGTGGCTACAGTCACTTGAAACTCTAACAGACGTCGTGTCTGTTAGAGGTTCGAAAGACTTTCTCGACCTTGGTGTAGACACACCAAATGCTACATACATTTACGATCACCCCGACGGGTGGTCCATTGAGACTTAGGATTCCTTTTGGCTGAAAGCAGCATCTTTTAGCCAATGAGCGACATGCGTAGCATTGGAATTCTACCAACCAGCTGTTGGCAGATTCCTATCTTAGAATATTACATTTAGAGGAAGTCAGAAACATAAAACAAAAATAGCAGTTCTCATTTTAACCCAAAAACATTATTTGGATCGTTTATTTAGATTAATCTATACTCGGAGGCCCGAGTTTAATTAACTCTAGTTTAAGCTACGCTACGCTTCCTCACACACGTGCGCGCACGTGTAAGCTAAAATAGTGAGCCAAAGTAGGCCCATTACACCTGGTAGCACTTTGTAGTCCGTCCAACGACCGACTACCTGAGTTCGTACGTCACCGCACGAACGCGGAGCTGAGAACCTTCCCATGGATACAGAGGTGCCCATGGAAAGCTCCATTACGCCTGCAACTCACGTTGCACGCGCTGACTGTCCCCACCTGTTGGATCCAGAGTGGGAGGCCCTCCAACGACTGTTAACAGTCATTGGTGAGGCGGCTGTAGCTACGATGCTGCGTACGCTAACGCCGACAGAGCAACACGGTGTTGCTCTGGGTTTCATCCTGAAGGAGCAACGCGATGTTGCTGCTACTACCGCGGTGTCATCCGGGACGACACCACGCGTGCAATCACTGAAACTCAATGTGAGCAACTACGTCGGAAGAGAGGGTGAACCTCTCCTCCGTTGGCTTGTCGAACTCGGCACAGCCATTGCGGCTCGATGTATCGTCGACCCGTTGTCGAAGGTTGCGTTCGCCATGTCATGTCTTGGCGGATGCGCAAGAAGTTGGGCGTATGGACGCCGACTCTCGGATCCTATGTGCTTTAGCACGTACGAGGGTTTAAAGGAAGAGCTCAGACAAGCGTTTGAGCCACCGCAAAACGAGTTCCGGTCGAGGGCGGAGTTCCTCGACCTGCAGCAGGGCAAGCACGATGTCCATGCTTACGCTCAGTGAGCACGGTACTTGGTCTCGAACATCGTGACCAATCCGATCGATGAGGCGACCAAGGTCGTCACGTTCATAAAGGGGCTACGAGATGGGCCTGTGAAGACCTACCTCTTTCGTGAGTACCCGAGTACTCTCGAAGCTGCAATTACTCTTGCAATGCAGGAGGAGTTTAGCCTGCGGTAGGCAAAGCTGCATGCACATGTGCCGAGGCCACAGCCACGCCTCGTAGTGAGGACGGGAGGCCCCGAACCCACGGACCTCTCGAGTGCTGCAACTGCTGGACCCCAGCAGTCGCAGGGAAACAATGTGCGATGCTACCGTTGCGGTAGAGTCGGTCACTTTGCTCGGGAGTGCACGGCCCCCGTGCACCAGCAGGGTGGCTATCGCGGCGGTGCCGGGCACCGTCGCTACCAAACAAAAAACGCTGGACGCCAGTAGGCGCGGGGCGCCCTACTGGTAATGCAGTTCCGTGTGTCAACCTTGAACACGCGACATTGAGGACTGCAGCCCCCAGTGAGATTCGTTCTCACTGCAAGAACCAAGATGACAAGCCTGACCTTGTCATCCTGAATGTGAACTCGATGAGAGCAAGCCGTTCTCTCCGTGCTTTGGTAGATTCTGGTGCGTCGAAGAACTTTGTCCGACTGCGAAGTCTATCAAGGCTTGACTCCGAGGGTTTAAAGATACCTCGAAGTATGTTGGAGGTACGACTGGCAACGGGTGCCGTCGTGAAGACCGAGAAGCGCATGGTACGCGTGCGCTTCACGTATGAAGATCAAGAGTTTGCCGAGACCTTTATCGTCCTGGATCTGGACGATAAGTTTGACATTATATTGGGCATGCCGTGGCTTGCACGCCATGATCCGGTCATCGATTGGGAGAAGCGCACTCTCGTGCGCTTCGGTCGCGACAGCGGAACAGTGAGCGATGGCCCTGTTGCCGCTACGCACGCACCGACAGGTGCGCGCAACTCCCCACTCGAGACAGTGCCTAATGCCGCTGTCCCGGAGCGCCCTGGGCGCGCGCGAGCACGCGCGCAATAGCAGCTAGCGTCGGAGTTGCCGCCGACAGCTAATGAAGAAAATGTGTTGACCTCGGAGGTCGGCACCCGCTTTTCAGCGAATCAGGAAGCGTCTCCAACCTCAAGGGGCACGGATGACGCAGGCGAGTCACCCGCCTCAGCCGTGGAGGCTGACGCGAATCTGATTGGATCAATTTTGGCCAATAATAAGAGCCAAAGTGACGAAACGCCGTCGACTCCGGGAGTCGATGGATTGGGTGAATTTGATTCGTCGGCTCGGGGAGCCGACGCACCCTCCGTAATGGGGGTCTCCGCCAATGGTTGGCGTCGAGGTATTGAAGTCGCATCGACTCCGGGAGTCGATAGCTTGGACGAATTTGATTCGTCGGCTCGGGGAGCCGACGCACCCTCCGTAATGGGGGTCTCCGCCAATGGTTGGCGTCGAGGTATTGAAGTCGCATCGACTCCGGGAGTCGATAGCTTGGACGAATTTGATTCGTCGGCTCGGGGAGCCGACGCACCCTCCGTAATGGAGGGCTCCGCCAATAACAGGCGTCGAGGTGAAGATGGCGTGTCGGCTCCGGGTGCCGACGCTGCAGGCGGTGCGGATGGTTGCAAACGTCCCGCACCGGAAAAACTTGCATGCTGTCGTGCAGCCGGGCTGCACGACGAAGCGCCGGGCGACCAAGCCGGGCTTGAAGTCGCTCGCCCGCGGGATGAACCCGCCGGCGGAATACAAGAAGAACACCCGTCCACGGCTGGGCCTGGACGAGGTCAAGAACCAAGCGGAGCCGGGCTCCGCAAAACAAGAAGACGGCGCATGCGAAGGTCGCTGCGCAAGTCTCGGTCTGGGGCCGAGACGCTACAAGGAATGTCTGCCGGGCAGACGGAGGCTGAGAAGCCGGACGTCGAGACGTTGAACGTCTTGACGCGTACCTGTGCCGGGTTCCGGTACAGGGAGATGACTCTCGCTAACCCTCCGACGCAAGCGTCGGAGTTGACTTCGCTACCAGTCATGAGCTGGAAGCGCTTCGCGCGTGACTTGCACGATGGACGCATCGAGCAAATATGCATTCTCTCGGACGCCGAGAGAACAAAGAGCGAGAATGAAGAACTGAGGCAGTTCTTCATGGAGACCACCACTGAGAGCGAGGACACTCTCAGTGCGAAGCCGAAGAAGGAGCGCTCTGAAGAGCAGAGCTGGGACTCGTTGAAAACGAGTCCCTACTACGAGATCTTACGGGAGTACGCGGACGTACTTCCGGAAGAGATTCCTGCGGAGCTTCCGCAGGATAAGGGCATCCAGCACGAGATTGATCTCGTGCCGGGGACGAAGTACTGTGTCACGCGGCAGTGGCCACAGCCGCGAGAGCAGGTCAAGGCGATCGACGACTTCTTTGAGAGTCGCCGCAAAGCTGGACAAGTGCGGGAATCGAAATCCCCGCACAGTGCTCCGACGTTCTGTGTCAAGAAGCCACAGGGCGGCTGGCGCATCGTTCATGCGTACAACAAGCTGAACGATGCGACGATACCGGCGCAGACACCGATACCGCGAAAAGATGTAAGCATCGAATCGATGGACAGGAGCACTATCTACAGTGCTCTTGATCTGCGCGATGGATTCTATCAGATCCTCATGCGTGAGAGCGATATCCCTCTCACGGCTGTGAGCACGCCGAGCGGCATGCTCTGGGAGTGGCTAGTGATGCCGCAGGGTCTGAAGAACGCCCCTGCGACCTTCAACAGATGCGTGACGCACTTGTTGTGCTCGGTGCGCGACTTCGCACCGAGCTACATCGACGATGTGTTCGTCCACAGCCGAGCTGCGGACGGGATGAGCGACGTTGAGATGCACAAGGTGCATCTCCGGAAGCTGCTTGCGCTCATGCGCAAGCACAAGCTCTATGCGAACCTGAAGAAGTGCATCTTCGGGGCGAGCGAGATACCCGTGCTCGGGTGTCTCGTTGGGAAGAACGGTGTCCGCCCTGACCCTGAGAAGGTCAGAGTGATCAATGAGTGGCCGACGCCGTCGAACGTCAAGGAACTGCGGCAGTTCCTTGGCTTGGCCACGTACTTGTGCAAGTACGTGAAGGACTACGCGGGCATGATACGCCCGCTGTCACAGCTCCTGAAGAAGGACGTCGAGTGGATTTGGACTGCTAAGAGTCAGCAGGCCTTCGATGCAGTCAAGCAGAGCTTGAC